TCCTTCAGCACTTGCCCCAGGAGAACAGAAATTCCTTCTTGAGTTAGTAGGTTCAGGATCAAGCTGCCCAGTGATGGTTAAGCAGGAGAGGGAACACCATATTTAACATGGAGGCGGGGGCAGGCTGATGGGTGTTGGGGGGGGGTGGTTTAAGCACTTTTGTGTCCAGTAAATTTTGCACCCTGGCCAGCAGTTCCATGTAGATGTTAAAGCAGTATGGAGGACAAAATAGAGCCTTGGGAAACTTTGTAGTGTCACTGCCAACTCTCAGGTCGGAACAGAACCAGTTAAGGGCAGTGGCCCCAGCCTCTCACCTCAGAGAACTGGTTCAGAAGGATGGTATTAAAAGCTGCTGAGAAACGTCACACAGACCCTTCTTCGCCATTTAGGGTAGATCATCCATGAGAGCAATCAGGGTGATTTCAGCCCCCAATCCAGGCCAGAAACCAGATTGAATTGGATCTAGGAAATCTAGTTGGGCTGCTTCTCACATGCGGGGCTGAAAGTTGCATACGAAATTAAGATGCAATTAATCAGCTGGGTCTCCTCCTCTTGGTGCATTAAATGGTACGGCCTCTTTGAAAGCGGGCCTGCTGGGGCTGATGGGAGTTTGAATATAATAACATACAGAGGGCCGCAAGTTCTCCATTCCCCCCCCCCCCCCGCTTTGGGCAAGCTGACACAAGACTAAAAATGTTTTCCTTCGTTTATTTGCTTCGCCCAATTGACATTTCTCAGGAGTGCTTTTTTCACATTGAAGAGGCTTTTCAGAGTTCTACTGTGGCTTAAAAACCGTACAAATGAATGGTAAAGCTATCAGGTAAGAGCTTCGCCATCCTGCTAGCTTCAAACAAGGGTTTACTGAGCTTGCTTGCCCACTGGAAACCATGGTTAGTCGGTCTGTCTCCTAGGAGCCAGTTTGGATCCCATTTAGGGGTTCTGCAGTCACAGGGTGATAGCGTCTCCCATTCAGCCAACATGAAATAGCAATGGATCTGACTTCCTTGGAGATTCACCCAAGTGCCTTCCGTTTCCTGTGGCCCACAGTCAGACAATCTCCTTGCAATCAGTTCAGAAACAACGGAGGGCGTTTACTGGAATTTTAAGGGCAGCAATGGCTCTCGATCACGGGTGGCTAACCTTTGGGAGGGGAAAAGGCTGAATTTGACTCATGGTCGACCCTTAAGAGAGGCACACATCAAAACGGCCAGTGGGTGTGGACAAAATATAAAAGTGAATATAGTCAAAAAGACACATTTTGAAGTCTGGGGCATCAGAAAAACTTTTTGGCACCACAGCAGGGAACCTTCAGGACTGGTCAGTAAAAAATAACCCCTTTTGCATGGGCGTAGCCAAGATTTTTGTTGGGGGAGCAGGTTTTTGTTAGGGGGGCAGAACCTCAGATTTGTATTGGTTTAGGGGGGCAGCTGCCCCCCAGCTACGCCCATGCCCTTTTCTTAAACGTTGACACATTTGTGGATCAGAGGCTACTTTTGACATCACAGTATCTCAATGAGGAACCTATGGGAACGATCAGTTACTATTTTTAAACCATTTAAAAATTATTTTATTTAAAAATGAGGGCCTTGAGAGGTTTCAAAACCTCTTCGGGCGTCACTGCAGGAGAGCCATATGAGCAGTAAAAAAAAAAAATGTATCAGATTGGAGGTGTGATGTTGGTGAGGCACAATAAAACTCTTGCTTAGCCCCCCTTCCCCTTCCAATGCTCTTCGCAGCGGTTCTCAACCTGTGGGTCCCCAGATGCTGTTGGACTACAACTCCCATCATCCCTGAGCTCTGGCCTTGCTAGCTGGGGTGATGGAAGTTGTAGTTCAACAACATCTGGGGACCCACAGGTTGAGAAAGGCTGTTCCAGATCAAGGAGGAATTCCCGGTTACAGAAACGACTCCTTGGCCCACAAAACTGCTCTATATCCCGTAAATTGAGGGACGTGTAGCATTTCAAGTCTGTTCTTTACCCTGCTCCATACGCTCTTCTCTCAAGTTTATTTTTACCCAGAGATTTGGCACTCCAGAGCCAGATGAAAACACTCACTTTGACTTTGAACTGAACTCCCGACTGTGGCTTTTCACCTTTTCTTGCAGCAAGAGCAGTGTTTTCGCCCCCTGGGGCCCTCAAGCAAGGAACGTGTTGACTCTGGAGCAGAGGGGCGACTTAAATAGAACGGGGCAATATTTCTGTGTGTCTGCAGGCAGTTTTGTGTCCCTAGGCATTTGTGGGAGGGGGAATGGAAGGTGATGGATGGGGCACAGGAATGAAGATCTGGCGTGGGGTGGGGGCCTCAGAGTGGACACTGACGAGAGGGACAGATGAAACGTGGGCCTCGGGGATAGACTGTTTTGAGGCACCTGTCCACATACTACGTCATTCTGGGACAATGTGGATTGCACTGTTATGAGAGACGCTTTCGGCGTGTGGGTTATCTGATTCTGTAGACGTTACTACAACTGCCAGCAGATGCTGGGAAAACCCAAGAAGGCAGGAGCAGAGGAAAATTCAAAGGGCAAAGGGGCGTTGGGGGAAATGTTCTGAGACTTGGTGTTCAGCCCCTCTTGCTTCCAGGTGCCATTCGTGACAGAGACCTGCCTTCTGCCCCGGAGCCACGGGAGAGAACCGTCAACTTCAAGGAAAGGCTTGCAGCGGGAGGTGGTGCCCCATTATTCTTGACCGCTGGGAGACAGTTTGTGAAAAGGGGGTCCGGATCAAAACATAAAGCCAGTCTTCTCCCCAGCTGGTGCCCTCCAGATCCGCTTTGGGCTACAACTCCTTTGCTTGTGCCCAATAGGGCCGATTATTATTTATTAAACGTTTTTACCCCTCTTCATCCGTAGATCTCGGGGCAGTTCACAACATTAGAATCGCAATACAGAAAATGCAAAATGCATACATGGATGATGGGAGATGCAGCCCAAATCATCTGGGAGGGGACAGCCAGTTGGGAAAGGCAGAGAAAACTGACCTCCTGGGCTGCCCAGGGCCTGGTGGTTTGGATTCCTTCCTGTTGCAGCCCTGCTCTGCCAGTGGTGTTTGGAAACTCGGGGTTGCCCCGGCTTAACCTTTGACGCGAGAACTTCTTCTGAGCTCCGTTCCAAATGAGTGCAGCGGTTTTCTTTTTGTAGGGCAAGAAGACAGAAGAGTTCTTCTTCTCTGTGGTGACTACAGGCTAGAGGAATTCTCTCTAGTGAGTTTCCACTTCACCGTAGTACCTGCCTCCGTCCACCGGGAAGCTCTCCCCCCTCTCACCCCCCCCCCCGGCACCCTCATGGCTAATGGCCCCCCTCTCTTTCTCTCTCTTGGCAGGTGCAGCAGGTGCAGGTGTTTGCTGATGTGCAGTGTACGGTCAACTTGGTGGGCGGAGACCCTTACCTGAACCAGCCGGGTCCTGTGGGGGCCCAGAAAGCCTCTGCCGGCCCCCAGACCCCCCAAGCCCAGCAGAAAAGCCTCCTGCAGCAGCTACTGACTGAATAACCTGCTTTTCAAAGGAATGTGAAATTTAAATAATAAGACATAGAGATATATATATAAATATAAATATATATATATTATATTTTTCTGAGATTTTTGATATCTCAAAAACTTGCAGCCATTCTCGTAGTGTTTGGAGCAAAAAAAAAAAAGTTCCCCCTCCCCTTTCTTTCTTTCTTTTTTTTTTAAAAAAAGGTAATGGATGATGTCGCAAAGTGACAAACCAGTTGAGCCAAAATGACAGATGATCCTTATTTTTGTAATCAGTTGCTGGCTGCTTCTTATCCCTGATGGAGGTTACTTGGTTTTAGGGGGGCGGGGGGGAGCGTGTTATGAGAGCGAGGGGAGGAGTCTTGCTGGGGGGGTGGGAAGAAAGAGGAGTCGAGTTCTCAGTTTCAGCTGGATCTGTCACTGATTTGCGTCTTCAGCGAAGCAGGAATTGGGTGAATAATCGCACTCGTCTCGTCTCTGGGATGTTTTTAGCTGTTCTTAAAAAACGCACACGCCCTTGACTGACCGCCCCCCCCTTCCCCTCCCAACCCGTTTGTGCAATCAGCTTTTTCTAGCAATCGTGAGTTTGTCGGTTTTAAAGAAATAATCATGATGATGATAGAGTATTTTGACCCATTTTTTTCCATGTTTTATGCTGGTATATAGACGGCCTCCTTAGCGAAAAAAAGGCCTCTGTGTATATGAAAAAAGGGGTGGGGAGCTCGTACAAAAAGCTAATATAATAATTTTTGAAAAGACAGACACACAAGTACAGTTTGGGGAATAATTGCAATATTTTTTAGGGGTCGGGAGGGGTGGGGAGCAGTGGCTGGGGGAGCAAAACGCCGAGGGTCGACGCTGTGCCATCGTTCCTTTCATTTCGACAGGGTTTGTGATGCGGTAACCCTTTGGAGATGAAATGGGAGGGGTGCACAGCAGAAGCCTGCGACAGAGTTGCGTCCTTGGGCTACTATTGTAGATAAAATTCTTATTAAAAATTAAGCAGTCCTCTCTCTCTCTCTCTCTGCTTTGATTGTGTTTAACAGCCAAGGTAGCTTAAAACTATTTAAAATAATATTGATGATGATGATTATAATAATAAAAAAGGCAATTCTCTGTGGAACGGGAGACAAGCTTGTTCTTTGCCCCTCTGAGGCCTTTTCCGTGTAAATAGCTCAAACCTCTTGTATAAATTGGTTTCCTTCTCTTTTTAGTTTTGGGGTGGGGTGGGTTGCTCTTAAATAGCATTGCTTTTGGATGGGGGGGGGAGTTATTTCTTTCTTTCCTCTTTCTCTTTCTGAAATTTTGTTGATGTGTGAAAACAAAACTGTGTAGCTTTTTGTTAATTGAATTTGCAAGAGTTTAAAAAAACAAAGAGACAAAGTCGGTGGCTTATGTTGCATTATTGCGTAAAAAGGACAACATGGGGGGGCTCTGTGTGCGTATGTGCTTTTTTGTGGGCTGTGGGGAAGTGGCTTCATGGGGAGATGGGCTAGGAAGGAAAGTGAACCCATGAACGGTAGTCTTTTAAATATTTTTATTGAGATTTTTCAGATAAACAAAAAGCACCTAGTAGCAAACAAGACGCATTTAACAAAGCTTGACTACAAACTGAGTTCCACTGCTGCTTGCAAATGCGCACAGAAAGAAAAACCCAAATAGCAACAGCACTTATGGAAGGCCAAGAAAGAATTCTAGAATTCAAGCTATAGGACACAAAAAACGGTATACCAGTCCATAATGGATGATGGAGATCTGGAGGAAGGACTGCTACCTGCGGTTGCAAAACAAATTTGACAAATGTAAACCAAATAACTGAGGGCGAAGCTTTAGATTTAACCCCTCTCAGTTAGCTGTTTGTTAACACTTTAGGACGCTTTCTGTGACTGCCAGCCGCCATATGCCAGTTCCACCATCATCACCAATCCCAGCTTAGCTTATAGATCCTTATAGAACACATTTTGCATGGTTTCTGGAAAGAGCGATAGTAGCGCTAGACCTGGGTGTGGAGGAAAAAATTGTTGCATAGCAGTCCTCTTGACCATGCTACAGTTATTAAAGTGTACACTTCAGGGCACCTCTGAGCCTACCCTCAGCTGCCGAGATCTGCTATACAGAGCAACACTCCTTCCTTGCTCTTTCACACATGTACTGGAGTTTTTATGAAGCTGGGGCAGGGCTATGATTCAGCCTCAGAGCCTCTACAACATGCTTTACTCCCTCCTGTTGCAGCCAGGGGCCTGGGGAGGTTTAATCCTTCCTTGCTTTGCCATTCACACACAATCCTGCAGAAACCCTCACAAGCACCGGCGTGAAGCACTCGGAAGAGAACTGAAACCCCACCATGTTGCTGAACGTAACATCCAAGTTATTGCTTACATTATTAACCTGGCTCTGTAACAGATTCTAGGGAGCAGCTTGGTCCAAGTAGCTGCTGAGTTTCAAAGCATGGCAGCTCCTAGACCCCAGGCCACAACAAGGAATGTGTGGGGCTTCAGCACTCGTCTGGCACATCACCTTCCCCAGAAATAAAAGGGGAGTGGAAACAAACTATTCCAGCTGCCACAAGCTCTGGTGCCTTCCAAGGCTATAAACACACTTAAGTAGTTAAACTTAAGAATCCCAAATAACAAATCTAGGTATTGCATGGCTAGGAATTTCACAGCCAGACTGAAACAGGTGGTGAATTAAATGCCCAAGACACTTCAGAAATATGCAGCCAGAGTGACTGAGTGTTGCATTTTGAGGAGAATGGGTTCTTGCACACGGTTGTGGAATACAGAGCACAGCAAAAGGTGTGAAGCAGCACCTCAAAGGCCTGCTGTGAAGAAAGAGTGTTATTCACTTGCTCTGTCTTGAAATACTTCCACGGTCCTCCAGATTTTGGACTCCAATGTTGGAGGCATTGTGCCCCCGATTACCAGCTACTGGGACTCAGGTGGGCAGAATGCTGTTGCGCTCATGTCCAGCTTGCAGACTTCACAGAAGCTAGCTAGTACTGTGGTCAATGGGTGTTACAATCCAAAACAGTTCGGAGAGAAGCAAGTTGGCAAAGGCTTATTTTAACCAGTTTGCAATCCCTAAGAATATTGCTAAGTTTACTTGGCACCTTTGGTGAGTGATTCTGTCAGAAACTTTTTAAGATTCCAGTAAGGCCTTTGAGATTCCTACATACTTGTGAAAAGCAGACAACCACCCCAACCCATTTTCCAAGCCTTTACCCCCCCCAAAAAATGGCCTCCTTCATTGTTCGATAGCCCACTTCTGAGCTTAGCGCAACAATCAGTGTCAATGAGCAAGCTTTGTTTTCATAAAAGTATAGCATCAGTCCAAGAGACAACTATAACCTCAAGTTTTGCCTTACAGCAATCTACTTGGCTGTCCCCTCCCATGTGTGCAATCTTGGCGACAATGCTAATAAAGGAAAAGGAATTCCTAGGCAACAAGACATAAAACAGAGTGGGGGGCATGTGGCCTTGCAACTGTGGTAGGCCTCTAACTTTCCTCTGCCCCAGCCAGCGTGGCTGCAGGTCAAAGATGATGATGCGAGTTGACCCTCAAGATGTTGGCATGTAAGCTTCCCCACTGCTTCAGATGTTGGAATTCCTAGCCAGCCCAGATCACTGGCTACGCTGCCAGCAACACCACCTGTGAGGCCACAGATTTCCCCCCACAGCCCTATATTTTTTCTCTCTAAAGTGAATACTGCTGTCAGCTTTCAAACCCCCAAGAATATTTTAGCAGGCACAGATCAATGTCACCCAGAATCCTGCCTCTGGTTTTTTCATCTTTAAATTGATCAAGGTGTGCATCAAGAGTTTCTTCTTAAAATAAGAGAGGTGTTTTGTGCTAAAATAAAAGAACCCCAGCTCTATATCGGTCTGAACAAACCCTTCTTTAATCATCTGCAGAGATGCACATCAGTTGAAACCACAATTACCAGCAACATGCAATGAAAAGATGGTTCCCGATTCAGTTATTGCACTTCACCATGGTACTGCAAATTGTCCACAAACTCTCGGCCACAAGCGCCTACCTGAGAACTGGATTTTCTTGGCCAGTCCTGAATAGGGCCAGAAATATATAAGATCATTTCAGCAGTTTGAATTTCTTCAGGTACTGGTGTACGTGCTCCTTAGGGTATGGGCGGAGGGCAATGCAAGTGACAATGTTCTCTGGCTGTTCAACCCACACTTTGTGATCGATGTTGTTTTGCTGCAGTGCCTCTGCTAACGCAGTCAATGCACACTCGTCTGGGGCCTAAGGAAAGAAAAGTGGGCAGGGGAAGGAAATCAGATTCTTACTGCAACACCCAACATTAAAACAATGCCAAATTGCAGTAGCTTCCACAGGGTTACAGCAGAAGGACTAGTTCACCTCTGCTTTTTAATACCAGAAGAACTAGGAATCCCAGAATAAATTTACTTGCTATAAAATAAACAGCATCAGCTGAGAGCTCTACTACTGCAGAGACTGGGAGCCTGTGGCCTTCCACCAGATGCTGCTGGACTGCAGTTCCTATCAGCTTTAGCAGATATGGCCTATGGGCAGGAACGATGGAAGTTGGAGTCCAGCAATATCTGGAGGCCTGCAGGTTCCCCCTCCTCAGCTTTAGCACAAGGGCAGAGACACAGGAAGCTCCTGGTCCAACTAGCTCAGTATTGTCCACAGACTGGTAGTGACTTGCAAGGATTTCAGACATGGAGTCTCTCCCAGACCTACCTGGGGATTGAAGCTGGACCTTCCGCATGGAAAACAAATACGCTGTCACTGAGCTGCAGCCCTTCTCCAACACAAGAAGCTGCCTTATACTGTGGGCTATGTAGCTCAGTATTGTCCACACAGACTGGCAGCAGCTTTCAAAAGACTTCAGACAAGGAGTCTTTTCTCATCCCTATGTGGAGATGCCAGAGATTGAGCCTCTGCCACTCACCTGCAGCCCTTCTCTGGCACTGTTACTTCCTGCATGCCCCCTGCAACAGACAAGCTGCTGTTGGAAAGAGAGTTGCCCCAAAGCGCTCTGCTAGAGCTCCCCTCTAATCCTCCACTTTGCCACACAGTGTTCGAAACTCCCATGGTTCTCAACGCATTTTGCAACAGGGAATTTCATTAGCGCAAGCTCTGGGTGCAGTACTGGGCCTAAGATTTTAGATTAAAACTGCAGAGTGGAAGGAAAGGAGGACCATTTTCTGCCTCCCCACTTCCAGCTACTCTCTGAAGACTGGAGAAGAGGCCCTTTTAAGAATATATAGGGGGTGGGCAGAGGAAGGACTAGACCATGTGAAAAATGAACACAATATTTTAGCTGCAGTTCATTCATTTTCAGTTTCGTTTTCTTGTTACAAAAAAGTACACCTGGACATTCCGTTGTTGCACCCACAACCTAGGTTTAAGGTCCCATTTAACTGCTAGCTTTCATATCTCTGTTTCTAACACTGTTGCCAGGAGTGACTCTTGATTACAGGGGGCTAAAGGGATGAGAGACAGGTTACCCACCCCGTGTTATTGGGGAGAGGAAGAACCCCTTGACTAACTGGCCATTCTGGGTCTTTCCCTCACAGGCCAATGCTGAGCTGGAAGACTGGTGGGCTAGCTGTCCTGCACAAAGTGACACAATCCCCACCCATTTACTGAAGAACCAAGGAAGGGTCGTCATATCAAGCCAGGCCACTGGCATGTCCAGTCTGGTATTGCCTACACTAGCCATTAGATGCGGGTGGAGCTGTGGGTTAAACCACAGAGCCTAGGACTTGCCAATCAGAAGGTCGGCGGTTCAAATCCCCGCAACGGGGTGAGCTCCCGTTGCTCTGTCACTGCTCCTGCCTACCTAGCAGTTCGAAAGCACGTCAAAGTGCAAGCAGATAAATAGGTACCGCTCCGGCAGGAAGGTAAACGGCGTTTCCGTGCGCTTCTCTGGTTCGCCAGAAGCGGCTTAGTCATGCTGGCCACATGACCCGGAAGCTGTACGCCGGCTCCCTCGGCCAATAAAGCGAAATGAGCACCACAACCCCAGAGTCGGCCATGACTGGACCTAATGGTCCAGTCTACCTTTACCCTAGCCAGCAGCAGCATAGTCTCTCCCAGCCCTACCTGGAGTTGCCAGCGGGGCCTGAACCCGGGGCCTTCTGCATACAAAGGCAGCTGTTCTCCCCCTCTGGGGCTACAGCCCTCCAGATGTGGCTGGGCTGGAACTCCTTGGCCATCTCTGAACACTGGGAAGTACTGCCCTGGAGGTTCGAATCCCCGCCCAGTCACAGAGCTCACCGGGTGACAGCCTCTTAGCCTGGCCTACCTTGCAGGGGTGTTGTGAGAATGAACTAGGATGGGGAACCATGTGCACCATCTTGAGCTCCGTGGGAGGAAAAGGTGGAATGTAAATACATAAACAGCATCCTAAATACATAAACAGCATCCTTGACAGCATCTTAAAAAGCAGAGACACCACCTTGCCGACAAAGATCCCTATAGTTAAAGCTATGGTTTTCCCAGTAGTTATGTATGGAAGTGAGAGCTGGACCATAAAGAAGGCTGATCGCCAAAGAATGGATGCTTTTGAATTCTGGTGCTGGAGGAGACTCTCGTGAGTCCCATGGACTGCAAGAAGATCCAACCTCTCCATTCTGAAGGAAATCAGCCCTGAGTGCTCCCTGGAAGGACAGATCCTGAAGCTGAGGCTCCAAGACTTTGGCCACCTCATGAGAAGAGAAGACTCCATGGAAAAGACCCTGGTGTTGGGAAAGATGGAGGGGGGCACAAGGAGAAGGGGACGACAGAGAATGAGATGGTTGGATGGTGTTTTCGAAGCTACGAATATGAGTTTGACCAAACTGCGGGAGGCAGTGGAGGACAGGAGTGCCTGGCGTGCTCTGGTCCAGGGGGTCACGAAGAGTCGGACACGACTAAACGACCAAATACATAAATAAACAAACCAAGCCCTTCCCCCCCTCACCTCGAGCACGACGGTCCTCATGCTGCCGCCCTGGGCCAGGTAGGCCGCCGTGTCCGGGTGGTGGTAGTGCGCGTGCACCACGGCCAGGGCCGCGTGGCAGGCCTGCGCCACCGAGGCGCCCAAGGGCCACGAGAAGGGCTCCCGCCGAAGGTCCCCCCTCAGCACCACGTACTGAACCAGCGCCCGCGCCGCCATCTTGTCCCGGGTAGGCGGGGCGCGCGGCTCCCGGAAGTCCGGGCTCCGCCAATAGGACGGCGGCGAACGGAATTCTGGGAGGGGAAAAGAGAGGGAAGGGGGGTTGGAAATCTCCATAAGAGGGCAGCCATCTTGTTGTACGGAAAGTCCTGTTCGAACGGAAGGATGCCGCTCTTGAGGGTTATCGTTCGAAAGCGGGACCGCGTCGAGGACACGAGCGCGTGACGCACTTCCGGCGTCGGGCGCCGGTCGCGCGGGGTTTTCGAACGCGGCGGTTGCCGCGGAGACGGCGGCCTGTTCTTCCGGCGAGGGAGGCGCTCGAGTGACCCTGTCAGGGCGGCCAGCCGGGGCTCGGCGAGGCGGAGGGGAGGATGGACGGCGGCGGCGGTGAGTGAGGCCCCGGCCGCGCCCGGTTCCGGGCATGGAAAGGGCTCCGGGGAGTCAAGGAGGAAAGGCTGAAGGCAAAGTCACTGAACGTTCATAGTATTCAAAATATACCGGTATATAGATAGGCAGGTAAAGAGAATAAAAAGCTATTGAACGCTAATAGAATTCAATATAGATAGTTTAATATATATTATAATATAATATTATATATATAATATATATATAATATTAAGCAATATAGATAGATTCAATGTAGATAGATTAAAAAGCTGTTATACGTTAATGGAACTAAAACAATATGTGTATTAAAAAGCTACTAAACATTAATAGAATTCAATATATATACTGTATATAATAGTAATAGTAATAATTTGTTATTTTTACACCGCCCATCTTTTTACAACAACAATTAATTAATTATTCCCTAGCCGCTCTGGGCGGCTTCCAACAAAAGATTAAAAATACATTAAAACATCAGTCATTAAGAACTTCCCTGAACAGGGCTGCCTTCAGATGCCTTCTAAATGTCAGATAGTTGTTTAGCTCCTTGACATCTGGTGGGAGGGCGTTCCACAGGGAGGGCGTCACCAGCAAGAAGGCCCAGAAGGCCCTCAGCCCTGGAACTCAGTGTCTGGGCAGAACGATGGGGGTGGAGACGCTCCTTCAGGTATAAAGGTAAAATCTATAGATAGATTTTTAAAAGCTATTAAACATTTATAGAATTCAACCTATATATGTAGGGTAGGTAAATAGACAGATTAAAAAGCTATTACATGTTAATTTAACTAAAAAAATATATATGTACAGTGGTGCCTCGCAAGACGAAAAGAATCCGTTCCGCGAGTCTCTTCGTCTTGCGGGTTTTTTCGTCTTGCGAAGCAAGCCCTTTAGCGGATTAGCACTACAGTATTAGCAGCTTAGCGGGCTTAGCGGATCAGCTGATAAGCGGCTTAGTGATCAGCTGTTAAGCGGCTTAAGGATCAGCTGATAAGCGGCTTAACGATCAGCTGATAAGCGGTTTAGCGGCTTGGGAAAAAGGGGGGGAAAGGGGAAAAAAAACGCAGGAACTCGCAAGACATTTTCGTCTTGCGAAGCAAGCACATAGGAAATTCGTTTTGTGAAGCACCTCCAAAACGGAAAACCCTTTCGTCTAGCGGGTTTTCCGTTTTGCGAGGCATTTGTCTTGCGGGGCACCACTGTATCTATAGATAGGTAGCTATAACTTTTAAAAAGTTTAAAAGTCTTACATCATGGATGCCAATTTTTCTTAATGGGTAGGGTATAAATTATAAAATTATTATTGTTGATAATTTTATTGTTTTTATTTCTTTTTGTGCTTTCTTGGTTTGTTTTGCAATCAAATGGAGGACAAATTAAATAAACAAGCCACACGTGGGTGCGGGGCGCAAGAGGTGTGTCCTCTAGTCACTGATATGGCTTAGGAAGACCAGAGAAGAATCTTTAGAGCCGCCCTGCATCCGGATCAGGCCAGCAACGGGTGCTCAGGAGCGTTACTGCCTTGACTGTGGAGGGCAAAGCACAACCTACCTGTGCACCTTGTTTATATGAGGCTGATTTATCCCACAGATTGGAGGTGGCAAATGCTTCTTAATACCGGTTTCTTGAAGCGACAGGAGGGAAGAAAGGGCTCTTATGCTGGGATCCTGTTTGCGGGATTCCCATAATGGGCATCCGTTTGGCCACCGTAACAACAAGGTGCTGACCTATATGGGCCCCATTTGGCCTGATCCAGCAGGCTCTAGACAGCATCTTAAAAAGTAGAGACATCACCTTGCCAACAAAGGTCCGTATAGTAAAAGCTATGGTTTTCCCAGTAGTGATGTAAGGAAGTGAGAGCTGGACCATCAAGAAGGCTGATCGCCGAAGAATCGATGCTTTTGAATTCTGGTGCTGGAGGAGACTCTTGAGAGTCCCATGGACTGCAAGAAGATCAAACCTCTCCATTCTGAAGGAAATCAGCCCTGAGTGCTCACTGGAAGGACAGATCCTGAAGATGAGGCTCCAATACTTTGGCCACCTCATGAGAAGAGAAGACTCCCTGGAAAAGACCCTGATGTTGGGAAAGATGGAGGGCACAAGGAGAAGGGGACGACAGAGGACGAGATGGTGGGACAGTGTTCTCGAAGCTACTAATGTGAGTTTGACCAAACTGCAGGAGGCAGTGGAAGACAGGAGGGCCTGGCGTGCTCTGGTCCAGGGGGTCACGAAGAGTCGGACACGACTAAACGACTCAACAACAACAAAGCAAGCTCTTCTTCCAGTCTTAACTTAAAATTAGAGAAGTTAATTCTCACGAGGTGAATTTAATGGCAAGTTTTGCATTTGTCCACTGCACCAAATATGCAAATATAGTTCGGTTGTTCTCTGCAGTAGAAACAAATGGATGCTGCTGCCATTGACTTGCATTGTGGTTCTTTGCAGGTATCTTTTCCCACCTGGAAACGCTGGAAGCTTCTGCCCGCAAGAAACAAAGGGAAAAGAGAGAACATGAGGAGAATGTGGACAGAATGAAAGCAAGGATCAAGGAACTGAGGCGTCAAAGAGATTTGCTGAGGGCCAAATTGGAAGTGTGTCGTTCTCAAGTAGGTGCAAAGTGCACCGTGAACCATGGTGAAGTTTAAGCCTATGGCAGCACACGGTTGCATGCACAAGTGGGGAAATGTGCAAAAATTAAATATCTTATGATCAAGTCAGAACAGTTGCTTATATTTATTTAGCAACTTAACATTCTTGTCTTAACCCTTAAGGAAATTGGCTATGCGTAAGAAATCTTTCTAGAAATCCTAGACTGAAGCCTCTGCTGTGGTGGCTTTTTGCAGTTAGAGATGTCCAGGTTCATACATCTTCAACAGCACTTGAACTGGTTTCTGCTTGTAGTTCCTTCATGCCACCTAATAACAGCTGAGCTTGTGGTCTTTTGTAGATTGTTGGGGTCAAAGACAAAACCAAAAGCGGTCCTCTGACTTCTAAGGCTACAGAGATTCAACAAGTCCTTCTGGAGTGGAAGACTGAGAGCGCCAAGGAGTTACTGCACGTCTTTCGTCTGGCAGGTAATCTTCTCAGTTGTATGCTGCTTGGCTAGGTCTTTCCTGGGTGGAGTCTCCCCCAGTTCTCTGTCTTTTTTGCTCTAATGACTTAATTCAGCATTTGGCACCTCTGCTGCAGAACACAGAGGTTGTGGGGTGGTGCATCTCTTTTGATCCCCTACTTGTGTCAATCTTTTTTCTTAGGTTTTTGTCAGGGAACTGCCATCGGAGCCAGGAGGGCTCCAGAGGGATTCCAGAGGGCGTCCCGGGAGGGAGAGAAGCAGCACATCTTCTGGGGAAGGAAATCAGTGTAGCACCAGTGGAGAAGGGGGGCAGATGGGGGAATCGGCGAGGTGGCTCCATGACTCTTCGCCGGGGACCAGCGGGGAGAGCACGGGTCCTCCGCTGCCCACACCCTCCCTGCGCAGAAGGCTTCCGCGCAGGGAGACTAGGCGGAGACTAGGCGTCAAAGAACTTTTGTGCTGGAAGAAGTTCAAGAAACGCCCACTGACGGATTCTGTCAGCGATTGAGACAGCCATGGGCAAGTGGCTGTCCGGACAGAAAAGGTTCACTCAGGCAACCCAGCCAGGTGGGGTGCCGATTTACACACGAGCAACCCCTAGAACCATTACATTTTTATTGTAAATGTAAAAAGTATACAAAAAGCGTTGATGAAATAGGCATTTATCACACCATAAATAACAAATAAAGGGGGAGAAGGAAAGCTTTTAGTTCTAATAAAAAGCATCTTGCACTCCCTTCAAATTTTTCATTATAGAAATGACTTGTTTGTCTGTTAGCTTGTTCTCATACATTTTATCTCTCTTGTATGGCTATAATAAATAAACATACATAACAGCAACATCCCAAATTCCAAAAACCATTCGGACACAGGATAAATATGTTTATTTCTATAAGTAGTTCTTGACATTTTACTGTGGTCAGAATAACATACATTTCAATAATTCTTCCAAATAATTTAAAAGCATATTTCTAGGATCTATCGGTATTTCACAATTTGCTTAATACCCTTTTTTTTTATAGCAGCTGTTTGTGTGCTTCATTCTCCTCTTAGGACTGCTTCTTATGTATCCCAAACATTGGGGGTGATCCTGAGCACCTGAGGGTGAAAGTTCCTTCTTTCTTTTCCAATGACAAGGCCTTTGAGTCTAGAAGGCCAAAAAGGGAAGAGAAAGCTTGGGACCAAGCAGAAGCAGACAGTAGCTGGGCACCCTGGATGTTTCATGAAACCACGTGCCAGGATCAAAAATAATAAATTGGCACAATATTAGAGGAAGCTGGAAACTGTTCATCATCTGATGCTCCTCCCCACTGTAAAGGAGCAGTCTACTCTTAATACTCCTGCTTTTGTAAATCTGATTTGTCGCAATACGGAGTAAGGATGTTTTTCCCTAGGCCTCAGTGGGAAGCTTACCAAGCAAGGAGTCTGTCTGTGCATCAGCACTGCCTTTGAAGGCACCTACCTGGACTCTTACTACCTGGACCTCCACATTCACCAGCCAGTCCGGATCCTGCGCCACTCCGTGCCACCCTTCATCCCCTTGGAGCACATCGCTCGCAAGCATCTGCAGACAGACATCAAGCGCTTCTTGTCTGTGCTCTCAAACCACCTGAATGCTTACGCTGGGAGAAAATTCCAGGCAGATCAGTTACAGGTAGGAGAGACCCTATTTGTGCACTCCAGAGTCTATGTGTGTGAAATGGGAAGCAAGATTTTTATTCTGTCTGTTCACTGTAATTGAACGATCGGTCAAAAGGGAGAGCATTACTGAAGGTCAGGGTGGGTGGAGCTGCTGTCGTCTCAAAACTCTGCTTTGCCCTGAGGCTTCTGGCTGCTTCCACCATGAGGGGTCAGGTGCCCCTGGCCAGTTGCTGGTACAGTTTGTGTTTCAAACCATGTAAATCACGGGGCAACCCACAGGATTTTAGCACAGTGTGGTGTAATGGTTAAGAGCGGTAGTCTCGCAATCTGGTGAACCGGGTTCGCTTCCCCGCTCCTCCACATGCAGCTGCTGGGTGACCTTGGGCCAGTCACACTTCTCTGAAGTCTCTCAGCCCCACTCACCTCACAGAGTGTTTGTTGTGGGGGAGGAAGGGAAAGGAGAATGTTAGCCGCTTTGAGACTCCTTCCAGTAGTGATAAAGCGGGATATCAAATCCAAACTCCTCCTCCTCCACTGCAGAATTTAGGGGAAGAATTGTGATTTCCTTTTTTTTTTTTTTAGATGAGAAAATGAAAAAAACCCAGAACACGTTAAAAATACAATAACCAAATTTGATTATTTCTGTTTGGCTCTCTGTAAAAACGCTGAGCAAGATCACACATGGATACCAAGTACCTAGAACTTTGCAGAAGCACTGCCTGCTACTTGCTAGTCAGAAAAGGCGTTTCTCCATTACATGGAAAGTAAATGGTCCTTGTGTTTGGTTGACAGGTTCATATTTTGCACAATAATGACTACGATTCATGATAAATAAGCAATCTGTATAATAACTGACCTAAAAATTGCACTTCCGTTTTTTAGAAAACAGATTTCAGGTCGTGCTACGTTGTCATGCATTCAGTTTTAAAAGCATGTTTACAGACAAGGATATGTGTGCTTAGATGTTGTTTTCAAACTGATTATGTTTAACGGACACTTAATATAACTGAACTTTTTTAAAATTCTGTTTTAAATGGGTAAATATTACTGATTTTGCCTTGGCCCCCTGACCCTCTTCCATGTGAGCTTTGGTGTGGACAGTGTCTTCAGACCAGGCCGATGCAGGAGAGGCAAGCCTCTTACCCTGGGCCTCAGAGGTCTAAGCCGGCCAGGGACCCCGCCAAGAGCCAATTGCTTTTTTGAGCTTCAAACTGTATTCTAACAAGGCCTCGGGACAAGCTCTGCACCAGCCTGCTTTAGACTCTCTTAATATGCGCTGTGCAAGCTGGCCACTGGGTGGCCTCGGAGAAGTAAGCTTTGGCCTGATCTGCCTCACAGAGCTCTACGCAATACTTAATACAACAATAATAGAGATCCTGCTAAGGGCCATGATCCTCAAAGTGATACACTGCTGGCTGCAGGGGGAAGCCTAGGTTCTTCTCTCTGTAGCTTTGTTTTCTCTCATAAAGGACATGGGGCAGTATCCAGCCAACATGCTCCATCATTTCAAGGATTTCCACTTGCGTAGTGGAACTCCACCCCCTTCCTCCCATGCCCCCTAAATTTGTTCTGTGGATTATCTCAAGACTCTGCAGCAGATTTGGGGAGTGTGCAGGGAATACACAGTGGGTAGGGAGTTGCATTCTTGCACTGGCAGAATGAGTTAGTTGAATACCACCCATGGGGTTGGAATCCACCAAAGAGTCACTGATTCAGCTGCATTAATTTGCCTGCAGCCCACATCTTTTGTTAGTCGCTCTGTGGATTATGCTTCACACCCACAGAAATGGGAGCAAAAGGTTTCCTCTGTGATTGAAGGCCAGTTGAGTAAAACCATCCAGTTGGATCAAGCAAGATGCATGCAACAGGGGAGCCTAGCAACACACCGTCCCAACTGAATGAGTGGCAGCCCAGGAAAAAAAACTGGATTTTGAGTGTGGGATTCAGTGCATCTCCCCCCGGAAGGAGAACAATTGTCTCCAACACAAGATTGTTCTGTCCAACACCTCTGGTCAGGATTAAGCCAGGGAGTGAGATTGAAACCTCATTCTCTCTTTACTTTCTCCCCAACCCCCAAACAACAACAACAACCTCCTGGAATAAGAGCTGTAATTTGAATTGCATTTCCAAATCCGGAACAAACTTTTCCTGTGAGGCTGGATAACCTCTGAATAAGGCAGGCTGGTGCTTTAGAACAAACTTATCCATCCACACATTTGGGAAAGCAGTATGTGGGTTTTTTACAGTGGTTGACCTCTGACGACATCCAGGGTGCTGCATGAAGAGCTGAGCTTTTCCCACAGATCTTAGTGGTTCTACTGTTGCCTCTCCTTACTTGCAGGAGCGTTTTGCTGCTTTCCTTGAAGGACATTTGCAGGGGAATTCCTTATACAACCTACTTAAATTTAACTATGGTGTGGCAGGAGAAGATCAGACTTTCCCATTCACAGCAAAACTAACTTACGGAGATCCTATGAGTGCCTTCCCAACCGAGGTCACTGTTGCATGTAAAGGTGAGAGAACTGCAGCTTGGGGTTGATAATCTACTATATACTTTAGAAGGTTGTTTGTCCGTCTCCCACTGCCTGTCCGTCTGTTCTCTATGCATCTGAAAACAGCTTAGAATACCATCGCCCAATTTGGTTCCTGAGATGTAGGTGCCAGTTTTTGTCTACTTCTGAATATCGTCCGACGCTGTATTGATTCAAGATGGCAGACTGAACCATTCCAAATGCCACTTATTTGGGCACCTCTGAAGGTAATCATTGCCCAAATTGGCATGGTCCCTGAGATGAAAGAGAGGATTTTAGTCTACATTTGGATATTGGCAGGCACCATTTTGAATCAAGATGGCGGACTGAACGGTTCAAAAGTGCACACCTCTTAAGATATTGTTCATGCCCCTGCTGGAGGAATCTTCTTCAGATTCCAGAGCAAAAGTTACAGAGAAGCAGGCGGTTTCTATGGATAATGAGGCAGAACAGGGAGATGCAGATACGAGGGGGTCACGGAAGCCCAACCTCCAACATAAGGCACAGGGTTCCCCTGCGCAGAATCAGAAGTGAAGGCTGAGCTTCAATGCTCACATGAAGGGTGAGGCAAAGGGACTGCCTACACCTGTACAAAGCTCATGGATATCTTGGTGTATTAAGCTAGGATTTGATTGTGCAAAAAAACACTAAAGAGGTGAATCTTCAAATACTACAAACTCCTAATAGCTTAGCCAGTGGTCATAGTTATAGGATATGTAGTCTAGCATCATCTGAAAGCCCACAGGTTCCTCACCCGTTTTGAGCAGTCCTCTGCAGAACTCACAGAAATAGTATATAGAGTGTGCCTAAATGGCACGACGCATTTGCATGAATTACGTTTTCTGGGTTTGTGTTTTAGTTGCTTCTAAAGAGTTATTGCACTCAAGATATGTTGCTGTAAGTGTAGAAAACTAGGGCTTTCGAAATAAACAATACTACCACCTTGTGAGGTTCCCCTGGCTGTCTTTCCCTATACCGCCATTTACTTCATAAAATGCAAAAGATAAACATTCCCCCCTTTTATGAGTGTGTGAACAAGCTGTGAGGATGAGTGGATGGCCTTTGGTCTCCAGGGAATATGCATGCAACCCAAAAAGGAGAAAGATAGGCAGTTGCAGAGTGCCTTTTCCTACTAATGATGTAACCAATGAAACCATCCTTATAGAGTCCAGATTAGCTTGTGAAAACGACATGTGAGAAACTCCTTTTGGGATATATTCTCTCTCCACCATGTGTAGATATTCGGGACAACAACAAAACCAAGTCACTTCCCCAGAGTCTGGAGGAAATAAGTTTTGTTGGGGAGGGAGACTAGCTGTTTTGTACTGTAATCCTCTACTCTTCCTCCCACCCGCTTTTTCTTCTTCAACAGAAAATTCTCCAGCCTCTATGCTAGACATGGCGGCAGTTCATTTGCCCCTGTTCCAAGAGAAATCTCTTCATGAAGCTTTTCATTGCATCACAACCTCAGAAGAAAATCAGAGCCCATCTTCTTTACTGGGTTTGCCTGCCTCTTCCACGGGCGTGACTTCCGATGACAACACGGCTCTCTGAGATTGCTGCAATGTGAATTACCTATCAACAATGGCACTTCAGAGTACTGCAATCGGTCCTGCACAGAAAACCTCTGTTCCCTGTGTTACTGAAAAGATGCCTTCTAAGAAGCTGGCTGTTTGGAGTTCTCTGCCAGCCCAGTGGGCAAAGTGTGCACCTCTAAAGTGGTGTGCGTTATTGAAGCGTGATGGAAGCAGCTACCGGTGAAAGATTCTGCTAGATGCTGCTAATCCAGTTATGGGTATGGCAGTTTTTTCCACTTTTCAACCTTTGTGCTTTCTGTGACATTGTGGGAGTCATTTCCATCCCATATTCTTACCGTGAAAGGGGCCAAAGCGGGTTCACGTGGCAGGATTCACACCGGAAACAGCTCTTTTCTTGTATTTCCTTTTGAGGCCGGCTAGAGTGTTTCGATGCTGCAATTTTTAATGCAAGGCGCGAGGAAGCTTTTTGGCCACTGACCATCTCCAAAACAGCTGCCAACCATGCAAAAGCAGCTGGAACTACGTGGAGAACCTTAAACTGTAATACTGAGTTTCCTTTTTTAAAAAATTAAATGTTTCTACTTTCATAATACGTTCAAAAGCAAATTAATTGCTCACATGGACAGTAATGTGTACTTCACTGGTGAGGATATACAAGAATCTGTAGCATATGTGCTTATTGATATCAGTCTTATATTGCTCTTCATAAAAGGCCAATAGTTAAGCTCTAATATTTTGCTGTCTTTTTTTTTCTCCTGTTAAGCATCCAGTCTCCATTAGTTTTGCCATCAGGGAAACCAAGGCTGTTTTGGGCCTGTAACTGAACTCAAATAAGCAATTTCATGCAATCTCATCTTGAAGCTGGACAAACATCACTCACTTGAGCAGCTTCCCTAAGACTGTGTCTCAATCTTCCCATTTCTGCATGCTAGTTGGCTTTTTGTTATTATTCTACTCTTAAAGTCGTGTCACATCCCAGAGTTAACTAGCTTGGTATTCTGTTTCATATACCGGCACTAATACATTTGCTAGAAATAAGTTGGTTAAATAAAATTAACTTGTTAGTGCTAGTGGTTGTTTCAGCAGGGTCTTTAATAAGTAGCAGTTGGCTGGTGGCAGCTTGAATTCCAATCAGGCCACGAGTGTGTTTTTTAGCAAAGGTTAGCACTGGTGGACCTGACAGCGGTGGGAGGAAAGGGAGGGCAGGTGACATTGAGCAAAATGTTGGGGCTGCAAAGGGCCAGCCCAAGGTTCCTAGCCCTCTGATTCCACACATCACCTTATTTAAAAAAATTCCTTCCAGTAGCACCTTAGAGACCAACTATGTTTGTCATTGGTATGAGCTTTCGTGTGCATGCACACTTCTTCAGATACACTGAAAGCTCATACCAATGACAAACTTAGTTGGTCTCTAAAGTGCAACTGGAAGGAATATTTTTATTTTGTTTCGACTACGGCAGACCATCACAGCTACCTACCTGTATCTATCACCTTATTAATGCCCCTCTGATTTGTTCAGAGGTGAGACATCAGAGCATGGCATGTGCTGTGGAGACTTGGCTGGCTGGACCTGTGCCAGTAGCTTCCTTCTGTACAGAGCCCATCCAGCTCCCAAGGAACATATTGGATGTGGCGTGGAGGACACCACAGACTTAAAAAACTTTGGGACATGGCTTCTTCCACAAGAGCACCTGTCAGGGGTTCAGGGGCAGAGGCAAGGGCAAGGGAGGAAACAGAGAGCGAGGGGGAGGAGGCAGAAGAAAAGATGAGTGATGACGACGACCCGAGATCTCCGAGTCTTTCCAGTGAATCAGAAGATTCACAGAAAGGAGCACCAGTGGCCAGGGCAAGGGGGAGCCTAGGGGACGCCCCAGGAAGATAGAGCCAGAGGGGACTCAGAGGGGAGCAGTTGGAAATCGGGACCAGCGTCACCGCCAGAGAGCAGGGAAGAGGAAGGGAGCCAGGGATCAAGCGCTGGCAGCTCACAACAGGGGGGAGGGCACGAGTCAGGAGTGGCCACACCTCCATCGGGGAGCGAAGAAACGGTCAGACGGAAGGTGGAAGGTTGGGCGCGCGCGCCAAGTTCAAATGCACAGGAAGGTGGCACAGTAGGCAGCCCGGAAAGGGAGCCAGGTCCTAAAGCCCGCCGAAAGGAGGGAGAAGAGTCAGGAGCGTCAGCGTCAGAGGAATCCCGGAAAGAAGAGACCCCAGGGGGCAGAGGGACCCAGAGAAGAACAGTCAGGCGGAAAAGGTGGAGCAGGGCTAGGATATTAAGTTGGTGTACAAGGGGCGGAGACTCAGACGGAGCTTCGCCGGTCTAACCATGAGACGTAGAGTTGCACGCAGCAGTTTGAGAATGGAAACTGTAACTCAATAAAGACTTTTGTTTAATGATCGCTGGCTAGCGTGATCCTCTGTGAGCTAGGATCTGGAAGCAGCTCTGACAGCACCCTTAACAGGACTCAAGCCATGTAATAGTAAGCCTGATCTACTAAGGTGATTTCATAACTGACAGAAGCTGAGCAGATGCTTCAAGCAAGCGCACTCACTTGGGCATAATGCTGTCTGCCTCTGAATGCCAGTTGCTGGGAATCACAAATGGGAAGAGCGAGGCTGTTGTGCTCACGTCCTGCTTTTGAGACAGAACAGGATACTGAACAAGATAGGCCACTGGCTTGATCTAGGAGGGCTGTTTAGGAATAGGATAAGCACCCCTGTATGTCTTCAGCAGCAGGCAGAGGCATTTGCCTCAGTTTCAGGCGTTTGTGTTTTTACTTATCGCCGTCAGACCTCTTCCACTACTGAGTCTGCAGGATCCCATCTGCAAAGCAACTGGAAGCAAGGGCTCCCTCACCACTGGCCTCTATTACCTGGAGAAGGAGATTCTGCATTCAAATAGCTGCACTTTCTAACTTCTGCAACAGGAGGAATAAGCAAGCAATGTACTGCATATCCTCACTGCCTGAGACCTTCCACTAATTGTGGAAGAAAACATTTTCCCATCAGGCTCCTGAGCCCAACACTGCAAGGATAGTGTCAGGAGGGCCGTTCTCTAACACTGCCACCCACACCAGCTGCTTGCTCCTGCTTATAATGGTTTGCTTTTAAAAAAATAACATACTGTCACTCTTCGGCTTCATTTTGAGATGTGGAAACCTGTTCTTTAAATGAAAGCTGGTATTCTCAAATATCCGGAGCCAGTTCAGCCATCATCCTACCAAACTCCACACTGTCCACTTGTGTGCTTGTGGTATAATGGCATCTCTTTGGACTCTGCGCAAGGAAACTGAGCGTTTTCGCTCCCACCCCCAACAAAGACGAAACAAGACACCTTGTAACTTTAAAACCAAACTGATTCTATTTGAGAAACTAGAGAAATAATTACAGGTTGTATTTCAACTTAACAATCGGATGAAGGTGTAAAAACAGTCTTGGACCAGGCTATATAAATCTCTCTCTTTTACAGCATCAGCAGAGGTGAGGGCAGAAAAAAGATGCAAGTTGTGGCTTGAAAGAGCCACCTCACTCTCAGAATTAAGACGCAATTAAAAATATAAAGTTAATCTGTATCTTTTATATATATATATATATATATTTATATATATAATGTATCTGAAATAGGACATCTTCTTAGTCTCAAAAGAAATAGATTGCACTTGCTCTCTCTCTCCCCCCCGCCCCTTTTCTCCTACTTACCTACAGTGGTTTTGTGGTAAAAGGTGAGCTCCAAAGGTAAGAACGAACAACCCAACCACGAATCTCATTTGGCTTTCTCTCCCAGCCTGCTTGCCATAATACCCACCCTGAGTTGGCATTTGTTTCAGCAAAAAGCTCTATGCAGAGGCCAGGCACGTGGAAAATTAAGACCACATCCCCTGCCCCTTTCTTGGACTAGAAAAAGGTAACGTAGCCAAGGTTGACCCTACTCAAGCGATGCTGCAGTGGAAATTCTACTCCCGCTTCCAGACCCAAATGTGCAAGAGCCCGTGTGTTTGTGCAAGAGACAGGAATTCCTCCCACCGACCCCTCCTTACTCCTCTGCAGTCGACGTCACGAGGCAAAGGCAGGCACTGCTGTCAGAGGGAGCCCCTTTACAAATAATAACCCTCCAAGAAGAAAGGAACAGGCAAAGGGAGGGGGTGGTTTCCTGTAAATCTAATGGTGTTAGTGGTGTGTATATCAGTCTCCCGCCCGGAGTAGGAGGTGCCGAGAACTGCGCCTCCTTGGGCAGCGCAAGAGGCACCCACCCTTTTCCGCAATGGACGCATGCGAGGCCCAAGAGGTATCATGAGCTGTCAACCACCTGGTGAGGCAAAGTCACGCAAGAGCCGTTGACGAAGGATCCTTGTTTCTCGCGGCCTTTCATGAAGTAGGTCAAGAGGTCCCCTTTGCCCTTGACGAAGATGTGCCCTCGGCGCACGAAGCGGAACCCGTACTCCTTCAGAATGAAGTGGGTTTCCTCCACCACCTGGAAAAGAGGAGGGAGAAGGTATGGATGCAACCATCTGGCGGGACCAACCTTGCAAAGCTCCCTCCCGCAATCTGATGTCGAGGGGACTCCAAGCTGCATCGGTCGAGCCAATGACGTATGGCAAGAGGCGCCCAAAACATCTGCAGGGCAGCAGGTTGGCTGCTTCACCCCATCCTGTCTTGTATCTACGAGACTTCAGATTGACAGAATGAGAATGGACAGGAAGTGGTACGTTCTGCTGGGGAGCTGGGTTGCTTGGGCTTAGATGTTGCCACCACCAACAGCAGCCAGAAAGAGAAAACATCTGCTGGAGGGCAATCCTATGCAAAGGGCAATGTGAGATCTGGAAATGCCATGTGATTTGATCACACAATCCATAAAGCACACAATTAAACAGTGCGCAAGGAAACCCAAGCTGTGCTTTCAGCCTTGCTTTCCCAATTATGCTCCTAAAGATGAGAAGATGGTCAAGAGATAGATACAGGCATAGACTTCAATAACCCCTTGAACTCAGGGTTGCTGGGCTGTTTTGACCCTGCACTGCTCTGAGGCGCCTGGGAACTGTGACGGCAGTTTAGGTGGAAAGGGTGGTTTGTGCAAAATGAAAAGTATGGCTGGCTCTTCCTCTCTCCTCTAAATGCACTAACAAGGTGTGGTTTTTCAACTAATATTCTGGAGAACCTAAGGCTACCTTGGAAGTTTTGTGTGAGTCACTCTCATTCCCACCACCGCAACCCTTCACAACCCTCCTCACCTGAATATTCCCCATGACGCCTGTGGACTCCATTCGGCTGGCCACGTTCACTGTGTTCCCCCAAATATCGTAGTGAGGTTTGCGGGCACCAATGACCCCTGCAAGCACTGCCCCCTTATTCATGCCTGCCAAAGCCATGCAAGAGAGAGAGAGAGAGAAAACGTGTATTATTTATTTATTGCTTCTATACCCCACAAGTTTGTCTCCAGGGAGCTCAAGCTGGTCTACATGGTTCTCCCCACCCCCTCATTTAATCCCCACAACAACCCTGTGAGGCAGGCTAGACTGAGAGGCAGCGTGACTGGCCCCCGCTGTCGCCCAGTGAGCTTCACAGCCAAGTGGGGATTTGAACCCTGCTCTCTCAAATTCTAGTCCAACCCTCTAGCCACTACAACACACTGGCTCTCTGTTCAAGTTATAAGTGCGTAAAGTCTTTGCCCCAGTGTGCAGGGCCAAACTAAGAGGAGGCTGGAGAATGTAAGAAACCCCTTGCCAAATCAAACCAAGATGCCTCAGCGAAGCCCACAACCATTTCCCAGTTGACCACTCCCACCCTCCCTCTGCCAGGAACGTGTCAAAGTATACTGCCTGAAATCTGGAGGCTCTGTTTTGGTATTGAGGCTTAGGGCCACTGACGGACCTCCCCTCTCCATGAATCTGCCCAATCTCTCTTTAAAACCACCTGGGCCCAATGCCACCGCTGCGTCTTGCAGCAGTAAATTCCGTAAAGCTATTCAGCGTTATTGTTTGTCCCGGTTCTCCTGTCAGCCAATGTCTGTGAAGGACTCTGTGTCTGATACAGCTGGGGAAAATGTCTATCCGCGTTCTTTAGGCTCTGCCGAAATCTTCCACTTGCCTATTCTCAGCATGAAGTTATTGAAGGACTGATAGTTGATGTTCATCAGTGTCTCCTTCATGGCCAGGGCAAAGTCGGCAAGATCTGCCAAGTGCTGCCAGCGCTCCTTTTCCGAAAGATCTTCCTTCTGAGCCGAGCAAAGGAAGGAAAGCAGACAGGATTAGGTCCCCCAGGGAGGCACAACTCCACTCCAAAGTACTTCACGAGCCTCCTGAGCAATAGATCCTCTATTCTTGTTAACACAGTGAGTTACTTTGCACATCTCCAAAGGGAATGAATACAGCCAAATTGTATTTATTGAACACTAATGCTCTTTCTTTATTCCTAATATTCTGCACATTAACTGAAGCCCATTTGTTAATTCTGAAATGGATGCAAAAAGTCTTTTTCAAGCATTGAATGAGCAGAACCCGTGACTCCTCTCTCTTCCATAAGTTCCTTCTCAGAGCTCTGTCACTCGAAATAGAGGAGAAATGGTCAAGTCTCTCTCATTCAGGCTCAACAGAAGGATTTGACATGCTGCAGTGCTTGTTACACAAACCTAGTGGGCCGGACTCAGGAGTTCCCCTGGTTATTGTAAAAAGGTAAAGGTAAAGGACCCCTGGGATAGTTAAGTCCAGTCCAAGGCGACTATGGGGTTGCAGCCCTCGTCTCTCTTTCAGGCTGTGGGCGACGGTATTTGTCCACAGACAGTTTTCTTGGTCATGCAGCCAACAGGACTAAACCGCTTCTGGTGCAACAGAGCACTCTGACAGAAACCAGAGCGCACGGAAACACCATTTACCTTCCCGCCACAGTGGTACCTATTTATCTACTTGCACTGGCGTGCTTTCAAACTGCTAGGTAGGCAGGAGCTGGGACAGAGCAACGGGAGCTCACTCTGTTGCGGGGATTCGAACCGCCCACCTTCTGATCAGCAAGCCCAAGAGGCTCAGTGGTTTAGACTACAACGCCACCCGCGTCCTCTGGTTATTATAACCTTTGCTAATACGGTGCCTTCCGGATGTTTTAGACAGCAGCTCTCATCAGCTGTTGGAATAAGCTTTTCTATTCACTTCCTCCCCACAGCTGCGCAAACTATCCCCTTCCCTTCCGTTTACCTTAACAGCATTGTTGTAGCCCTTGGTGTTGACGTCGGGGGTCACTCCAGAAGCTGCCATGTAGGTGCTGCCAATGGTTTTGATCTTGGTGATGCAGCGGAACTGAGGGTCATCCAGGAGCTGTGGGAATCAATGGACAAAAAGCACCCCCCCAAAAAAATAATAATATCGTGATTACTATAGGGATCAGCAAACCAGTTAGCGGTTGCTGTGGGGTTGGTTGGAAACAATGGCACTCTATGGCCGGTCTGCCCTCCTTCTTGGCTAATGATCCCCTTCCCTGGATGGAGGGGCAGATACACCTACTCCCCACCAAGCAAATAACGCACCGCCCCACTCCAGCAAGCACATAATGCACCAGGTGCATGCGCAAAGGGTCTGGGACCCAGGCCTCATGAGAAACAGTGGAGGAAGTTGGGAAGAGAAGACCAAGAGGTGATATGAGAGCCACCTTCAAATACCTGAACGGTTCTCCCATGGAAGAGGGAGCGAGTCTGTTTTCTGCTGCTGCAGAGGGGAGGGACTTGAACCAACGGATTCAAATGGCAAGAAAAGAGATTCTGAGTAACCACTGCTCTGATGGTGTTTCCTGCTTGGCAGGGGGTTGGACTCGATGGCCCTTGTGGTCTCTTCCAACTCTATGATTCTATGATTGGCGGGGGGGGGGCGCAGTTATTGGTTTATTTTTGTTCAATTATGTACAGTGGTACCTCGGTTCTCAAACGTAATCCGTTCCAGAAGTTCCGAAATGTTTGAAAACCGAGGCTCAAAGGGCTGTCAACAAATTCAATTGAGAAAATTGAAAAACACGTTCGACTTCCGAGGCACGTTCAAAAACAGAAGCATTTACTTCCGGGTTTTCAGCATTCCGAAATGTGTGTCAATGGAGACATTTGAGAACCGAGGTACCACTGTATTTTATGTTTTTTAATAGTCTTTTTATGTTGCGAACCGCCCTGAGATCTACGGATGAAGGGCAGCATATAAATTTAATAATAATAATAATAATAATAATAATAATAATAATAATAATAGGAAGAACTTTCTGACAGGAAAAGCTTTTCGATGGGGAGACGGACTCCCTCAGAAGACAGTGGGCTCTCCCTCCTTGGAGGTTTTTAAGCAGCAGTTGTTTGGCCATTTGTCATGGACGCTTTAGCTGAGATTTCAACATTGCAGGGGGTTGCACTAGATCACCACTGGGGGTCCCCCTCCAACTCTACAATTCTGTGGTTCCATGATGGATCATCAGCCCGAGGAAATTCTGCTGGTTTGCTGCATTAGCTTTTGTACCTTACAGAATCATAGAATTGAAGAGTTATATACTTACTGATTCTTTTATTTGGAATTGTAAAGTTCCTTAGCAGGAACACCATAAAGAAAACCACAAGCTAAGACATTCAAGACCACATCATTTTCCTCCCTTTCTGGACTCCCTTACAGCAAACTAGCCAACCAGCCACCTTGGCTGGGACGACTCACCGCGTCGAAATCCGAGATGATCTCGTTGAGAAAGCGCAGGCACTCGATCCCGCCATTGTTGATGCTCTCCTCTGTGTAGAAGTCAGCAAAGTTGGGGAGTGACGCAAACATGACGCCAATCTCATCGTAAGACTGGCTGTATAGCTCCTGAACAGGAGGGAGAGGAAGGAAGCAGAAACAGAGTCCAGGATCTCGCAGCCAATTTGGGTGTTACCATTAGTGGATAGAGCAGACGATGAGAATACCCTACACTTTGGAATTCCTGCTTAAAACCTCTATGAGCTCCAGAGGACACAGATCTGACCAGTGGTGAAATCTGCAAATCAACTCATTGGATGCTGAGATATTTCGCAGGGATAAGGACGAATGAGATCTGTAATAGTTTCTTCAATAAAAAATAATAAAATTTTATTTATATCCTGCCCTCCCCAGCCAAAGCTGGGCTCAGAGCGGCTAACAACAATAAAATTAACACAGCATTCTAAAATCAATTCATTCTAAAATCAATTCAAAATCAAATTAATGGCAACCATTGGGCTAGAGTTCTGTGAGGATTACCAAAGGAGGGGGTCAGGTTGTGCCTTGGCCAAAGGCCTGGTGGAACAGCTCTGTCTTGCAGGCCCTGCGGAAAGATGTCAAGTCCCGCAGGGCCCTAGTCTCTTGTGATAAAGCGTTCCACCAGATCGGGGCCACGGCTGAAAAGGCCCTGGCTCTGGTTGAGGCCAGCCTAACCTCCCTGTGGCCCGGGACCTCCAAGATGTTTTTGTTTGAAGACCATAAGGTCCTCCGTGGGGCGTACCAGGAGAGGCGGTCCCGTAGGTAGGTAATACAGTGTTTCCCAAACCTAGGTCTAGCTGTTTTCGGACTACAACACCCATCATCCCTCATCACTGGTATTGCCAGTTAGAGATGATGGGAGTTGTAGTCCAAAAACAGCTGGAGACCCAAGTTTGGGAAACGCTGCTTTAATAGCTGAAGACCACAGCTGGATGAGGCCGAGGGCAACAAACAGCCAGATGTTTTTTTTGGAATCTGAAATCAACCTATGAACACAGGAAGCTCCAAATGCCACAGCATTTATCTATCTAGCCCAAAACCATCTGCTGTGGCTGGTGAAAGCTCTCCCTGGTCTCTGGCACAGAGACAGCCTTAACTACCCTCTCCCAGCCTGATCCTTCAAGCCGCTCGCCTTCTGATGCTCACCTCGTCCCGCTTCTTGGAGCCAAGGAAGTGTCGAGCGACGTGATCTGGCAGCATGTTGGTGACCAAGGCCTCGTTCCAGCGCCTCATCTCATAGACCCGCTCCTTCTGGTCGTGAACGTCTATCTTCCACAGGAATAAAGTCCTGGCCAGCTTCTCCACCTGCCAAAGAGTCATCCCAGGAAGGCCTCAAATAAACGTGGGTTGTCCGATCTCGGTTGTGCCTTAAGGACAATCCGCCACTATAGTTAGATGATCCAAAGCTACACTTGTGTCGGGTACTTTTGCATTTGGAAAATATGCCAGTTTCTGGGCCAGCCTGTGAGGCAGAGAGCAGCTTTGGCCCCTGGCAGATGAGTGCCACTGTTTCCATGGGAAATGGTTCCCCAACACAACTGAGTAAAATCTGCCCATCCTTTCATGCTCTGGAAGGACATGAATGAACATGGAGAAGTAGTTTGCATATGAGAGTAGCAAGGTTATCTTGCCAGATGTTGTTGGAATACAACTCCCAGCATTCCCAATCCTTTGGCCATGCTGCTGAGGCTGATGGGAGCTGGAGTCCAGGAACATCTGGACTCTATACACATCCCAAGGGGACATCATTGCTTATGTTCTGTTGCTGCTGTCATGGACCTTCAGATTCTGGGAATGAGAGAGACCGGCAGGCTACTCACATGGCGCGAGAAATAGTAGAAGCTGACCATCATCACTAAGATCATCGCTGTCATTGAATATTTGGACGGAATCAGTGAGGACCTGCAGAGCAGAGCAAAATTAGTCGTGGCCACAAAGTGGAAGGCTGATTTGCACCTCCAGCAAAACCAAATCACTATGGTATAAACCTGGGGTGTCCCAACAGGTTGATCGCGATCTAGTGTTTGATCCCTGTGAGGTTTTGGTCGATCACTGGCCCCCTTCCAGCCTCGCCCTCCATTGTTGGAGAACCGAGGCTGTTTCCCCCCCAGCGATCCTTTGGTGAGTTGCTGTTTCTCTTTGACCCCAATATAATGTAAAAACGTTGCGCCCCCCCAAAGCTAAGAAACTTATGCCCCCCGAACCCCCTAAAACTGGGCTTTTCCCCTCCCCTCAAAAAGCTCATCAACTTTGACCTGAACCCCTAAAAAATGGGGGTAGATCACTGCCAGTTTTTACTTCTGTGAGTGGATCGCAGTCTCTTGGAAGCTGGCCACCCCTGGTATAAACCAAACAATATCCCTGGCATGGAGAAAGCCACTCTTTGGGAGAAGACTAGATTAGTCCCTTTCCCCTTGATGTGCTAGTTTTCTACACAGATGGATTTATGTAGGATTTAGAAATATTTCATTTCACTTTTAATTTGTACACCACCATTCTAAGGTAAGCTAAAAGACCACTGGACATTAAATCTAGTCCAAGGTGACTATGGGGTTGCGACGCTCATCTCACTTTCAGGCCGAGGGAGCCGGCGTTTGTCCACCGACAGCTTTCCGGGTCATGTGGCCAGCAGGACTGAACCGCTTCTGGCGCAACAGAACACTGTGACGGAAACCAGAGCGCACGGAAATCCCGTTTACCTTCCCGCCAGAGAGGTACCTATTTATCTACTTGCACTTTGACATGCTTTTGAACTGCTAGGTTGGCAGGAGCTGGGACAGAGCAACGGGAGCTCACCCCATCACGGGGATTTGAACCGCCGGCCTTCTGATTGGCAAGCCCAAGAGGCTCAGTGGTTTAGACCACATAGTGTCCCATATTGCTATACACAAGGTGGCAGCAACAAAATATACAATATACAACAAAGAACACACATCTTGTAACAATCTGATCCAATACAAAATGTCATAATGAAACCTAACTTTAAAATGGAATGACTTATACCAAATAAAGTAATAGTCAATAATCTAGTAGAATATAACAGTACCCAATAAAATTAACTCTCAAAACATCAGCAAATAGTAATTGAACTGGAATTCACTCTTAACAACTACAATAAATAATCACTAAACTGTGATCAACAAAAATAACTGCAAGTCACAGTGCCTAAAATACCATTATACATACAAACCCATGTAAAAGGATCATATTCATAGTGGTTTAAGAACACGCTATGATTTTCATTTTTGCAAATAATAGCTTTGCAGCAGTTTCTCCATTATGAACCATGCCAACCTGCAGGCTTAAGTCACAGAACACAGGAAGATCTTAGTGGTGTGGGTTGGTTGGTTGTTTTTTTAAGAACTGTGCTCTTCCACATAGTGAGATCTTCCATTCCTGCCTCCCCACCACCCCCCTAGGTGCATCACCCCACACTGCTCCCCGATGTTGGGATTCCATTCCACCTTTTGCTGCAGACATGGGATTGTTGCGTGCCACGTGTCTGTTTACATTCCAGCACAGATTGCTGGCGTAAGCGGAACGTCCACTCTGTACAGCTGTTGTTTTTATGCAAGGAGAGACAACATGTTTCCTTGTCCTGATTTATGTAAAATAAATGCGTAGTTTTAGTATGTATCTACAGCCTCAAGCCTCTTCTGTCGCGCAGTATACACTGCTGAGTCAAGTGTGCTCAAGTCTGCAAGCTTGAGTCGCTGATGTACATCGGAGCAGAGGTTGATGAATCGTCGCAGCGGCAAGGCTGAGAGGGAGACGTTTCAGCTGGGACTGAGCCAGCTGGCCTTTCGACCCCGAGGTGCCAACACCCCTGACCCCGGGGGGCTTACCTGCTCTCTTGGAACCGTTCCTCGTCATATTTGTCGAAGATGTGCTCCCAGGCCACGATGTTGACCACTCCCACCGAACCGGTAATCATGAGCATCAGGGTGAGCTTGACCATGTGGCTGACTTGCACCAGCATGATGGTCGCGATGAGCGCCAACACGGTGATGTAGCTGTAGTACTTGGGGTTCTCCACGCAGCCCCCGTCTTGCAGTGCCTGCATCGTGCTGTTGTAAAAGGTGTCTTTGTAATACTGCTGGCAGCTAAGCTGCAGAGGCAGAAACAGCAGATTAGGGTTGGGCGATATCTGGTTTTCAACATCACGATATATCGCCAGCTAACTATCACGATATAATGGTATATCACAGTCTGAAATAAGGATGGAGCTTGTTTTCAACATCACGATATATCGCCAGCTGGCCATTGTGATATACTGGTACTGGAAATAAGGGTGGAGCTTGTTTTCAACATCACGATATATCACCAGCTAAACATTGTGATATACTGGTATATCGTGATGTCTGAAAGAAGGATGGAGCTGGTTTTCAACATCACAATTTATCACCAGCTAAACATCGTGATATGCCAGTATATCACAATGGATGGAGCTGGTTTTCGACATTGTGATATATCTCCAGCTGAACATCGCGATATATTGGTATATCACGATGTCTAAAATAGGGACGGTGCTATATAGAGGCATGGGCTGGCTTCACGGTTTTCCCCACATTGTGATTTTTGCAACACACACAAAGCATGATTCACAATATATTGCCGGTTCAAAAATCACGAAACCAATACTGTATCACGATATGGACTTCAAACTGGTTTTGGGTGATATAGCAATATATCACCCAGCCCTACGGCAGTTGAGTTGTTGCTGCTGTTATTGTTGTTCCTTTATTTATGTCCTGCCTTTCCTCCAGAACTGGGACTCGAGGCAGCTTGCAACGTTTTCAAACCAACACAGATAAAACACACATAGCTAAAAACTTAACAGAAGGTTGTTGTTTAGAAGTAATGAAACTATCTATGGAATTAAAACGTATCTATCAAAAGAAATCAGTTCCCCAAAGCCTGCCAAAATAAAACCATCTTCATCAGACACAACAGAAACTGGTGCTTGTTCCGTTTCAGCCACTGACCTTCCTCACCTGCCCAGTCTCTGGCAAAGGAAAGCATTCATCTCAGAGAGAACGATGGATCTCACTCAGTAAGTTTGTCGAAATTATCACTTTAATTCTTCCTGCTGGGAAACTTGTGGGTGGAGTAGCTGGCTTTTAGGAGAACTAGATGATTCTTCTTACACTCTTCAGGTATTCTTGCTTTCTTAAAAAACGGAATTCGCTCAAATCTACCCATTCACCCACCTCCTTCCTTAGTGCTATAATTCTTATAAATAAACTCTTCCTGCTGAATTTGCACAAACCAACCCATTGGAAACAGATTTCTCAGGGAGATTTGTTTTAAGATCCCTAGCCACCAGAGGGTGAAAAAGAGTCACAACACTGTCATTCTGAGGGCTGAGAAAAAAAATATGATGGTTTCTCGGGTCACAACATTTAAATCAACATCATGCCACTTTAAGCAGTCACGGCTTTCCCACCACCCCCAAAGGATTCTGGGAGATGTAGTCGGTTAAAGGAGCTGAGAGTTGTTCCCCTCACAGAGATACAATTCCCAGAGTGGTTTAACGACCAATCCCTCTTCTTGGGGAACTTTGGGAAATGTACCTCTTAGAAGGGAAAACGGGTCTCCCAGCATTAATCAAAAGATCTCAGAGCGCTTCGCAAGAATCCCAAGGCCTGATTGAAGAGGAACATCGTCGCATGGCGCCTAAAAGTGTACAGTGGTACCTCTGGATGCAAACAGGATCCGTTCTGGAGCCCTGTTCGCATCCTGAGTAGAACGTAACATGCGACTGTGTGGGCTGTGTTTTGCCGCTTCTGCGCATGACGTCATTTTGAACATCTGCACATGCATGAGCAGCGAAACCTGGAAGTAACGCGTTCCATTACTTCCAGGTCACCACGGAGTGTAACTTAAAAACGCTCAACCTGAAGCATATTCAACCCGAGGTATGACTGTATAATGAAAGCACCTGGGAAAGCTCCCTGGGGAGAGCATCCCACAAGCAGGGAGCCACCACAGAAAAGGCCAGCTCTCGTGTTGCTGCCCTCCAGACCCCTCACAGAGGAGGGACACAAAGAAGGGCCTTAGATGATGATTTCAGGGTCCGGGACACTTGCTCTTCCAACCCCTCAACCAATATCTCTCCTCGTCCATTTCGCCAAACTACTATGATCGTTCACCATCTCTGTCAACCACACGTTAAAGGTGTGTGGAGGTAGAGTGTGCTCAGACGCACAGAGATTTCCTTGTGTTTTTCTCTTTCTTTCTTTCTTTCTTTCTTTCTTTCTTTCTTTCTTTTTGCAAAGAGAGATCAGAGCTCTCTCCCTCCCCATCAATCCACCCCACAGCGCCCAGAGGCCTTCTTAAAGCTCCTCAAGGTCTCCCAGCGTGTAAATGGCAGCGCCTCCGTATCAGCCGCGTCAGCCGGGAAGGGTTCAAGGTCTGGCCAATTATTAACAGGTTCTAAAAATAAACCAGCCGCAGCTGGCCTTCTGCTAATTTCCCTTAATGATCTGCACCGCACTGCTCTGCAAACCAGAAGCGGGAGAGTTCACAGGGATGTCAGGAAAAAGAGGGGAGGGGAGGGCGGTGATGGGGAGACTTCGGGCCCATGAGGACTCCCTCCCCAATGGACCCTCTGCGCGTTCAGGGCTAGAGTCGAGGTGGCACAGGGTTCCACCCAGAAGAGAAGAGAAGAAATCAAGGAAACTCAAATGGCCTTCCGATTTTCCATCGGCCGGTTACGTTTAAAAAAAGCTATTTAAGACATTCACATGCATCTTCTCCACTTTCTGTTAAGCAATATTTCTTTTGAAACCAAGTGTCTCAAAACCATGCATTTCCTTTTCCCACGAAAAGCAACCCAGTGCCCTCCAGATGTTTTGTGGGACCAAGGACTGTGGTCCAAATCACCTGGAAGTCACCCAGATGGGGACAGCTGTCCTTGTAGCACAGATGCCCATTACAGTGGACGCTCGGGTTACGAACATTATCCGTGTGGGATGCATGTTCGCAATCCGCAGCATTCGCAACCCGCAGCTGCACGTCTGTGCACGCATGGGTTGCGATTCGGCACTTCGGCGCATGTGCGACCCCCGAAACCTGGAAGTAACCCTTTCCGGTACTTCCGGGTTTTGGCAGGTCTGTAACCCAAATAAAACACAACCTGAAGCGTCTGTAACCTGAGGTATGACTGTACTTTTGTCCAACTGCAGTCAGAAAGCTGCCAGTAGGAGTGTGGCTGCCCCACCCCAAGACACAATGCTTTTAGCATAATGCCATATTTTGGAAACAACACCACCGGCTTGCCTTCAGTGCTAAGTGAGACATTCGCACATCCCAGAACGACTCTTTTCACCGTGCTTTGGAGAGGGCAGGCAGAGCTCTTCCGCAAGATTTGCTTACCATGTCTACGATGTTCGCCATGGTGACGATGAAAATGGCAGACATGGCCCAGGTGTTTCTGGCCCACCTCGTTCTGTCGATCCACGTGGAAAAAGCCACAAGCTTCTTAGGGAAAACCTGTAGGGAGAGGAAGGCATTCGAAGCAGAGCTGGAGGAGAAGCCCTTTCTCGGACCCAGGGCCATGCCCCACAGGGGTTGGGCTAGATGACCCCTGGTACCCCTCCCCCCCCCGCACACACAACCTGGGGGCATACCACACCTTCCCAAAATATGTTCCAGAGGGCCGGAAGCACCCCTAGAATTAATAATAATAATAATAGTTTATTATTTATACCCTGCCCATCAGGCCAGGTTTCCCCAGCCACTCTGGGCGGCTCCCAACAGACTATTCAAAACACAATAAAACATCAAACATTAAAAACTTCCCTAAACAGGGCTGCCTTCAGATGTCTTTTAAAAGTCAGATAGTTGCTTATTTCCTTGACATCTGATGGGAGGGCATTTCACAGGGTGGGCACCACCACCAAGAAGGCTCTCTGCCTGGTTCCCCGTAACTTCACTTCTCGCAGGGAGGGAACCTCCAGAAGGCCCTCGGAGCTGGACCTCAGTGTCCGGGCAGAACGATGGGGGTGGAGACGCTCCTTCAGGTATACAGGACCGAGGCCGTTTAGGGCTTTAAAGGTCAGCACCAACACTTTGAATTGTGCTCGGAAACGTACTGGGAGCCAATGTAGGTCTTTCAAGACCGGTGTTATATGGTCTCGGCGGCTGCTCCCAGTCACCAGTCTAGCTGCCGCATTCTGGATTAGTTGCAGTTTCCAGGTCACCTTCAAAGGTAGCCCCACGTAGAGAGTGTTGCAGTAGTCCAAGCGGGAGATAACTAAAGCATGAACACGTGTGCGAGAGGATAGGGGAGTTGATAGTGCTCATGGGACACATTACCCAGCGCTAATTCGGATACAACACAATGGAAGCACATTTCCCCCAGGCTGAGTCCTGGGGAAGCATGGAGCCCCAGTGCCGAAGGATTTGCTTGGGGCGCAGGAGTCTTATTTCCCCACAAGCCCACCCTGAGCTCCATTGCAAGAAAGGGCACAATATACATTTGATGGATGCATTTGAGTAATGACTGCGCATTCAGTGTGTGTGTGTGTGTGTGTGTGTGTGTGTGTGTGTGTGTGTGTGTTGAGAGGGGAGGGGAGAGGCCTTGTGGGGAGAGGCCCTTACCCTGGGGAAGATGGCAGCCAGAGAGCAGAGGGTAAGGATGAGCAGCAAAACCTCCCCGACAACGAACGTCACATAATTTGTCATCAGCCTGCAAGGCAGGAAGAAAAAGAGAAAGGCAAAATGTAAGTCAAGGATCCATTGCTCTACAGAGACTTGAGAGGAAGCAGAATTCTCGGCAGGAAAATAAATAAATCTAAAAGCATATAGTGAGAGGCAGTGTGGTGCAGTGGTTAGCCACAGGGTCAATAAGCAGCCAGCATCATGTGACTTCCCCACGAACTTTGAATGCTGTGCAAAGAGAGTCATCTGGAGAAAACCAGCCTACGCTCACTCATTGTCTTAAGATGGAACGTGGGTGGAAAGAGCAGACCTTCCCATCAGCCTCTAGCAGATGTTCCGCCGGCTTCAGGCTACTCACAGGGCTGCCCCTGAGCTTTCCAGGGTTAAGGGGGTCTCTAGAGAGTCTGCTTTTTTCAGCATTCATCCCAGCTTTCTTGCACAAAACTGGTGATGTGAAACCTGGTGCGGGGGGCAGGGATAGAAAAATTGCAGCGGAGGAAATCCCATTCTCCCCCCATTTTTTTCTGAGTCCCTCACCCTCCTTGATTCTGAAAAAAGGGGGGAAATGAGAGAAAATGTCCCCCCATATTTCCAGGGGTTTTTTTCCCAGCTCTTCACATCTCTACACAAAACTTACCCAATGTTTTTTAATCTTGAATGTTTGAACATATTAAATAATAATAATAATTAAATTTTATTTATACCCCGCCCTCCCCAGCCAAGACCGGGCTCAGGGCGGCTAACACCCAATATAAAACAATTGATCGAAATACAACTTAAAAAACAATATTAAAATACAACATTAAAACATTAAAATGCAGCAAATCCATCCATCCTGATTTGCTTGGGGGTGTTTATAGGGCTTCCCATTGTTCATCCCACATTCCTAAATGTTTTGTGTGTGTGTTGGTGAATTTGTTACACTAGAGCAACAGGGTGCATTGATCCACTTTCTTATTTTTGTTATCATTTTATTTTGTGTGTATACACACACACACACACACACACACACACAGAGAGAGAGAGAGAGAGAGAGAGAGAGAAATGGTTTACAATGATCATGCAAACCTACGGCATGCACTTTGACACCCATGTCATTTTTGACCAAGCTGCACTCACTGTGGATCAATGAATATCTCCACGAGGGCGGTGAAGAAGAGGACGACGCAGGAACAGCTGAAGGCTGCCCCGCTCTGCTTCTCCTTTTCCACGGAGTACCGGGTCTCCATCTCAGGGTCGATGAAGCGCATGGAGAGTCGATAGGTGGATCTGCCCTTCATCCTGCCAGAAACAAGAGACGTGAGGAGAACTTACGATTCCTAGAAGGTCTGCAGGACAGCTATGTCCCAGCTCCACTGCTGGAAATCTGACAGGTGAGTGCTGTTGCTTGTAGGCTTCCCACAGGCATGCAGCCGGCCATTGTGAGAGCAGGATTCTGCCCTAGATGGACCATCCTTCTACAGGTAAAACTTGAAAAATTAGAATATCTTGGAAAACTTCATTTATTTCAACTTAAAAGGTGAAACTACTATATGTGATAGACTCATGACATGCAAAGCGAGATATGTCAAGCCTTTATTTGTTATAATTGTGATGATTATGGCATGCAGCTGATGAAAACCCCAAATTAACAATCTCAATGTCATGAGTCTATCTCATATATTAGTTTCACTTTTTATGTTGAATTACTGAAATAAATGAACTTTTCCATGATATTCTAATTTTTCAAGTTTGACCTGTATGTCCTTGGGCAGGAGAAGAGTCCTCAGGTCCACTGTACAGCTGCCTCATGCAAAATCACACCATGGCCCATCTAGATCAGTGCTACATACTCTGACTGGCAGTGGTTTTCTTCACCCACCGAGGTGCACTCTCCCCTGGTCTCCCAAGACAGACGGATGCCAGCCAACCAGGTTATCTAAGGCATTTTTTCACTGTCTCCTATCTGAGCCTTCCAAATGAAGAACAAGGCTTTCAAGGGCTGCTAACCTTGATGGCTATGCTCGACACCCCATCGTTTCCCAAACTTGGGTCTCTACCTGTTGTTGGACTACAACTCCCATCATCCCTAGCTAGCAAGACCAGTGGTCGGGGATGATGGGAGTTGTAGTCCAACAAGAGCTGCAGAGCCGAGTTTTGGGAAACCCTGGGAATCCACTGCTGGAGGAAGCTATGCTTCCATCTGCTGGTTGCTGGAACCACAGGAGGAGAGGGGGCTCTTGCTTTGAGGTCTTGGTTGCGGGTTTCCCTTGGGAGAATCCAGTTGGCCACAGGATGCTGGACCAGGTAGGACACTGGTCTGGCCTCCAGACTTCTTTCTGGTGCCCTGCTTCCTGAGAACCTCAGGTTTCCATTTTCCAAAATGGTAAATCAGGTATTTGCTCCCGGGACGTGGTCTGAGGACACACTGTTGGGATACTGCCAGGGAGACGGAGGCATCAGGCAGGCCCCCAGTCGTCTCTGGACGATCACCGGTCTCCCGTGGAACAGCACCAGTCAATTAGCAACACGAACCTCAGAGACATTCCACGACCCGTGCACACGCTTCCAGCAGAGTCTCCATAACAAAAGATGCTGACAGGAGAGCATATTTACAGCTTTATTCAACATAATTCAGAACAAAGGAAAACATGACTGCTTGCCTCCGTGTCCAGGAAAACAGCCAGAAACAAAAGCTATATACAAAATGGAAGTTCCCAGCAGACAGTGCTGGAAGTAAACAGGCATGTGATACACAACAATCATGCCTGAGCCTTTTAAGGTGGAACGGAACTATAACCTAACATCCTCCCCCTTTCCATGTAACCTGTAGTACCTGTAGTACCAATTGCAACCTCTGTACATAAACCTTAAGTTGTTCTCTGTTAACAACCTTAGACAACAGATCAGCAGGAATTTCATTTCCTGGCACGTAGGACACCTGAATGAGTCCTTTCTGAATACACTCTCTTGCACGATGTAACTTAATCTGCAAGTACTTGGTTCTTTGCTTGCAACTCTCTGAGTTCAGCAAAGCCAAACAGGATCTATCTTTCACAGAAACCTTGATGTCCTGAAACAGTTGCATCAGCCATTCACAATCCATGAGTGAAAATGACAGGGCATTGAGTTCTGCTTCACAGGAACTTAGGCTTACTGTCGCCTGCTTTTTGCACAGCCAGTCAAACAGACAGTGGTTGTACATGTAGCACACTCCAGAAGTGCTTGTACCATCCGTGGTGTCACTTCCAAAACTTGCATCTGCAAAGATTTCAAGACCTCCAGTCTTCTGGCTGGTGAACCTCAGCCTGTAGTGCAAAGTCCCCTTCAAATATCGGGCTAGGCGCTTCAGAGCTCTCCAGTACTGAACAGTAGGATTGTTGGCATGTCTACTAAGCAAGTTAGTGCTTACAGCTGCACAACTGCATCGCCTTGCCGATGCTAAGCCTGGGTGGAAGACCGCTGAAGAACCACCTTGGGTTCCATGATGGAAGAAAGGTGGCTGGTCTAAAGGTCTAAAAACCCTAACAGAAAATAGCCAAGGACTTCCGTACATGGGCACTAACCCAGTTCCTTCCAGCTGCTTCTGACCACAACTCCCTCCAACCCCCAACCACACCAGACACGCTCGAAGGTGTGGTGAGGAGGGAAGACTTACGCCTGCACAGACTCCCTCTCCAACAAGGCCTCGTTCAGCAGCTTGTTGAGCTCCTGTTCGTTCTCGGAGGCGTCCACCACCCTCTCGGCCAGGTCACGCAAGCGCAGGCGCCGCCGCGGGTTGGGGAAGGAGGGGTTCACCACCTGAGCAGAAGGGAAGAGGCAGTTTGGCGCAGTGGTTAGGGTGCCAGGCTGGGGCCTGGGGGCCCAGGGGTTCAAATTCCCACTCAAATCACAAAGACCGCTAAGCGAACTTAGGCTGGGTGAGCTTAGTTCCTTGCAGGAAAGACAGCACATAAATTTCATGTTTTTAAAAGGGAATGGAAATGTGAAATCTCACACCAGGGGCCAGGAAGTGGTGTGTGTTTGTGGAGAGACAGCTCACTCAAGGGTGAGTGTTGATTAAGCCATCCTAGACTGAAGGCAGGATGCAAGCAAGTGAAACAAAAACAAGAGAAGCCTTTCCTCCTGTAAATCCATCCCAAAGTTTCTCTATCTGCTCTACATCTATTTGTTTTTGCTTCCGCTCAGGATCTTCGTCATTGGTACTGCACACAGAGTTCAAGCGTTCAACACTTAAACACTTAAACACTTTCACTTAAAACAAAGCCAAGTTTCTAGCCCTCAAGACTGGAAATAATAGGTGTGAGAACACATGGTCAGTTCCTTGTGAAATCTCACAACGCTTTGACACCCCTTTGGGATGCTTTTCTCCCCAAAGATGCCTGCAGGGTCCTCAACTATCAAAGGCTTTAAAAAAACAAATAAATCCCCAGATATTCCAGCATATTCAGTGACTGGTGTGTAGATCCTTGAGGCTCCCATTGAATTTTGTCATCTTTTTTACGGCTCTGTGGCTCCATTATTTTTATGATAGTCATTATTGATCTTTGTAAGCCAGTCTGGGAACCTCTCTCAGCTGAAGGGAGAGGGAAACGTGCTTCGGACAAACAGACAAACAACTTGTGCTTTTACATTTGTAAAAAAGTGTGCATCGCCTCAGGCGATTTCTGTTGTGCGCTGGAGGGGAGCAACTGGTTAGGTATGCCCAGCTGTGCAAATTTTCTCAATATCCTGAGAGGCAATTCAAAACAAAAAATTATGGAAAAGTGGGATAGATATAAAACGTATGTTCAAAAATACAGTAAAGGTTCACTATCTATGCTAGCATTTGATTAACGTTGGAGTGAGACTGAGTTGAGAAATAAGACTAAGAGCACATATTGATATAGGAATGGATTAGATAAAATGTAAAGAAATATACAATAATAAGAGTACATTCATTTGTAAAAAAAGGAATATACAACGGGATGGACAGGAAGTCTAGTGTGTTGGTATGTATATGATTTGTGGGGGGGGGAATTGTTTTTGTTTTGTATTTTCTTTTTCTTTTTTTGTTTCATTTTCTTTCTAGGTCTATAAAATTTGTATATAATTTTTGTATACATGTTGGAAATCATATTATAGTAAGTCCTGTAATGTAATATGACAGCGTTTACCGATGTAATATAAGAATGTTAACAAATAAATAAAATGCAAATTCAAAAATAAATAAATTCTCAATTTCCATGTGCTTTCCTTGGGGAAAGCATTTGAGTGGTGCGTTCTGGCCTTGTGGCTCTTTCTCGGCCTTCCCCAGCCCCATCGTACCCTGGTGTCCGACTCCTCGGCCTCATCGGGGGTCGTGCAAGTGGTGTTGATGCTCCCGTTGCACTCCTTGGTGTTGATCAGCTGTGGCGACTCGCCGTGCGAGGAAGAGACAGACAGCTTCTGCAGAGGGAAACAAGGACATGGGCAAAGGAGGTCCAAGGCAGGGAATAGAGAGGAGCTCCTGAGGCCAGTGGCGGAACAAGCTAATTGGGCGCCTGGTGGCGGCGCATGTGCTCTGTGCCCAGGGGCGGGGCCAGGAGCCCATGGGGGTGGGGCCAGCTGCCACGGGGCGGGGCAAGTTGGGGAAGGACGTTCCGTGGGGCTAAGGAAGAGTCTGCCTGTATCCTCCCACTCCCACCCAATTTCATTTGTTTATAATGAAATTGTATTCTAAAGTTTTATTTTGAATCGCATATGGGGGCTTTTCAGAGGGATGCTTCCTGTTTTTAAACTTCTATCGCATCCTCTTTCGCTTCTGATTTCTCTGAACTGAAAAGTCCCGAATGCTGCAATATTATTCTCGTACAGGAGTGGCTCCATCCATCATTCTGGCTGCCCTTTTCTGAACCTTAGTCCAAAATATCCGGAGAGCACCAGGTTGCCCAAGGCTGGCTTAACATTTTGATTTAATTTAATCATTTTAATCACAATGTCAGTAGCTGCCTTGGACCTTACTATATTTAGGAAAGTCAGGGTATAAACCAGAGGCCAGCAAACTTTTTCAGCAGGGGGCCGGTCCACTGTCCCTCAGATATTTTTGGGGGGGGAAATGAACAAATTCCTATGCCCCACAAATTGTTACGATATAGAAGCAATGCAGCTGCAAAGTGCTAGCTTGAAAACAAAACATGATGGAATGTTGGGACTGTTCCGTGGGAAACAGAGGGACAGTCAATTCACAGGGCAATACACTGGAATTAGCTCAGAGTGTAATATCAGCTCTTCCTCTTGCTCTTGTACAGGAAGTACAGGAAGCTTTTGTCTCTCGACTGCTGGAGCTTGAAGAGAGCAGTCATGTTTTCTGTTATGCTTCAAAGACAGAAATAAAAGCATGTAAAAACGTTTCTGTCTATCTCCTTTTCCCTGCCGGGAGAGCAGGAGGGAGGGGGTGTGTTCTTCTCACGCTGAGAAGAATCGCCTATCGCGACCTAGCCTGGATCTTGCTGGGAATGCAGACAGGGAGGTCAACAGGAGACCAAGCTGGGTGCCTGGGAGTGTTGCCAGTTACTCCCGATATAGGCTTGATTTCCGACACAAATAACCCAGAGATGCATTTTAAATAAAAGCACACATTCTACTCATTTAAAAACACCAGGCAGGCCCCACAAATAACCCAGAGATGCATTTTAAATAAAAGCACACATTCTACTCATTTAAAAACACCAGGCAGGCCCCACAAATAACCCAGAGATGCATTTTAAATAAAAGGAAACATTCTACTCATGTAAAAACACCCTGATTCCCGGACCGTCCGCAGGCCAGATTTAGAAAGCAATTGGGCTGGATCCGGCCCCCAGCCGGGCCTTAGTTTCCTACCCATGGTATAAACCTTTCAAATAAACACAGTGGTACTTCCAGAGAATTTGCGCCTGTCCTTTGGGGGAGATAGGAAGCCCTGAACACATATTTTTTTGATGTCCCTTTTAGGATGAGGCACGTAGAGAAACCATTGACCCCCTGCTGGTGAGGCTTGCTGACCTCCCAGTAAAGCAAAAATTCGATCTTCTCCTCTTAGGCAAAGACCACAAGATGACCAGGATTGTCGCCAGATTCTGCGCACAGATCTGTAGGCACAGACCACCCCCTGATTCAATCTAGTTTGTTAAGAAAATTCCCAAACCCAGATCGACGAGCAACTTTGGGTCATTCCTCTACAGTAGTCTATTTTAAAGTTTTTGTGTGTTTATATGCCTATCGCACTTTTAAACCTAAAATCCATTGCTGTGTGTTGTTTTAAATGTTTGTTTTGCTTTTGGGATTGTAGTTCCATTTGTGTTTCTCAGGCTGGTCTCTGACCGTAATAAATTTCATGTCCCAGTGGTGCTTTTAAATGATTTTCCCCCCCCCAAAAGCATTCTGTTCTCACAGTGGCCAACCAGATGCCTGTCTGAAACCAGCAAGCAGAATTCGAACCCAAGAGACCTCTCCCTTCCTGGGGTTTCCAGCAACCGATATTCAGAAGAATTGTTGCTCTCAACTATAGAGGCAGGCACGGCCATTGTGGCTACCGGCTCTGAAATTTTGAGCACGGCACTAACGGAAGGCATCCTCTTTAACCCCGAGAGCAATTAGCCCGCTGGGACAGGCTATTTAGATTCCCGGCTGAACGGAGAACTAGGCTTGTTAATCAACTATTGATCCTCAGCGCCCAAGTGGATTGGAATGGAAATGTAGAACATGGAGACAACCTGAGGCAGAGAAGCAGCCTCCTGCAATCAAATCCCTTTTCATGTCACTCGTTCGCCTACAGCAGCAGCCTTCCCCAAGGACTACAACTCCCATCAGGAGTGCTGGCTGGCGCTAATGGGAGTTGTAGTCCAAAGCTATAACAAAGGCGGGATTTTTTCATCTCCTCCAAGCTAAGCAGTTGGCTCCTTACCTCTCTCGCCTTGACCTTGCCACTGTGATCCACGCGACAGTCACCTCCAGACTAGATTATTGTAACTCGCTCTACTTGGGGCTGCCCTTGAGACTGACCCAGAAACTCCAGCGGGTGCAGAATGCCGCGGCGAGACTCCCTATAGGGTCCTCGCCGTGGGATCACATTCACCCGATGCTATACCAGCTGCACTGGCTCCCGGTGGAGTACAGGATCAGGTTTATGGTGCTGGTTTTAACCTTTAAAGGACCCTCGTACCTTCGGGACCGCCTCTCCTGGCATGTCCCGTGGAGGACCTTACGGTCTTCAAATAAAAACATCTTGGAGATCCCGGGCCACAGGGAGGTTAGGCTGGCCTCAACCAGAGCCAGGGCCTTTTCAGCCATGGCCCCGATCTGGTGGAACACTCTCTGTCACAAGAGACTAGGGCCCTGCGGGACTTGACATCTTTCCGCAGGGCCTGCAAGACAGAGCTGTTCTGCCAGGCCTTTGGCCAAGGCACAGTCTGACCCCCTCTCTCCTTTGGTAATCCTCATAGAAATCTAGCCCAATGGTTGCCATTAATTTGATTTTAGAATGAATTGATTTTAGAATGTATTTCAATTAATTGACTGTGATTTTTTGTAAACTGTGCTATTTTTACTGTTGTTAGCTGCTCTGAGCCCGGCTTTGACTGGGGAGGGCATGATATAAATGAAATATTATTATTATTATTTGTCTTTGTGGAAGCCGCTCAGAGTGGCTGGGGAAACCCAGCCAGATGGGCGGGGTAGAGATAATTTATTATTATTATTATTATTATTATTATTATTATTATTAAAGATCCAGAGGGCACCAGCTTGGGAAAGACTTGTAACATAAACGTCCGATTCGCCAACCAGCCCAGTTCTGGTGCAAGAAAATGACAGCAAGGCTGATCTTTCATCATCCTTGCTTGGAAATGGATCGTAGAGCTGAAAGGGGGAGCCAAGGGTCATCTAGTCCAACCCACTGCAATGGAGAAATCTCAGCTTTCTCAGTGTTCTGGGCAGGGTTTGCCAACATGGTGCTCTCCAGGTTTTATTGGACCACAACCCTTGGCCATGCTGGCCGGGGCTGATGGGAGTCCGGCAAGAGATGGAGGGCACCACATTGGCTACTCCCCAATCTACTGCAACGTAGGGACCGGAATGCCAGGATCAGAGATTCTTAGAGGACTGGAGTAAATATATGAACTATTTGAAAAGTAATTGTGATGAACAGATTACGCTGGTAGGATTGCAAGAAGTTTTTTAAGGTGTATTATCTGAAATATTACAAGAAAGACTATGAAAAGAATTATTAGTTAAGGACAATTAAATGCAATATAGAAATTAAGATATGCAGAATAAGTGATAAAGAACGGAAAATCATCAGAGGTGTTGACGGACGTCTAAAACACTGTATAAGATGAGAAGATATGTTGTATGACTGTTGGAACTGATATGTTAAAAAATCAATAAAAATGTATATATATTTTTAAAAAAAGGAACCGGAAGGCTTCCCAGAGCACTGCAAGGCCAAACTTCCTTTGCCTCCGCCGGATCCATGCGGTGCCAGCCCTAACGTTGGACAAATGGGACATCTGTCCCTATGAGCCAAGAACACTCACCACACCGTTGATCCCGTTCTTGAGCGGCTTGTTGGTCACCACTATGAGGTAGGTGACGATCCCCTTCTCCTTCAGGTATTCGCAGCGGGCCCCGCCGTCTCCCGGCTCCACCTCAAACTCCCCCTTCAGGCAGTCCATTGTGCTCTGAGAAATGTGTACACGCCTGTAAGGGCCACATCAAAGGCAAGGCGGTCATTGCCAAGGACAGAGGTCAGAGATAGCGGAAGGGGAGACTGCAGGAAAAGCCAGAGCGTGGCCGGGGAACCTCTGTGGTACTCTAGATGTCGTTGGACTACAAATCCCATCATGCCCTGGTCATGGGTGGCTGGTGCTGGTAGAAGTTGTATTACAGTTGTAAACTGCTTGGATGTTTGTTTGTTTTTTAATGAAATTGTGGTGTACAAAAATTCACAGAATCACAGAACTGTAGAGTTGGAAGGGACCCCCAGAGTCATCTAGTCTAACCCCCTGCAATGCAGGAATCTCAGCTAAAGCATCCATGGCAGAAAGCCACCCAACCTCTTGTTGGTTGTCAAACAGCTCTTACCATCAGAAAGTTCTTCCTGATGTTTAGTTGGGCTCTCTTTTATTGTAACTTGAATCCATTGGTTTGGGTCCAACCCTCCGGAGCAGGAGAGAACAAGTTTGCTCCCTCTACCATGTGACAGTCCTTAAGATATTTGAAGATGGCTCTCCAATCTCCTCTCAGTCTCCTCTTTTCCAGGCTAAACATCCCTGATTCCCTCAACCGTTCCTCATAAAGCTTGCTTTCCAGACCCTTCTCCTGGTATGCCCGTCGGAGGACCTTAAGGTCCACAAACGACAACACTTTGGAGGTCCCAAGTCGCAAGGTGGTTAGATTGGTCTCAACTAGGGCCAGGGCCTTTTCAGTACTGGCCCCGACTTGGTGGAACGCTCTGTCACAAGAGACCAGGGCCCTGCGGGACTTGACATCTTTCCGCAGGGCCTGCAAGACAGAGCTGTTCCGCCTGGCCTTTGGTTTGGACTCGGTCTGACCTTTATGTTTCCTTCCCCTTATGGTTTTGATCTATGGGCTACTTTTAAAATGAGGCTTCATTTTAAATTGCATGGTTTTCCCTATTAGGTTTTTACTGTAATTTAACTGGTGTTAGCCGCCCTGAGCCTGGCTCTGGCTGGGGAGGGTGGGGTATAAATAAAATTGATTATTATTACAGAGGTACCTCGGGTTAAGTACTTAATTTGTTCTGGAGGTCTGTTCTTAACCTGAAACTGTTCTTAACCTGAAGCACCACTTTAGCTAATGGGGCCTCCTGCTGCCGCCGCACCGCCGGAGCACTATTTCTGTTCTCATCCTGAAGCAAAGTTCTTAACCCGATGTATTAGTTCTGGATTAGCGGAGTCTGTAACCTGAAGCGTATGTAACCCGAGGTACCACTGTATTATTATCATCTCAGTTGCCCTCCTCTGCCCAACTTTCCAGCTTGTTGATATCCTCCTTAAATTGTGGCACCCAGAACCGGACACAGATCATTGTTAATACATAAAGGAATTGAATAGGATAAAAACCTGGATGGCACATAGTTCCCAGCTCTGAAATACTTTTTCGCTGTCAAGCAGCAATGCTGGAACACAACTCCCCAAATCCGGCCTTCACAGAAGCCACAGCTGGCCAGTCCTTTAGCATTTCAGGGCTGTGGGGGTGGTACTGCAACTTCTAAATAAAGCCCAGATAGCGCTATTAATAGCCAAGCCCTTTGCCTCCAAAGCAGACGCACGAAAGGCCCTCACCATTGACCCTCTCGGAATGATGAACATTCATTAGCTCCTTTTTGCTTCTCGGCTGACTGCGTTTCACTCTTTGGCCTGATCCTTGCCCCGAAGCAACAATTTCTGACAGCTTACGAGCACACATTTATTTGTGCTTTGTAGCAACTGCAAGGAGGGAGGGGAAACACGGCCGAGTAGACAGCCCCAGCGCAAGAGGTGGGGAGCCAGAGGCCTCCAGAGGTTGCTGCGCTCCAGATCCCATCAGCCCCTGCCAGCATGGCCAATGGTCACAGATGATGGGAGTCCAGAGAGCCACAGTTCTTCACCCCTGTTCTAGAGCCAGCACGGAAGATCAATGTGCAAAACAACACGTTCCACGTATAATGGGGAAGCGGTAAAAAAAATCAACCCCATGTATCTGAAAATGATGTATAGATGGTACTTAACCCCTGTAAAACTAGCAAAGATTTATCATAAGAGTGATAATCCATGTTGGAAATGTAAAGAAAAAGAAGGTACTTTTTACCATATGTGGTGGACTTGTCCCAAGGTGAAAAACTTCTGGGAAAAGATTTATAATGAATTGAAAAAAATGTTGAAATATACATTTATTAAGAAGCCAGAGGCCTTTCTTCTTGGAATAATAGGTTTGGAATTGCCCAAGAAAGATGTCAGATTGTTTTTGTATGCCACAACTGCTGCTAGAATTTTGCTGGCCAAAAATTGGAAATCACAAGAAGTACCAACAGTGGAAGAATGGCAGATGAAGATGATGGACTTTTCGGAGCTAGCCGACCTGACTGGAAGAGTCTGTGACCAGAAGGAGGAGGAGTATCAAGATGAATGGAAGAAATTTAAAGACTATTTAGTTAAATATGTTGAGATAACTTAAACAGAATTACTTGCGAGTACCAAATCGGCCTAGGATTTAAATATGTGATGTTGTAGAATACTATGGATAAAAGTTAAAACGAAAAGAAAGAAAGATGTTAATGGGACTAAGTAAATTTTATGTAAAATTAGTTTTGGAAAACTGCTAAAATGATTTACCATATTTTTCGCTCTATAAGACGCACCAGACCACAAGACGCACCTAGTTTTTTGTGGAGGAAAACAAGAAAAAAATATTCTGAAGCCAGAACAGCAAGAGGGATCGCTGCGCAGTGAAAGCAGAAATCCCTCTTGCTGTTCTGGCTTCTGGGATAGCTGCGCAGCCTGCATTCACTCCATAAGACGCACACACATTTCCCCTTACTTTTTAGGAGGGGAAAAGTGAGTCTTATAGAGCAAAAAATACGGTATATGGAAACTCAGCCAGAGGGATTTGAGGAAGTCATCTAACAATGTTAACAAAAGCGGAATTTCTATAGTTAGGATGTTTGTTTGTTTGTTCTTTGGATGTTTTCTTTTTATGTTTGATGATATGTTTGTTTTAAAATTTGGAAAATTTAATTTTTAAAAATTTGAAAAAACAAAAACAAAACCCATGTATCTGTATGTTGAATTCTCCTCCTCGCCTTGCCTTCTTTTTTAAAAAATAATTTTTATTAGCTTTTGACACAAAACTTGACATTATTCAATTCACTTTCAGTGAACAATTTCTTACATTTTGACTTCCCCTGCTTACGTCCACGATGTTCCTGTTGTCTTCCTTGACCTGCCGCCGTAACTGCCATTTACTTTCTATTGTATTACAACTTATTTTACAACAATTTATTTATTATCCTTCCCTTGCCTTTCATTCAAATCCTCCTTGCTACAACTTATTCTACTGCGCAGGCAGAATGGGGTAAGAATTCTGGGCTTCCTGCTAAATACCTGAACCAGTGAAATGCTTAATATCCTGCAGATTAATCCTTCTGACTCTCTGTGCTTTCAGCTCTATGGAATGGTTGCAGCAGGTAAATGAGAACTATAGCTTTCATTTGGCTATAGTTCCCCCCCCCAAAAAAAAGTCCCGCCCCCCAAAAAATAGTCTGCTTGCAACAAGCTTTTGAGGTAGGTTAAGGTGACTTGCTGGAGGAGACTCTTGAGAGTCCCATGGACTGCAAGAAGAACAAACCTATCCATTCTGAAGGAAATCAGCCCTGAGTGCTCACTGGAAGGACAGATCCTGAAGCTGAGGCTCCAATACTTTGGCCACCTCATGAGAAGAGAAGACTCCCTGGAAAAGACCCTGATGTTGGGAAAGATGGAGGGCACAAGGAGAAGGGGATGACGGAGGGCGAGATGGTGGGACAGTGTTCTCGAAGCTACAAACATGAGTTTGACCAAACTGCGGGAGGCAGTGGAAGACAGGAGGGCCTGGCGTGCTCTGGTCCATGGGGTCACGAAGAGGCGGACACGACTAAACGACTAAACAACAAGGTGACTGGCCGAAGGTCACCCAGTGGATGTCATAGCTGGGTGGGGGTTTGTACCTGGGGGTTTATGCTGTCCAACCCACTAGACCACCATGGCTGTATAGCATGAGTTTATGAAAAGAAACACGATTCTCTCTGTATTTCCTATTTCTTTTGTCCTCTCTTCTTTCTCGCCTGCTGGAATGATTTCCATATATATAAATTTTCTGTTTCACAATTAAGAGTATTCATTTAAACAACCTTAAAATATTTCCCTTCTTCTCTTTCAATGGTTCATTTTGCATGTCATAAATCCCTGCATATTTTACATAAACAAAACCACAGAGCCTAGGGCTTGCCGATCAGAAGGTCGGCGGTTCAAATCCCCACAACGGGGTGAGCTCCAGTTACTCGGTCCCTGCTCCTGCCAACCTAGCAGTTCGAAAGTATGTCAAAGTGCAAGTAGATAAATAGGTACTGCTCTGGCGGGAAGGTAAACGGCGTTTTCGTGCGCTGTTCTGGTTTGCCAGAAGCGGCTTAGTCATGCTGGCCACATGACCCGGAATCTGTACGCTGGCTCCCTCAGCCAGTAAAGCGAGATGAGCGCCGCAACCCCAGAGTCAGCCACGACTGGACCTAATGGTCAGGGGTCCCTTTACCTTTACCTTTAAACAATTCAGTATTCCATTATTACATCCATCAAAACTTATCTACACTGTTGAATTTATCTTAATGTTGTCAACTTTTTAAAATATACACAATTTCCCCCCATATATTCAATAAACATTTTCCAATCTTTTTTAAACATATGTTCTCCTTGTTCTCTTATTCTATATGTAAGGTCCACAAGCTGAGCATATGCCATCAGTTTAAGTTGCCATTCTTCTTTAGTTGGGACTTTGCTCGTTTTCCATTTTTGGGCTAGCAAAACACGGGCCGCAGTAGTGGCATACATAAATAACCTTTTTAGACACTTGGGGATTTCTGTCTGAATTATCCCCAACGAAAAGGACTCTGGTCGTTGTTTTTTTGGAAAAGTGCTTTTAAACATTTTTTCCCCCAGTTCATTATGAATTGTCTCCCAATACTCTTTTACCCTTTTACAAGTCCACCACATATGAAAGAAGATACCCCTCAACCTCATTGCATCTCCAGCACTTATCTGATTCAGTCTTATACATCTTAGCAAGCCTAACATGCTGGAATGGTCCCCATCCCAGACACAGGACATTTAGGAAGCAGTGGGGAAACTCCTCTCACCCTGGGATGCCCCCGGCTTCCATCTTATTTGCCACCGTCACGTCTGTGGACCACACATCGTACTGCCAGCGCTTCTGGCCAAGGACGCCGCCCAGGACGGTGCCGCTGTGGACCCCCACGCGCATGTCCACGTCTGTTTTGGTCTTCTCTCGGACGTAGCTGGGGAGGAAGGAGCCCACGATGACAACGAACACACAATTCAATTCTTGAGAAACAAAAATCTGCCCCCAGCAGCTCACAGACAACCAGCCAGCATTCGTTTGCCATTCCTTTGGTTGCTTCGCCTGTACACTTTTAAAGGTTTCAAACGCAAGTTGCTTTAAATTGTTGTCAATGTTGGGTTTTTAAAATGGTTTTTATTAAAGATTTTCTTGGGTTACCAAAGTCCCCTATCCTATACCCTTTTAAAATGTGGGGGGGGGGGTTGTGGGGGGGTGTTATTGGGTTGTTGTTTTTATTTTGATTATATATTTTGTGGTTTTATATTTTGATTTTGTTCTGCGAACCGGCCTGAAACCTCCGGATATAGGACAGTATATAAATTCAAATAATAATCATTAATAATAATAATAATAATAATAATAATAATAATAAACAACACATTGTCTCTCTTTTCAGATCATGAAGTCCTTTGTACAGTTCTATTGAATGTGACACTTTAAATGTTGTATACAATATAAGGTTAGGGGGAAAGAGAGGTGGGGGGAGAGAAGGGGGTGGCAAACCTGCCCTCTTTTCCATAGTGTATGTGCAAGATTTGTGTGTCAGCATCACATGGATAGGCTCCCTTTCTTTTCATTTATTAGCTTTCAGTGAGAGGGGCTGGGGGCCCCAGGGCATGGTTAGTTGCCTTCAGCTGACTGCAGTAAGGTTTGTTTACGTGTGCGTTGCGGGACAGAGGTCAGTTGTTGGAGCAAGTTAGCCATGTTGATTTGTATGCTGTTGGCGTGTTCTTGTTGTCTTGGTTAATATGTTTATAATGCTGCAACCTGCTCTGGGACATTAGGGTGAAGGGCAGCTGATAGGGGTAGAAACAGATAGATAGATAGATAGATAGATAGATAGACAGATAAATAGACAGATGATAAATAGATAGATGATAGATAGATTGATTGATTGATTGATTGATAGATAGATATGTAGGTAGATAGATAATAGATAGATAGATAGATAGATAGATAGATGGATAGATAGACAGACAGATAGATATGTAGGTAGATAGATGATACAGATGGATGGATTAGATAGACAGACAGATAGATACTTAGGTAGATAGACAGATGACAGATAGCTAGATAGATGATACATAGATAGATAAGATAGATAGATAGATCGATAGACAGATGATAGATAGATGATAGATTAGATAGACAGACAGACAGATAGATAGATAGATAGATAGATAGATAGATACGTAGGTAGATAGATAGATACGTAGGTAGGTAGGTAGGTAGATGATAGACAGATAGATGATAGATAGATAGATAGATAGATGATAGAGATATAGATGATAGATAGGTAGGTAGATATAAGAAAGAAAGAAAGATGATAGAGAGATACATAGAGATAGAGATAGATAGATATAGAGATATAGATGAGAGAGAGAAATTAGACAGATAGATGATAGACAGATAATAGGGAAAGAGAGAGAAATAATGATGATGATGATGATAAGAAGAAGAATCATTGCGCTTAATAGGAAAAACACACAACCCTTGTGTTTGACTTTTAAAAAACGACTTTGAGCCAGAAGTTTGGAAACTTGAGCAGCAGGCCTGAAGAGGCACATCTAACTCCCTCCCCCAAGAGGCAGGGATGGCCACAAATCCATGGAGGAGGAGAGGGCTATCGATGGCTCCTAGCCAGGAGGGTTCTGCTCTGCCTCCACAGCTGGAGGAAGCAACTCTTCTGAAACCCAGTTGCTGGAAACCGCAGGAGGGAAGAGAGTCGCCACTGTGAGAACAGGATGCTGGACTTGATGGGCCACCCAACCTGATCTAGCAGGTTTATACTGTGTCCTTAAGAAGACATCTCTATTAGATTCTGGACAAGGGGTGTGAGATGTTGCCACCAAACATCAGGAAGGGCTTCCTGACAGTAAGAGCTGTTTGACAGTGGAACAGACTCTTTCGGGAGGTGGCAGACTCTCCTTCGTTGGAGGTTTCTAAACAGAAGTTGGGTGGCCATCTGTCAGGGATCCTTCAGCTGTGAAGGACTCTATCATTCATATAGCGAAAGAGATCTGAGTTTCCAAAAAAACAGAGCTGAGCAGCCCACCACTCCTCTCTCCCTTCTTGCACGCCTGGAATTTAAACGACTGTCCCTTGTTTCTATAAACGAGCTACTAAGCCAGCTTTCACTGCTATCCCCTGGTAATTTTCCATAAACATTAAGAGCTTTCCGTCCCTGAGACCAAGTTTTGTTTTAGAAAAATGAGGAGGAATAATTAGCGGGAGAGGGAGATTGTTTAGTGATGAACTCTGTGGGTGGAAAGAAGATCTGTCGAGAAAGGTCTCCAGCTCATATAAAAGCTCACAGCTCAGAAGCCGCCAGGCGTTAATAAGAGGAGCCATTTTGGGCCTGGGGGCAGCATTCCCTTCTGGACAAACTTTCTGGGGGCCACATGGCAATGTCTGGAGTGAGAGACAAAAGTGGGTGGAGCGACAAATGCCATTTTTCCCCCTTAGGAGGCTAGTTTCTACTCTTACATTCACACACCCCTTTCTCTGCTCCCTCCAGGCGAGCAAGGGGCAATGTGTGGCCTGGGGAGAGGGGCCTGGTGATTGTCCCAAGGGCCACATAGAGGGGCCTGGAGAGTTGCATTTGGGCCACCTCTTTAGGAGAAGAACCACAAGGTGTGAGAATCCTGGCTTGAGTCAGGGAAGGAAGAATACTTGGCTTAGTTCAAGGAAGGCAGGCAAGGGCAGGGAGGTGGTCCAAAGATCCTAACCCATCAGAGAAATATTACAGGCAAGTCCATGCCTCTGGGAGATCCGTACACACCAGATGAAGCAGCCATATTTGGGGCTGCAAATCTCTGATCCCACAGATTTCAGGAAAGAGCAGGAAAAGTGGTCCAGGAAAACCATCTCAACAATGGATCTTTGTGGAAGGAAGGAAGGAAGGAAGGAAGGAAGGAAGGAAGGAAGGAAGGAAGGAAGGAAGGATTCCTCCAGATCATAGAGCTGAAGGAACCACGAGGGTGTGGGATGTAATCCACTGGGAGCAGTCAAGTACAACATTCCTTGTTTTGCTAGAGTGGCATGCAAGGGGATGTTTGGTCCAGCCAGTTGAAACTTCCTGTTCCTCCTGGCCTGGAGCATCCTTCCTCTTGCTTGTGACTAGTAGGTGGGTGTGACCTTTCCAGACCTGGTAAAAGGCAAAGTCACGCTGCTACCGTCCTCTTTTCGACCTTCCTGTTCGTCCTGCCTGCTTCCTGCATCAGCTGGACAGGACTGCTGGCTCCCACAGCAGTTCCCCAGGTTATCTCCCATACGGGGTAGACCGGTTTGTACATGTTTGTAACTTTAAGCCTAAAGCCTGCTTTCAGGGATCACAGTGCGCTCTGCCTGATTGCGAGTAAAACTACTTTTTGTTACTTATGAATAGGACTGTGGTGTCTTTATTCTTTTAGGAGGGATTCAAAAGGGGTCTTACCAGGAATATTAGAACATAGCTCAATCTGGACCAGCCAGATTGAATTGCTTATTGTCTCAAGAAACTCACACGAGTTTGCGACCAGCTTTCTCCTGCGTAAGAAGGGGAATGCACTCTGCTAAGTGAAGGAACTTGCTAGCGCAAGTTAGGAAGGATATTAATAAACAATATATCCTCTCCTGCCACCTTCAACATTCCCACAGAGGGCCATCTAGTCTCATGCTCTACCGGCTGAGCTATTGCAGATCCATGAATACTGAGCATTCATCCTGCTTTGCTTTCACAAAGCTTACGCAGAGACTTGTCAGGAGCTCGTCCTACACTTGAGTAGGACCCTGGCAGAGACACATGCCCGACTGGCATGTTCTCTCCCTCCTGGTCGATCGGAGCTTCAAAAGCTTTCTCCTGCCCGAACATCACAGCGACCGATGTCAACAGACATCGGCACACCTAGGGATCTGCAGAGTCTTCGCAGTTTGCTTAACAACTCAGCATTTTGGCTAATCTACTTTATTTACATATAAACACACACGGATCACTGCAACATGGCTCCCTCTCTCTCTAGCATCAGACAGCAAAGAGAAAAAGAACAAAGGACAATAGTCCCACTTCACGGAACACAGTAACACAAACATCCTGTCTCCGTCACTTCCCACTCTGTGGAGTCAAAACATATACCCTCATGTGAAAGACAATAATCCCATGACTGCAATCACGGAGCAGGAATTCTAACAGATTACACCTGGTCTTTATTCAGCATTCCTGCTGATGTGGTTATGGGGATAACCAAATGTCTGTAGGTCAGAGTCTGCTGGAAGCAGCGAGGGCTTATAAGACAAAGATGTTGCTTAAGTATCCTTGCCTTCTCAACATTTTTGCAGGGAATGTCCTTTGCCTTTCTGGCAGGAACAAGGATGTGTGGGGTTTTTTAAAACTACTCTTGGAATGTTTCGAACGTGTATCATTTGCATCATTATTGCATTTGTATGTTTATTCCTGGGATCCACCTTGGGAGCCCTTTGGGCTGGAAGATGGCATATAAATAAACATAACATAACATAACAACATAACATGTGTTCATCTTGCATTCCACCTTGTGGGGTGGAATGTCAGACGTCTTCCCACCACTCCTCCGTTCATCCCACACTTTCCCCTGCACTTAGCCACCACTTTCCAAACAGTAAAAAAGCTTATTAAAAGAAAAGAAAGAAGTGGATTTGTTGGGATGGTGTGATAGAGCCTTCAAATGTGCTTTGATTGGGGCAGCCTAACATTCCAGCATGCCTCCGGATCCTGCTCATGAAATACCAACAGTCCTTCCAGAGAAAGGAAGGAAGCTCTGGATGGAAAATAAAAATGAAGCCAGAGCCAATGCCAAGAGTTAAGAGCCACAAAAATACCGGAACTGCAGGCAGGAATTGCTTACGAAATAGTTGACGGATTATGCCAAAATGGCAAAAATGACCGGAAGAATCAGAAATCAGGAAGACCAGAATTTTAAATAGGAATGGGGGAAATTTACAATTTACCTTAAAAACCATTTTAAACAGTTGTAAACAGTTAAAATTCGTTAGTAGTTTAATGATGAACTTTGGATATAATGGAGATGTGAAAGATTCGGACTATTATCATAAAAGATGCAGGAGGAAATGATTAATAATAGGACCCACAAAGGAGGAGGGAATTCCAGGAGATTCCTTGGAATCTTGTTTTTGTGGTGTATGTTTGTGATTGTAAAATGTTAATTTGAAAACCAGATAAATAAATGTATTAATAGGAACGCTTACGAAATCGCCTCCACCATAGCAAGGCCCATCAGGATAGAACAGACGGCGTGGTCTTCCCGGTAATCGGGCAGACCACAGATGCAGTAGTAGCAGTCTCCCAGGATCTTGATACGCAGCTGGTGGTATTTCTGGAAGAGCAGGAAAGGGAAAAGGAAAAGAAAAGGAAGTAATTCCAACAGTGGAGCGTTGCCAGGACATAATGTAGAAATCTGCCTCATGGAAAGCGTAATGCTGGTGGTCAACAAAAGAGGTTTAAAGGTGTCATGGGCTTTGAAAACACTCGAATTCAGGACACAAGGGAGAAACATGCTAAGAGGAAGGCACGCTTGGCAAATCCACACCATGATCAACTCCCACCAGGAAACCTATGTCCCCACTGTGGAAGGACGCATAGCTGTCAACTTACAGATTTGAAAATAAGGGACCAGCAGCCTCGAAAATAAGGGATCAGCAGCCAAAATAAGGGATTTTCTGAACACAGGTATGTTCGACTTCTGAGCCCCTCCGAGCCAAAGGCAGAAAGCCCAGCCAGCAGCCAAACGAAGCCTCAAGTGGTGGTTCCCACAGCGCAGCAACCCGGCAAAGGGAATGCAGCAAGGAAAACCACAGTCACCTCTCCGCTGGGAAGCGCTGAGCAAAGGCGAGTCCCCAGGCAACGCGGCCGATTTGATCGGCACAAGGCATGCAAGCTCCACCCCCCCAGTCGTTCTTAGACTCCTTATTGGGTGAGCAACGCAGCCAAGCAACACAGTTGGAGCCTCCCTCCTCCCTGGCCGGCAGGGAGGGAGGGAGAGGAGCTGCTTCCTTTGAAACCCGGGAAATTTAAGGGACATCATCAATAAGGGACAGCAGCGGGACACGGCGCTGGGATAAGGGACCTTCCCGCCAAATAAGGGACGGTTGACAGCTATGGAAGGACATGTGGATCCAGAATTGGCCTCCACAGTCACTTATGGACTCATTGTTAAAACTGTGTTTACGGAAGACAATCTTCCTCAGCTACAAGTGATGGCCAAAGAAGAAGAGAATCCTGGAATTGTAGAGATGGAAGAGACAGCAAGAATCATCTAGTCCAACTCCCTGCAATGCAAAAATATGCAGCTGCCCCTTACGGGGATCAAACCTGCAACCTTGGAGTTAATCAGCACCACGTTATCGGCACCCGCAGTTGTTAAAATTGTTTATTTTATTATTTCATAATAAATTTACATCCTGCTTAAGCGCAAAAAAACAGAACCACCTCAAAGCAGTTTAAATAAAGAACAGAACAATAAAACAATCAGTAAAAAGATATTTCTACTTAAAACATTTATATTTAAAACGTTTGTATTTATATTGATGACATTCAAAGTTATCTGTTTCAAGGGCAGGCTGCTCTATCCATGCTGACCTTCAGATCTGCTGAAACTGGTTTTTTGGGTACAATTTCTTGCATGGCTTGGAATGAAGTCTCCTAACAGAAAGCGTTGGGAGCCCAAAACACCCTTCCTTATCCATTCAGCCTCTCTGTTTAGTTAAAGAGAAGCTGTTTCTCCTCTCTGAGTTGCATTCACAAATCTTACCAACCCAGTTTTGTCTATTTCCCAACGGAACAAGGCCTTAATTAAATAACAGAGGACGGTAACCATGAAAATTTGCAAGAGTAATTAAAAAAAGGAGCAATTTCCCAAACAAATATTGGTAGTATAAAAGGATTATCACGTGAGTTTAAAAAGGATTCAAATGATCATCCATAGAACTGCTCCCAGGCAGACAAAGGAGGAGTTTTGCTCCAGTGTTTATTGATGGTTTATTCTTCTCTGCCACAAAAATGTGGATTTTAAACAGCTGGCATTATAATAGGTCATAAAATTGAAGGCATTCAGCCCTTCTTTATTGTAAGACCAGCAGGCTCCTCCCCAGCCCTGTTTGGGAATCCTAAAAAAACCCAAAAAATCAGTGCTGTTCAAAGTTCAGTCCACCATCTTGATTCAAGATGGCAGCCAACTGTATTCAAATATAAACAAACACATGCCCCCTTGGTACCAGGAACCGTATTTCTATGGTTGTAAGTTTTTTTAAGTTGCTTTAATATTGCTTCTGATGCTGTAACCAGCAGTGGGACCTTAGAATGAAGGGCAAGAAATAAATACATAGCTAAATGAAAGAAAAACTTGGTTACGACATCTTAAGAGGTGTCGAAAAGCATAGCGAAGAAATGAACTAGTTTGCAAAATATACAGCAGACTCACAGAGAGCATCCAGCGTTGCCTGTGAATTCTTAGAAACCAAAAAATACTGAGGTTTATACATTTATTTGTCTGTTTCTTAATGGAGGAAAAATATGTATTTTCTAGGGCTGTGCATAGCCTGCCAGTTCCAGGGCAAACCCTGGGAGGTAACTTATACTGGGAGCAACTGGGCAAAGGTGACTGAGCAGGGATTTGAAACCTATTGTCCTTGGGTCCTTGTCCACTGTTCTCGCTCCGCCATCAGAACCAGTGTGAATACCAGTAGTTACTGGGAGGAATCACAGCTGGGGAGGGCGCTGTCTCTCCCAGGTCCTGCATATGGGCTTCTCGTGGGGGCACCTGGTTGGAGACGGTGAGAAAGGAGTCTGGACTGGATGGGCCTTAGGCCTGATCCAGCGCCTGATTTACATACAGTCATACCTCGGGTTACAGACGCTCCAGGTTGTGTTTTTTCAAGTTACGGACCCGCCGAAACCCGGAAGTACCGGAACGGGTTAATTCCGGGGTTTGGTGATAGCACATCCGCAGAAGCGCTAAATCACGCTTTGCACATGCGCAGAAGCGCCGAATCGCAACCCACGCGTGCGCAGACGTGCCGCTGCGGGTTGCAAACGCTGCTGGTTGCGAACATGCATCCTGCACGGATCACGTTCGCAACCCGAGCGTCCACTGTATAAGCTAAGTGAGCTATAGCTTAGGGCCCCACTCTCTTGGGGGTCCCAAAAAATTTAAAGAAAAAGACAACTGGATGTACATTTCCAAAATATAAGATAAAAAACAAATAAAATAAAACCTACATACAGCAACGGTGTTTTGCGTTGTGTAGGCTCCTATGATGTAAGCAATGGGCCCCGCCTGCTAGCCTGCTCCCTAAAATATCACTGGTTTGCTCATTTCTGTATATAGGGTGCCTACATTCTGCATGGACTGGTTGCATAACAACATGTGCAAATAGCTTTAGATACCTATTAGGTCCATCAATTACCATATAGCATATATTCAACACAAAAAAGAGAGATAATTTGTTGTAGACAAAGGACAGCTGGACATATAAAGGGCCCCATTATCTTCACTACCCTACAGCCTCATCAAACCTAAATCCGGCCCTGGCCTGATCCAACAGCCATGCTCATCTTATGCTTTGATTCTGCCACACTAGCTTCCCCCATGGTCCAGAGCAGTGCCCAGCTTTTTACAAGCACAGAGTTAGGGGGTTTCCCAAAGGTCATCCAATCCAGCCCTCTGCCAACACTGGAAATTCAGCGTCCCTGATTGGTGGCCGTCCAGCCTCTTCTTAAAATTCTCTAATCAAGGCAAAACCCGCCACCCGCCCCAATTTCTGAGGCAGTTCTCTTCCACTGATAAAAAGCAAATCCACCCCCCCCCCGCCCTCTCAGGAAACTCTTCTTAATCTCTTGTTGAAATCTCTTGTTCCTGAAGAGAGTGGCTAAAGCCTGATGGAGGCTGAATTAGAACAGAGGATAATGTGTCCCTGGGCTTCGTAAATAGGTTTTATATTCTGATATTCCAGGAAACGCAGCTATATAAAGGTATCAGTTTACCAGGATATGAACCTCTCAGTCCCTGAGCGCTGTTAATCTCATGCAATGGAGTGCTTTTCTGAGAACGCCCACAAGGCCAAGAAAACAAGGTGGCAGAACTCAGCGCTGCTCGGGCAATTGTGCATAGATGTCAAGCGTCCCTTATTTGGAGAGACAGTCCCTTATCCCAGAACCATGTCCCGCTGCTGTCCCTTATTGATGGATGTCCCTTAAATTTCCCGGGTTTCCAAGGAAGCAGCTCCTCTCCCTCCCTCCCTGCCGGCCAGGGAGGAGGGAGGCTCCAACTGTGTTGCTTGGCTGCCCGGCCCGGCCCCCTCTGGCCCCCTCTCACCAGCCTTGGCCCCCGGGAGCCCCTCCCTGCCGGGACTGGCGGAAGCCTCGGGCCCTTCCGCCACCATCCTCCTCGCGGCTGCTGAACTGAGCATCTCTGCCTGGGGCCTCCCCTCTGCCTCTCACCGCCGCTCCCACTAGGCCGTACTGCGGCTGTGCCGCTGAAGGACCCGGATGAGATGGGCAGCCTGGCATGGTCTATGAATTGATGAGGAGCCTTGAGAGGAGAGTGAGGGCAACCATAGAGAAAGCAGTTCAGAAAGAGGAGGAGGAGGAGGCGGAGGCGCGGGCAGGTGTTCCAAGGGCTAACCGTAGAGGGGGAAAGCGGAGGAAGGACCGCAAGTGCTTCTCCCATAGATTTGTAGTGGTAGACTAGCATAGATGGTCTGATCTGCGGGTTTACTTTGGGCGCTATTTTCCCTCCCCTCTCTTCCTCTCGCCCCGCCTGATGGAATTGAGAGCTGCAGATGGAGCACGAGAGAAAAGATGCAGAATTGCAGCAGCATCTTCGTAGCTTGGACTTCGTTTTGCGCAAAAAGTGGTTGCTGCTTGTAGTTCTTTAATTGCAGTGTTTCATCAGCTGGTGTCTTGAGCAGCAACCTCTGGAAACGAAGGGCTAAAAACTGGCGCTGCTCTCCAAAATTATCTGGTCCCTTTTAACTTGGTATTTCAGCTGCTTGACTAAAATCCCTTATTTTGGCTGCTGATCCCTTATTTTCAAGGCTGCTGGTCCCTTATTTTCAAATCTGTAAGTTGACAGCTATGCAATTATGTCCCTCCTGTTCCTGGCCTCTGGCGCCACACAGGAGAAGGAATTGTACACACAAAGCGGTGTATAACTGGAACAAGGACTGTTCCCATGACATCCCATCCCCAACTCAACCAGTCCGGCCAGCATTCTAGAGGGCAAATCCTGAAGGAACGCACGGTCTGCCGTGGAAACTTACCGCTGCTAATTTGTCGAAGCGAGCGAAGAGCTCGTTCAGAAGCTTGACCAATTCCTGGGCGCTGCAGGAGGACGATAGCTGCGTGAAACCCACGATGTCCGCAAAGAGGATGCTGTGAAACAGAAGGACCAAAGGAGATTAGGTTGGCAGGTCATGCGAATAGCTGCTGTAGCAAGAAGCTCCTGTACCAAGTTGGGGGCCAACTAGATTCCTCCAAAAATTGACTTTTTCGGCCTGGTGATTCTACTATTTACGGGACTGCCTCTCCTGGCATGCCCCGCAAAGGACCTTAAGGTCCATGAATAACCATAGTTTAGAGGTCCCGGGCCCTAAGGAAGTCAGACTATCCTCCACCAAGGCCAGGGCCTTCTCAGTGATGGCTCCAACCTGGTGGAATGCTCTGTCCCATGAGACTAGGGCCCTGCAGGATTTAACCTCCTTCCACCGGGCCTGTAAGACAGAGCTATTCCGCCTGGCTTTTAATTTTAATTCAGCCTGATCTTTTATTTCCCTTCTCTTCCTTCCCCCTCCCCTTTTAGGAAGATCACCCGCTCTGAGACCCCACAGCTAATTCTCCCCTGGCCTCCTCGCTGGCCCAAGTAGGACCAATTCAGCCAGCTAGCCCTGGTGATTATCTAATGTTTATTAGATGGATTTCCCCTAAATTGATTTCTGAATTTTGAATTTTATTGTTACCCATGTTTTTATACTGTATTTTATGCTGCTTTTACAATTAAGGGTTTTAAATTTGTTGTTAGCCGCCCTGAGCCCGGTTTTTGAACCGGGAAAGGTGGGGTATAAATTTATTATTATTATTATTATTATTATTATTATTATTATTATTATTATTATAACCTTTATTCAGATCTCATGTTGGCTTTGGCGATATTTTGCTTACTGGAAATCCCTTGCAGATGACCGCAATGCCTGGAGACAAGCAGTCAGGTCGTGTGTCCGTAGCAGTGACCAGAGGAGGAAAGACCACTGGGAGGAGCACTGAGAGAAAAAATGTCACGGTATGACTGCAGTAGCACAACTGGTTGCCTTCATCTGCCCCGGCTGCAACGAAACATGTCTCTCTCACATCAGTCTCCACGGATGTCTCGCAAGACAGACAGGTGCCAACTTCTGGTCTGCCTGTATCTCAGCTTAAGCTACTATTTTACATCTCACCCAGCTTGCGTGAAGTTTCCTCAGTTCCCTTCCAAGTCCCCTCTCCTCTTTGTCTCAACACTTCTAAATTGTGAGACTATTCGTTTTATTTATGTACAGCACCAACAATATTTCAGATATTTCAATATTTCTTGCAATGTAAGCCCTGTTTTTGGAGGTGCTTTTCCTGGGGAATGCTCTGGGGACGGCAGCGAACCTATTCAGACGCAGAGCTTTAAAGTGTGGAGGTGCACCTGGAAAGCACAGCACAAAATGAAGTTTGGATTAGCCTTTAATCTCAGTTTCCCAGCTGCAAACCTTGTGCCTCCTTCGTTTGCTGAGCTCTGGGCAAAAGACTCCCCTCTGTGTCTCCTTGAGAAGCAAAACCTGCCTCGGCACCAGGCAGGGCCTTCTCGGTAGTGGCACCTCGCATGTGGAACTCCCTGCAAAAGGAAGTCCCGCTCCTTACCTGACGTTCTCATGGCGGTACATGTACATGGTGTTAAACTGCTGCATCTCCTTCTGGCTGGCATCCTTCTTCATATCCTTGAGCATCTCGTCAGCTACGTGCCTGGGCAAAATCGACAGCATCAGGCCTTCCTGAGGCAGGGACACAAAGAAGGGGAATGTGAGAAGGTTGGGTAAGACTTATTCACCTGCAAGACCACCCTGGAATTACAGTCAATTAATATCGGGATTGCAATGACAAACCTAGACAGCATCTTAAAAAGCAGAGACGTCACCTTGCCAACAAAGGTCCGTATAGTTAAAGCTATGGTTTTCCCAGTAGTGATGTATGGAAGTGAGAGCTGGACCATAAAGAAGGCTGATCACTGAAGAATGAATGCTTTTGAATTATGGTGCTGGAGGAGACTCTTGAGAGTCCCATGGACTGCAAGAAGATCAAACCTCTCCATTCTGAAGGAAATCAGCCCTGAGTGCTCACTGGAAGGACAGATCCTGAAGCTGAGGCTCCAAGACTTTGGCCACCTCATGAGAAGAGAAGACTCCCTGGAAAAGACCCTGGTACTGGGAAAGATGGAGGGTACAAGGAGAAGGGGACGACAGAGGACAGGATGGTGGGACAGTGTTCTTGAAGCTACCAGCATGACATTTACCAAACTGTGGGAGGCAGTGGAAGACAGGAGTGCCTGGCGTGCTCTGGTCCAGGAGGTCACGAAGAGTCGGACATGACTAAACAACAACAACAACAACAATATCAGGATTTCCTCCTTATCCTGTGGCAAGCAAGAGAGGCGGAGCTCAGCATAGGCGTGTGGAAAACCTTAGGATGAAATTTCCAGCCTTGGCCAACCTGGGGCTGTCTGGGTATTTTGGAGTCCAGCTCCTGTCAGTTCCTGCATCGTACAGCTTTGCTGGTTGGGGCTGATGAGAATTGCAGTCCTGAACTTCTAGAGGGAACCACTAGGCTGGCTCTCCATGAAGGAGTTGGTCCAGTTTCAAGATGAAGAACCAAGAGCCACGCTGGTTTCCGAGCACAATTCAAAGTGTTGGTGCTGACCTTTAAAGCCCTAAACAGCCTCGGTCCAGTATAACTGAAGGAGCGTCTCCACCCCCATCGTTCTACCCAGACCCTGAGGTCCAGCTCCAAGGGCCTTCTGGCGGTTCCCTCACTGCAAGAAGCCAAGTTACGGGGAACCAGGCAGAGGGCCTTCTCGGTAGTGGCACCCGCCCTGTGGAACGCTGCTCCCAGCAGATGTCAAAGAGAAAAATAACTACCAAACTTTTAGAAGACATTTGAAGGCAGCCCTGTTTAGGGAAGCTTTTAATGTTTGATGCATTACTGTATTTTAATATTTTGTTGGAAGCCGCCCAGGGTGGCTGGGGAAACCCAGCCAGATGGGCGGGGTATAAATAATAAATCATTATTATTATTATTATTATTATTATTATTATTATTATTATTACTAATTATTATTATTATTATTGGTGCGGCAGGAGAGGGTGGCAAGTGCAGCAGGAAGATTCAAGGACAATCAAAGAAACATTTAAACACTTCAGCCTAGTATAATATAGTAACATCAACTCCACTGTGTGGGAATTCCATGCAGACGACCGCCTGGAAACATGTAGTCAGGTCATGCATTCACAGCAGTGACCAGTGGAAAAATGACAGCTGGGAGTAGCACAGAGAGAAGAAATGTCATGGCGAACCTGCGTCAGAACAACCAGACGCCTTGCTCTGCCCCGGCTGCAACAAAACATGTCTCTCCCGCATCGGTCTCTACAGCCACAGCAGGCGCTGCAACCTTCCAACAGTTTGGCTTCACCCACAAAGACGCCCTCCTCCCTTTGTCTCCCAAGACAGACATATGCCAACAACAGTAGCCAAAAAATGATTATTATTTTTAATTTGCAGAATGTGTAGTTGCATTGTTTTGCACCTTCCAGATGCCCCACAAACGTATTATAAAGTAGTTGTGTTCTGTGTTCTAAATCAAGCACCGCTAGGAGTTGTTTCATTTTGTTTTCCGATGTCTTTCTTATCAATAAAACATCTGCTGTGGTGCAAACCATTGTTTATTCCGAAAGTGTGGCACCGAGAAAAAAGTTTGAGAACCATTGCTTTAGTACCTGGAGGGCAGGCTGAGCTGGAACGCGCCATCACCATCCTGCCCAGATGTATTCTATTTCTGTTTAAATTACAGCAACCTTTCCTCGATTTCCACCTGTGCCTATAAATCAGCATGCACACATTTTGTATGCAAACCTGTCCTTCTTTTGATCTCTTTCTTGCTGGTCCCTAAGTGGCCACTTTAGGGCACCTGCTACCATCCAAAGGCCTCAGTGTGTCAGTGCATACCCCAGACAGTGTTTACAACATTTCCTTTGGAAATGAGACATTATTACTGCCACTCTCCTCTTCCCTTCCTCTGTGCGAAATCTTCTTCCTATTCTTGTGTTCGTAGACACCACCTGTACCACCCCAGCAGAATGCAACCGCCGCATTTCGGAGCGTCACGACGCGCTGTCAGGCTCTGGCATAAATGTGCCGGCAGCTTCCCTCTGGTGGCACTTACAGCACAAAGAACGATGATTGTTCCATGAACACACCATCACCTTCTTACAGGAGCAATTCCTTAGACAGGCTGGCCAAACGCAGCGGAGACCAGGGCTGTACCTTGAGCATAACGAATCATACAAACACAGCGAGCTGCCATAGGGCCCACACAGACTTGCCCACGAAATCCACAATTTTACTCAATCAATTTGTCCCCTAGCAGTCCCGGAGGCGATTTTAACCCAAGTTTTCGCATCCATTCTCCCCAGTTGCTGTTTCAAGCAACTGATGGGAAGTTCTGCTTCTGCACATGAGTCTGGCAAACCGCTCTAAGCTGGAGCATTGCTTCCTCACCCACCCACCCTAGAATGTTTAGTTCACATTGAGTTCATGAAACATCGTACCCTGACCTGTTCTTGATGCATGGTTGACCACGTCTGCGGAGTGCGGTGGTTGTGTTCTTTTAAGTCTTGTAATATCAATCACTAGTAATAGTTTAATAAGGAGGTTTTCATACCTGTCCAACCATGTGTTCCCTTTCCCAACCTTTAATCTATTGATGATTAATGCCTATATGCAACCCTTGCATTGTATTCGTGTTAACCAATCAGCAACAAGCACATATGTGGCAATGCTGTAATATTCAATAAAAGGGACTCCCCGAGACACGCTCGAGAGATGCCTCCCATATGACACTTGTCATTCGTCTGTCGTTTATTTCAACCCAACAAGCAACCATGCTTCTTTAGAGGAACTTCTTTAGAGGAAGTTCCACATAAAAAAAACCCCACTTAAAAAAAAAAACAGAAGACAACGGTGTCCATGGAAAGCTGGTAGGAGAGCTTTTAAAGCAGAGCAGCTGTCCTTTCCAGATTTTCCAAGCATAAGAAAACTCTGGATTTAGCAGGGAGAAAGTTTGGGACAGCAGCTGTTTCCGGTGGACATTGTATGAACAACAACAGACCCTCCATGTGCCCCTATTTTCCAGGGACAGTCCTGGATTTACAGAAGCTGTCCCGGATTCTGATTTGCCCCGGAATGTCCTGCTTTTCCTTAGGATGTCCCTAAGGTGTGTGTAGTTAGGGAGCTGCGCGGTCAGGGAAAAAACAAAGCTGTCCAGGGCTGTAAAGACTGCGGAGAGAATAATTGGGTGCACTCTTCCAACCTTGGATCAAATCTATGCTTCCAGGTGCCATAAGAAAGCTGCAGAGATAGCGCAGGATAGTGCGCACCCCGGAAATGATCTCTTTCAGCTTTTGCCTTCTGGAAGAAGGTACAGGGTTATAAAGACTAGGACTAGCTGCCTGAGATTCAAACGCAATTTTGGTTTTAAATGCAGTGTAAGGTAGTCTCTATGGGAGTATACTGTATTTAATTATGGGGTATCAGAGTTTTTAGGGGGCTAACCAGCCTGGGATAGCTGGGATAGCAGGCTTGTTGGTTTTGAATGTCTGATGTAGATTTTTTCAATATTGTTCTGTATGGGACAGTGACAATAAAGATTATCGTATTGTATAGTATCGTATCGTATTTTCATCAGAGAAATGTTGGAGGGTACAGAGTTATGCAACCTGCTGAGCCAAGGAGATTAATAACAATACAACCTTGAGAAGACACCTGAAGGCAGCCCTGTCTAGGGAGGTTTTTTTTATATTTCATGTTTTACTATGTCTTTATATATGTTGGAAGCCACCCAGAGGGGCCGGAGCAACCAAGTCAGATTGGCAGGGTCTAAAGATGATGATGATGATGGAATAGCACATCCCTCTTTTCATCAGATAAATGCTGGTGGGTATGCAAGGGGCATTAAAGGATGCACAAGGGGTTCATGTTCCACATTAAGCAGTGCACAGCGCCAAAAACCACAGGAAGGGAGAGTTGCTCTTGTGCTCAAATCCTGCTTGCTGGTTTCCCATAATGGGCATCTGGTTGGCCACTGTGAGAACAGGATGCTGGAGCAGATGGACCACTGGCCTGATCCAGCTAAAGGCTCTCCTTATGTTCTCATGTGGATGGGCAGGAGGGCCAGCCATGGGTCTCTCCAGCCTTGTAAGGTCTACACCAGCCTTTGCCAACCTGGTTGTGATGGCCTGGGACTTGGGCTCGGACTCGGAACCAGAGGAGTCTCAGTCCGCACCGGATCCTTTGCCTCAGGCATCATCTGAACCAAGTCTGGGGCTTGATCCTGAAGAATCCCAGTCTGCACAGGTTCCCCTGCAGCAAACACCAGCTGAGCCAAGTCAGGGGCCTGAGCCTGCCCTGGCTCCAGATGCAGGGATGACCTCGTTGCCTCCAGCTGGGCCATCACTTACAGCTGCTCCACCACCAGTTGGATCAGGGGAGGCTGAGGCGGCCTCTGGGTCTAGTAACCCACCAACGTCTCCCGAGCTGCAGAGACTGAGGTCTGAGAGAAGGAGAGACCTGAGTACTTGCAGGAGGAGTGCTCGCCTTCAGGCGAGACAGGGAGGTGAGTTGCTGGGGAATCAGGACCGGCCGTTACCCGACAAATATAAAAGGCTGTCGGACCCCGCCCTAGGTTGCGGGAGCAACGTTGCTGTTTGCCAGAACCTGCCTGTGATCCTGTGCCTGATCTTGTCTGGTTTTCTGCCACGTGTCCTGCCTTGGCCCTCTTGGATTGACTCCTCGCGGAACCCTTGGATTTGGGACCGGACCTGGACCGTATTGCTCGGGTTACCCCCGGACCTAGCATACTGGTTCCCTCCAGATGTTCTGAACCACAACTGCCATCAGCCACAGCCAGCTGACTACAGCCAGGAGTAAAAAACATCTGGAATGCAGCAGGTTGGCAAAGGCTGGATGTAGAGAGCTACCCATCTCCCCAAAGCAGCTACCCACGTGGGAGGCTGCCCACCTCTTTCCCCATTCAAGCCACCCTGCTGCGGTTGTCTGAATCAGTCCCAAAATACATCAGGGAGATCCTCAGATAGCTCTCGCAGCCTGTACATTCCTTTTTTTGGCTTTTTCTAACAATACAGAAGCAAGTGACTAAATATAATACACATCACACAGCCCTTCTCATAGCTGACGATCGGATATTTTGACAGGCTCATCCCATCCTATGCAAATGTGAGAAAAACCAACTCTCTGTAAAGAGTGCGTTATCCCAGCAATTCAGAAGGTGGTACCTCGGGTTAAGAATTTCATTCGTTCTGGAGGTCCGTTCTTAACCTGAAACTGTTCTTAACCTGAAGCATCACTTTAGCTAATGGGGCCTCCTGCTGCCGCCACACGATTTCTGTTCTCATCCTGAAGCAAAGTTCTTAACCCGAGGTACTATTTCTAGGTTAGAGGAGTCTGTAACCTGAAGCATCTGTAACCCGAGGTACCACTGTATTTGAATGCTTTAATAACTCAAAACAAAACAAAACTACTCCTTTTGCAACGTGCACGGTCAAACTGTGGAATTTGCACTGCCAAGATGCAGCCATGGCCGTCAACTTGGGATGGCTTCCGAAAAGGGCTAGGCAAATTTGTGGAGGGCAAGGCTACCAATGGCTGCAAGCCATAATAGCTATGATGATCACTACTCCCACTGCCAGTGTTCGTACGCCTCTGAACACCAGCTGCAAGAAATTGCAAGTGGGGAGACAGCGGTCCACAGCTCTGAACGAAACCTGCTTTCAACCCAAAGTGGAAATATCGGAAGATCTCATTACAGATCTCTCGCGTCTCATCTTTAGCTTTCTTGGGGAGCTTTCCTTAGCTTCCTGGCTGGGAGTTTGCTTTCCCCCTTCGGAACATCAGACACTCAGCGTCAGCCGGCACTTAGCATCTCATCCTTCATTTCCTGAACCGATCTGTATTGTCAAATCATCCTCATTAAAACCAAAGCATCAAATTATACCCACAGCATCCTCCCTGAACAACTCCCAGGGGGAGGCAAATGGCAACGGCAGACGCAAAAAAGCAAACATCAACGGCTCAAGCCAGCCTTACTCCAAGGCTTGCACACGGGGGGGGGGGGCAGGAGATAGAAAAAACCCCTAGTTTTCATTTCACCGGCTGCTGTAAACACTTCAGCTGTCCAGGCAAACCGGCTGCCTCCGCCCCTCTTCACAACAGCCACGCATTCCAAACCAAGAAAAATGGAGAAATAAAACCCTGCTGGGGAATCACAAACCCTGGGTTCAAATGTGGCTCTCCAGGTCTCTCTACCTGACCCCCCCCCCCGAAGACTAGCCCTAGGTCACCCTCCCTGCTGACCAAGCTTTGTATAACAAGGTTTTTTGCCTCTGGCCTTCAACTCTGCTACGTTTGAGAGGAGGGTGGTGCGCAGAAACTAGACTACTGTAGGAAAGTAAATATTGCATTTGCTTCTCTGCCCCCTTTGGCCCACCACTGCCGTGCAGTCCCTGAAAGGCTGCCTCAAAGAAAATATGGCCCTCAGGCTGAAGAGGGTTCCCCCTCCCACAGCATGCTATTGAAATAAAAAAATTAAGGTCTTTTATATATAATAAATGTTCATAAATGTACCAGGCAAACATGTACATAAATATATAAACCACATGTCTGAAGCAGCACAGGAAAACAGCCCTGAAATCATTTTGACTCCCAAACTGACCAAATGATTTCTCTGCAAGGTCAAGGAAAATGGAAAAGCCTCCCCAGTGCCAGTGTGGTGTAGTGGTTAGGAGCAGTGGACTCGCAATCTGGGGAACCGGGTTCGCTTCCCCGCTCCTCCACATGCAGCTGCTGGGTGACCTTGGGCCAGTCACACTTCTTTGAAGTCTCTCAGCCCCACTCACCTCACAGAGTGTTTGTTGTGGGGGAGGAAGGGAAAGGAGAATGTTAGCCGCTTTGAGACTCCTTCAGGTAGTGATAAAGCGGGATATCAAATCCAAACTCTTCTTCTTCTACAGGAGTGCCAACTTGAATAAAATATGGGGAGGGGGGGTTTCCAGGTAAGCACTGCCCCATATAATTGATCCCATGATGCTGTGCAAGCACATTATTTGAATGGCAATGCCCATCAACTTTGGGGTGATGACGGCCCCCTCGATTTTTTTATTGGGGGGCCCAAAGACCCCTCCGCCCCTAGGAGTTGGCTCCTATGGGGGACTTGCTGGGCCACCAGCCTGATGCAGCAAGCTCTTTTTATGTTCTTAGGATCAGGACCCCCCGCTGGTGGGGAAATATACAGTCCTCCCTCAGGTTACAGACACTTCAGGTTGCGTTTTTTCGGGTTACGGACCGCCGAAACCCAGAAGTACCAGAACGGGTTACTTCCAGGTTTCGGCGCTCGTGCATGCACAGAAGCGCTAAATCATGCTTTGCACATGCGCAGAAGTGCCGAATCGCAACCTGCGCGTGCGCAGATGCGCCACTGTGGGTTGCAAATGTGCATCCCGCACAGATCACATTCGCAACCCAAGCGTCCACTGTGCATTGAATGCACTCTACAGATTTTTAAATAAAATAGCAGCAACAACAACCGCAGCCACAAAAGCCCACCCAGCGGGTGGGAGCGTGACCTGCCAGCAGCCTGCTCCCTCCTCGCAGCTGCTTGGTGTTGACTCTAGCATCTTTCTCTCTATGGAAGGAGGAAGCGGGTGCTTGAAGTTGCCATGCCAACCACCTACAGGAGCTCTAAGCACCCGGGCCACAAAAGGGATGGTCCAGGAGCCGGAGGACTACGGCACAAGGTTCAGGGGCTCTTCCAAAGTGGGGGGGGGGGAGATAAGCAAGGAGGTGGGAGGAAAGTGTCCCTGCACAGCGACACTCAGCCCCAACATCCCTAGGCTCAGCCCCCAACCATTGCACACTGAGCTGGGAAGTCTAAAGGGGAGGGGGGGGTCATTGCTCTAAATCAGGGGTCAGCAAACTTTTTCAGCAGGGGGCCGGTCCCCTGTCCCTCAGACCTTGTGGGGGGCCGGACTATATTTTGAAAAATAAATGAATGAATGAATTCCTATGCCCCACAAATAACCCAGAGACGCATTTTAAATAAAAGCACACGTTCTACTCATGTAAAAACACCAGGCAGGCCCCACAAATAACCCAGAGATGCATTTTAAATAAAAGGAAGCATTCTAGTCATGTAAAAACATGCTGATTCCTGGACCTTCCGCAGGCCGGACTGAGAAGGCGATTGGGCCGGATCCAGCCCCCGGGCCTTAGTTTGCCTACTCATGCTCTAAATGGCTCTAAAAGAGGATTGGACAAATTCATGGAGGAGGAGCGGGCTAGGGAGGCTTTGGCTACTAACCAGGATGGATCTGCTCTGCCTTCACATATTTAAAACACGATAAAACACCAAACATTAACAACTTCCCTAAACAGGGCTGCCTTCAGATGTCTTCTAAAGGCCAGATAGTTGTTTATTTCCTTGACATCTGATGGGAGGCGTTCCACAGGGTGGGTGCCACCACCGAGAAGGCCCTCTGCCTTGTTCCCTGTAACTTGGCTTCTCGTAGCGAGGGAACCTTCAGAAGGCCCACAGTGCTGGACGTCAGTGTCCGGGCAGAACGATGGGGGTAGAGACGCTCCTTCAGGTATACAGGACTGAGGCCGTTTAGGGCTTGAAAGGTCAGCACCAACACTTTGGATTCTGCTCGGAATTGTGCCCTTTTAAAATGTGTTGGGAGGCGGGGGATTATGGCCTTGTTTTTGTTTTTATTACGTATTATGTCTTTTTATATTGTGGTTTTATGTTGCAACCACCCTGAGACCTGCGGTTATAAGATGGTATACAAATTTAATTGATAATAAATGATTAAATAAAATAATAATAAGCCTTGTAAGCCAAGAGGAAGCTGCGTGTGTTGCCAAACTCCATGTACAAATACATCTGCCATAAGCACCCACCATAGGAGATGGTCTAGATCTGAAACAGAAGGCTCTGGGGCCTCACAAAAGCCAAGCCCACGTCTGCTAAAGGAAAGTGGTATTGGTACATGGAGGAAGTGAAGATCCTAGTAAACCAAAAGATTTTCCCAGAAGAAGCAACAGTTAAACGGTGAAAAAGAGCAAGGCAGAGGGCCTTCTCGGTGGTGGCACCCGCCCTGTGGAACGCCCTCCCACCAGATGTCAAAGACAACAACTACCAGACTTTTAGAAGACATCTGAAGGCAGCCCTGGTTTAGGGAAGCTTTTAATCTTTGATGCATTACTGTATTTTAATATTTTGTTGGAAGCCGCCCAGAGTGGATGGGGAAGCCCAGCCAGATGGGCGGGGTATAAATAAATTATTACTATTATTATTATTATTCACGTTCAAAATCTGCCTTTCCTCCAAGGAGCTCACGCTGGGGCAGTACATGAGCTCTCCCAATACACCCACACAACCTTGTGAGGTAGGAGAGTGATTGGCCCAAGGTCACCCAATAGCTTTGGGGATTTGAACCCAGGTTTCCCAGATCCTAGCTCCAGGGGCGGGGTGGGGGGCAGCCCCAGGTATCACCACTGAGGGGGGCAACAAAATGCAAGGCAGCACTCACCACGGGACCTGCAGTGCGCCTGAACCACGCATCTCTCCTGGGCTCCGCGCTGCCCCAAACGGTCCGCCCACCACCTCCCCCTCAGCTGTGGGGCAGCTGAGGGGGAAGAGGAGGCAGACAGACTCCTCGGAGGCCCCACGGAGCACCCTGCAGGCAGCTGGCCCCACGCCAGGGCGCAGGGCATGCGCGCTGTCCCATGCTCCTGGTCGGCTTGCTCCGCCACTGCCTAGCTACTCTAACCACACTGGCTTATGAAACCTCATAACCTGCAATTCAAATAATTTCTATACAGTCATACCTCATGTTACCTTTGTTTCAAGTTGAGCATTTTCAGGTTGCGTCAACCCAGAAGTACCGGAAAGGGTTACTTCCGGGTTTCGCCGCTTGCGCCTGCACAGATGTGCGAAATGACGTCACACACATGCGCAGAAGCGGCGAGTCACGACCCGTGCAGACGCGGGTTGCGTTCCTTTCAAGTTGCGAACGGGCCTCCGGAACAGATGCCGTTCACAACCAGAGGTACCACCGTACTATCGTTTGAATTACGGGCCGTACTTTCAGTGCCCCAAACCCAAAGCGGTCTAAGGAAGACTATGCCTGCTGGTGCAGGAGGAAGACTGGACTGCGTGCAGAATCATCGATGAGGCCCTGACCGGCTGCTGAAACCCTGAAGAGGAACACTTCGAACTGCAACGTTTTGTTGCAGAGCTGGCTTGAAAATCCAGCTTGTTTTTAGAGAAATTCCAGTTCTCCTTGTCTCCTTGCGCTGGGACAAAAACCATGGCCCTGTTTCTGAGCTTGGTTGAGACCCGGTTTGAGCAGGCAGGAGTGATGGAAACCTTTTGCAGGAAGAAAGACGTTCACCCCTTTGCCAGGGAGACATTTGCTTGCTCTGTCTAGGTGTGTGTTTTGTGGCACCAGAAGGGGCAACTGTCTGGAAATGTTTGCCATTTGCAGCCATGGAAATGGGTTGCCATAGCGACCCCACCTGACATCCAGGCCGAATTACAGGAAGTGGAAAGAAATTATTTGAGCCGAGAGATGAAGAAGGAAAAAGAGTAATAAACTTCTTTTTGTGTGTGAGAGAGAGAACAGAAGGAGGTGAGGAGCCATCTGTTTCTACAAGGCAGAGGTACAGTGGTACCTCAGGTTACATATGCTTCAGGTTACATACACTTCAGGTTACAGACTCCGCTAACCCAGAAATAGTGCTTCAGGTTAAGAACTTTGCTTCAGGATGAGAACAGAAATCGTGCTCCGGCGGTGTGGCAGCAGCAGGAGGCCCCATTAGCTAAAGTGGTGCTTCAGGTTAAGAACAGTTTCAGGTTAAGAACGGACCTCTGGAACGAATTAAGTACTTAACCCGAGGTACCACTGTATTTCTAAATACCTGCCACCCCAAGTGATAGGTCTGGGGTTCAAAATGCTTTAACAGACTGGAGAACTGACCCAAAACGAACAAAATCAGTTTCAGTAGGTACAAATGTAAGCTTCTACACTTCGGCAGAGACAATCAGCTGCACAAATATAAGATGGGGGACACCTGACTTACTAGTAGAGTCAAACCTCAGTTCTTGAACGGCTCTGTTTTCAAACGTTTCGGCTCCCGAACGCCAAAAACCTGGAAGCAAATGCTCCAGTTTTCAAACGTTTCTCGGAACCCGAACGTCTGACGCGGCTTCCATTTTGAGCTTCCCTATTGAACTGAGGCTCCTCCCACTTTCAGTTCTCAAATGTTTCGGAAGTTGGACGTTCTTCCAGAACGGATTGCGTTTGAAAACTGAGGTTCCACTGTAGTACATCTGAAAAAGGATCAGGGGGTCTTAGCAGACCACTAGCTTAACATGAGTCAGAAGTGTGATGCAGCAGCAAAAAAAGCGAATGCTATTCTAGGCTGCATCAACGGAAGTCAAGTGTCCAGATCAAGGGACGCAATAGTACCGCTCTATTCTGCCTTGGCCAGACCACACCTGGAGTCCTGTGTTCAGTTCTGGGCACCCAAATTTAAGAAGGATGTTGACAAGCTGGACATAGCTGTCAACTTACAGATTTGAAAATAAGGGACCAGCAGCCTTGACAATAAGGGACCAGCAGCCAAAATAAGGGACCTGCAGCCTCACCTGTTCCAGGCACTCCAGTCTTCCTGTCCTCCTGCAGTCTGGTCAAACTCATGCTGGTAGCTTCGAGAACACTGTCCAACCAACTTTGTAACCAGAGGTTCAACTGAATAGAATCTGAATCACATGCACCACAAGGCCTATGCAGCCTCAACTTAAGATGGCTCCCCAGCCTGGCTTTGCACTGCAAAGTTTGCAGCAGCATGTCCAACAAAATGGCATCCAGCATTCAAAAACCCCTCAGCTTGCATTAACTAGCCACACACAAGGCATGCAAGCTCCACCCCCCAGCCGTTCTTAGACTTCTTATTGGGTGAGCAACACAGCCAAGCAACACAGTTGGAGCCTCCCTCCTCCCTGGCCGGCAGGGAGGGAGGGAGAGGAGCTGCTTCCTTTGAAATTTAAGGGACATTTAAGGGACATCCATCAATAAGGGACAGCAGTGGGACATGGCGCTGGAATAAGGGACTGTCCCTTCAAATAAGGGACACTTGACAGCTATGAAGCTGGAAGGTGTGCAGAGGAGGGCAACCAAGATAATCATGGGTCTGGAAGCTCAGGAACTAAGTATTTATCATTACAAAAGACTGGCCAGGCTCCCCAGGCAATCCAATCAAGTGACCATTAAACAGGTAACCTGGCAGACAGGAGGTAAACAAAGCACTCAGATTTCTGCTGTAGACCGCCCTTTCTGTGATGTAGGTATGATGTTTCTGGGGGTGGTCTTGATCTACAGGGTGGCAGTTTCAAAAGTCTAAATAAAGGCTTGCACACCATTGTTCTGGGTTCCTCCTCCCTCCTGCGTGTGGTGAGTGAGGACTCTGTTGCAACAGATCCATAAAGATCAGGCTTACGAGCTGCTTTGCTTCTCAATATTCTCTGGTTGGCCTCTGTTATTTTCTCCCACCAATAGGGAACCTACGTAAGGACTCTATATGGGCTCTTAGATACCCCATAAGGGGAAAAGGGCAGATTCTTGTTCACAACAGCTGCCACATGGAAGAGCGAACAAGCTTGTTTTCTCCTGCTCCAGAGGGAAGGACTCGAACCAGTGGATTCAAATTCCAAGAACGGAAATTCTGACTAAACATTAGACAAAACTTTCTGGTGTTATGAGCTGCTCAACAGACGACCTTGGAAAGTGGTTGACTCTTCTTCAATGGAGGTTTTTAAGAAGAGGCTGGGCAGCCATCTGTCAGGGATTTAACAGAAACCCCCTTGCTATGCAGGTATCACAGCAAAAGGCTTCAAAGGTTTTGCAGGCTTCCTTGCTTGATTCCCAAAACCGCCAAGCCTGTTTGGACTGGAGACAGCAGAAAGAGGTATGTACGACATGGGAAGCAACATTAGAAAATGGCTTCACACACTCCCTGCAAATCTCAATCGCTCCACTTCAACTTGCTAGAATTCTTGCACTAAAGTGTGTTGAATAAAACCGATTCACCACTCCCACCGAAATCATTCCCCCCCCCCCCCCGCAAAGAGCACTGTTCTTCCAGGTTGCATGCACAATATATTCTAGCTTGCGTTTACTGTAACCATGAAGAGTCTCTCATGGCCACACATTTATGGTGGAACTTGAACACAGAACCATAGAATTGCAGAGCTGTGATGGACCATCTAGTCCATGAGTAGGCAAACTAAGGCCCGGGGGCCGGATCTGGACCAATCGCCTTCTAAATCTGGCCCGCGGACTGTCTGGGAATCAGCATGTTTTTACATGAGTAGAATGTGTCCTTTTATTTTAAATGGATCTCTGGGTTATTTGTGGGGCCTGCCTGGTGTTTTTACATGAGCAGAATGTGTGCTTTTATTTAAAATGCATACCTGGGTTTTTCCCCAGTAGTGATGTATGGAAGTGAGAGCTGGACCATAAAGAAGGCTGATCGCCGAAGAATTGATGCTTTTGAATTCTGGTGCTGGAGGAGACTCTGGAGAGTCCCGTGGACTGCAAGAAGATCAAACCTGTCCATTCTGAAGGAAATCAGCCCTGAGTGCTCACTGGAAGGACAGATCCTGAAGCTGAGGCTCTAAGACTTTGGCCACCTCATGAGAAGAGAAGACTCCCTGGAAAAGACCCTGATGTTGGGAAAGATGGAGGGCACAAGGAGAAGGGGATGACAAAGGATGAGATGGTTGGACAGTGTTCTCGAAGTGACAAACATGAGTCTGACCAAACTGCGGGAGGCAGTGGAAGACAGGTGTGCCTGGCATGCTCTGGTCCATGGGGCCACGAAGAGTCGGACACGACTAAATGACTAAACAACAACAACATACCTGGGTTATTTGTGGGGCATAGGAATTCATTCATTCCCCCAAAAAAATATAGTCTGGCCCCCCACAAGGTCTGAGGGACAGTGGACCAGCCCCCTGCTGAAAAAGTTTGCTGATCCCCGAGAGAGCCGGCGTACAGCTTCCAGGTCATGTGAGCAGCATGACTAAGCTGCTTCTGGCGAACCAGAGCAGCGCACGGAAACGCCGTTTACCTTCCCGCCAGAGCGGTACCTATTTATCTACTTGCACTTTGACGTGCTTTTGAACTGCTAGGTTGGCAGGAGCAGGGACGGAGCTCACCCCGTCACGGGGATTCGAACTGCCGACCTTCTGATCAGCAAGCCCTGTGGTTTAACCCATAGCGCCACCCGCGTCCCCTGACCCCTGCTCTAGCCCAACTCCCTGGAATGCAGGGAATACACATTTGCAGGAGAAAACTGAAGGAGTTAACATCCTTCCAATTTGCCCATCAAGTGCCTTGCTCCCCCACCAGCCTTAAGTCTTGTTCTCCTCAGTCTCCCCAGTTTTATACCCAACTGACAGAATATGTCCAGATTGCATCTGCTGTTTGTTTGTTTTTCCCACAGGGGAGAATCCGTAGACACCAGGGTTAAACTGCATACACAAGACACACTTTTTCTGACAATTAATCTTCACATCGGGGGGGAGGGGGGAATGGGCAAAAGGGCCCCCAGATGCTGAAACTGTGGCTTGATCAGAAGCTCCCATGCTCACCCTCCTTCAGCCGAGAACTGCAGCAGTTTCACACTGCAGGAGACGCCGCTCAGAAGGCAAGAGTAATAATTCAGATTATATCAGAGACACACCTCTCTCTCCTCCCTCCCTCCAGCTCTCTAGGCACCCTATTAGGGTGTTTAAAGATGAAGCCTGCCAGACTAATTAGCTCTTCTGTGGCTGCCTAGGCTAATTGGCAGAGCTGCTGATGAGGCCGGGGCAACATTTGCTAAGCAGAACCGAGGCGCAACTTGGTTCTGGGTGTGATCAAAGCAAGCTCCGTCATTCTGAGACACAGGAATGAAGGGCAGCTATGGAGTTTTGATGCTGGTGGGGGTAGAATTGAAAAGTTTGATCTTAAATGCAGCATAATAATAATAATAATAATAATAATAATAATAATAATAATTTATTATTTATACCCCGACCATCTGGGCGGCTTCCAACAGAATATTAAAATACAATAACCTATTGAACATTAAAAGCTTCCTTTATCATCATCATCGCTAATTTCAAAAACGCTTAGGGTTTTTTTTTTATTTAAAAAAATGTATTCTGAGTATTCAAGTGCCATCCAAACCTGCCCAGGTGCTAAGATCCTCAGGTGAGCACCATCTCTAGGTCTCACCAACATCTGATGGGGACACGAGGCAGAGCCTTTTTTGTGGCTGCCCCCATACTGTGGAATTCACCCCCAAGAGAGGCCAGACTGGCTCCCTCCTTGTTATCCTTCTGCCGGTAGGCTCAGACCTTCCTGTTCAGGAAATTAAAATACAGGTGATGCTAATTGCTGGGCTGGTCTCAGAACAACCTGTACTTTAACTGCTGGCTTTGAAAGCGTTTTGATGTACCATAAATATTCCTCTGATTACTAGTTGCTCAGGGTGGAGGGGAGGAAATTTCCTTTCATTGTTCCCCGCTTGTGAGGTTCCCAGGACACCTGCTTTGTGCTCATGAGAGAAGAGGCTTGGAGCCTAAGTTCCCATAGGCAGAATTTGACTCATGAGATGCTCTGGACACACCTGGATTAGAGCACAGTGCAGGTAATCTCCAAGGTTGTAGGTTTGATCCCCGTATGGGGCAGATGCGTATTCTTGCACTGCAAGGAGTTGGGACTAGATGCCTGAGAAACAGTTTCTACCCAAATGTGATGTTGGTTTTAAACGCATTGTAAGAAGTCTGTATATGAGTACAGTGGTATCTCGGCTTACATACGCTTCAGGTTACATATGCTTCAGGTTACAGACTCCGCCAACCCATAAATAGTGCTTCAGGTTAAGAACTTTGCTTCAGGATGAGAACAGAAATCGTACTCCGGCAGCGCGGCAGCAGCAGGAGGCCCCATTAGCTAAAGTGGTGCTTCAGGTTAAGAACAGTTTCAGGTTAAGTACGGACCTCCGGAACGAATTAAGTACTTAACCCGAGGTACCGCTGTATATTGTATTTAAAAATGGGGTATCAGAGTTATTAGGGGGCTAACCAGGTTAGGATAACTGGGATAGCAGGCTTGTCGGGTTTTGAATGTCTTATGTAGATTTTTCAATTTTGTTTTTCTGTATGGGACAATGAAGGGACGCGGGTGGCGCTGTGGGTTAAACCACAGAGCCTAGGGCTTGCCGATCAGAAGGTTGGCGGTTTGAATCCCCGTGACGGGGTGAGCTCCCGTTGCTCGGTCCCTGCTCCTGCCAACCTAGCAGTTCGAAAGCACATCAAAGTGCAAGTAGATAAATAGGTACCGCTCCGGCGGGAAGGTAAACGGCGTTTCCATGCGCTGCTCTGGTTTGCCAGAAGTGGCTTAGTCATGTTGGCCACATGACCCGGAAGTTGTAAGCCGGCTCCCTAGGCCAGTAAAGCGAGATGAGCGCCGCAACCCCAGAGTCGGTCACGACTGGACCTAATAGTCAGGGGTCCCTTTACCTTTACCTTTAAGGAGTCTGTATGGGAGTATATTGTATTTAAAAATGGGGTATCAGAGTTTTTAGGGAGATATAGCTGGGATAGCAGCTTGTTGGGTTTTGAATGTCTTATGTAGATTTTTCAATTTTGTTGTTCTGTATGGGACAATGACAATAAAGATTATCGTATTGTATCGTATGATGCCCAGGGTCCCTTTCAACTTGACAGTTCTGTGATTCCTTCATTCCCAAAGGGTTCTAACAGAGATCGTACTGGGGATTTCCTGACCCACTGAAACAGGACACTGCCACTTTTTACAAAAGGTGAAAAACAAATCTTCTAAGCAGGCTTTCAATGTCTGAAAGATAACATCTCTTGAAGTCCCATCAGCAGTTTACAATGGAATCCTTTTAACCGAGTCACTTTGAGGTAATGGCTAGGATTTGTAGGTATTGATACTGGAAACTCTTTGTTTAAAAAAAAAATTATTTGGTTTTTCAACTTACATTTTTACAGAGATATATCAAACATAAACCATAAAAACAAGATCCCAAGGAATCTCCTGGACTTCCATCCTTCCCTTTGTGTGCCCCATTATTAATCATTTCCTCCCGCATCTTCTATGTTAATCCAAACCCTTTACCACTTCCATTATGTCCAGAATCAACCTTAAACTACAAGTGATATTCCAATCCTACTAATGATTTTAACTGTTTGTAAACTCACATTATTATTTTTTAGTCGTCTAGGCTTCAACTTAGAAATAAAGGCAAAATGCCAATTTTAGAATTAGTTAACATTCTAAATAGCAAGGACGCGGGTGGCGCTGTGGGTTAAACCACAGAGACTAGGACTTGCTGATCAGAAGGTTGGCGGTTTGAATCCCCGCTATGGGGTGAGCTCCTGTTGTGCGGTCCCTGCTCCTGCCAACCTAGCAGTTCGAAAGCACGTCAAAGTGCAAGTAGATAAATAGGTACCACTCCAGCAGGAAGGCAAACGGCGTTTCCGTGCACTGCTCTGGTTCGCCAGAAGTGGCTTAGTCATGCTGGCCACATGACCCGGAAACTGTACGCCGGCTCCCTCGGCCAATAAAGCGAGACGAGCACCGCAACCCCAGAGTCGGCCACGACTGGACCTAATGGTCAGGGGTCCCTTTACCTTTACTTTACTAAATAGCAAAGGTTGCAATGTGATGACTTCAAGATTTAACTACTGCTGCCCAACCTGTGTTTTTTTGTGGATTTACAATGGGGCAACTGCTTATTATTATTATTATTATTATTATTATTATTGCAGCTTGTCTATTCCTTGGCTAAGGTAGGAGGGCTGGTGGAGACTGTCCTCACCTCATGCCCATTACCTGTTTCCCGGCAAATGCAAAGCTCCCCACCCCAAACTCCTATTCGGTGAAGACAGCATCTGCACAGCAACATTTCTTGAGAAACTGCAGGATACCAATGTACTGTGGCTAATGTCGTGTACTCCTGGCTTCAGACGCGCTGGAGCCAGAGAAAACAAACAACATACCCAAGGAAAAAAGGAATATATTTTTGTATATCACCGCAGCCGCAAGAATACTTATGGCAAAATATTGGAAAACAGAAGAAGGACCACAAATGAGAGAATGGCAAGTTAAGATTTGTGAGTTTGCCGAGATGGCAAAAATGACTGCATCAATCAGGGGCTGTGCCAATCAAAAATTCTATACAGAATGGGAGTGCATAGGGGAATACATGAAGAAATGTGGTGTTAAAGCAGAACTCTTAATAGGCAATTGTTAAGCGTGTAAGGACAAAAGAAGTCATTATAATTTAACAGTTTTCATGTTCTTCTATTATATTAAAGCAACTAGAAAAAAAATATTATGATGGAAAGATCTCACACAGGTGAAGGGAAGCAGTGGGGAGGAGGGGAGGGTTAGGTTGAATTTGGGAAATAAAATAATATATGTGACAGCAAAGGATATAATAGATTCTTATATAATAGTAATATATTGTAACCAGAATACGATTTCCTCTGGCGTTAAAGATCTGACTGGGACAAACCTTGTTATGCTGAGCTCGTATTTTGCACAATTTGTATACGGTGTCTGTTTGATAATGTGTGGTTTGCTATGCCTAATAAAGGATATTTGATGATGGTAACCTGAATAGAAGTTCAAAAGGGAAAGTAAATGTATTTTTAGTATTTTCATTATTGTAATAGTTATTATTATTTCTTATTGGTAGAAGGCAATGTTAATTTAGGATTCTTCGTTTTGCTGTCTGTATAATTTTCTTAGTCAATGAAGAGGGTGGTTGCCCCATAACAGAAGGCAAGATAGTGTGCTTAGTGGTTAGAGCACTGCACTAGAGCCTGGAAGGACCAGGGTTCAAATCCCCGCCCAGCCATGAAACTCACTGGGCAACCTCAGGCAGCTGACTGCCTCTCAGCCCAGCCTACCTCACAGGGTGGTCATGAGGATAAAAAATGCAGAGGAAGAAAACCGTGTAAGCCACCACCTTGAGCTACCTGGAGGGCCAAATGCAACAAGGATATAAATACAGACAGACACACCAACCCCAAAAAGAAAAGAGGAGGTCTTGTTGAGGTCCTTGCATTGCAGGGGGCTGGACTAGATGGACCCATGTGGTCCCTTCCAACTCGGCAATTCTATGATTTCCATGCAAGGATGGTTTCATCCGCACAGATAGAGAGAGAGAGATTTCAAAAGGCATGTTCGGATTTTATTTTGGGATTTGCTCTGAATGTAAATAACTTGGTTAATTAAGTGGATTTTTACCGAGAGCCTACAGGGGTTACTCTCTGGCAGCAGATACAGAGAGAGCGTTGCTATGGGAACTGGACTGTCACCAGGGCCTCCCTCTTGATTTCTCAGAGAACAGGCAATCTATAATAGTATAAACAAGGAGAAATCCTTCCAGCCGAGAGCAACAGGAAGCTGCGGGGATGCAAATCCTAAGCTGCAGAGGAGAAGCTCCATCACACACCCACCCGGGAACCGTTGCAAAGGGTCTGTTTCTTATGGACAGGCCATTCCAAACACCCAGAAAAGGATGTGGTGAAAAGAAAAGCCAATTGTTTAATTGGGTTAGCCCGCATTTGGGATGGATGAAAGGTAAAGGTAAAGGGGCCCCTGACCATTAGGTCCAGTCGTGGACGACTCTGGGGTTGCGGCGCTCATCTCCCTTTATTGGTCGAGGGAGCCGGCGTACAGCTTCCGGGTCATGTGGCCAGCATGACTAAGCCGCTTCTGGCGAACCAGAGCAGCGCATGGAAACGCCATTTATCTTCCCGCCGGAGCGGTACCTATTTATCTACTTGCACTGGTGTGCTTTCAAACTGCTAGGTTGGCAGGAGCAGGGACCAAGCAACGGGAACTCACCCCATCGTGGGGATTCGAACCGCCGACCTTCTGATCGGCAAGCCCTAGGCTCTGTGGTTTAACCCACAGCGCCACCCGCGATTGGGCTAAGTCATCAATTCCACCAGGTGACTTTAACCTCCTCCATGTGGGAACATTGGTTCATTTAGCTCAGTACTGTCTGCACGGGCTGGCAGCTGCTTCCCAGCTTTAGGCAGGAGTCTCCAGGTAGGGAGGGGAAAAGGCTCCCTACCCCCATCTGAAACCCCGAACAGGAACCGCCAGATGATGAAAACACTCTGGTAAATGGGCTGAGGGGTCAGTGTCAGTATAGCTTCCTACGCTCTCTATAATTTGGCCACAGGGAAACACGGACCGTTTTGGACTCGGGCGAAGACACTCTTCTCCAGGGAAAGCCGCTGCAATGGCTTTTATGGTGGCGCATTGACTGGGGAGGGGGTGGAAGGCAGTTCCCAGTGCATTAGAAACTCAGATATTTAAGCTAGGCGCCAAATGGCTCCTTAGACCAGGGTTACAGCCGCCAAAACGGAACGCCTAGTGGTATTTGTCAACGCGACTTTTGGATTCCTGAATTTCGTTCTGATTGTGCAGATAAAACATAACAGGTACAATTCTACAGGCGGTGTTGCTAGTGTGTGAAAACGGTCAAGATCCAATGATCCCCAGGCATGTACCTCCAGATGGTGGAGACATCAAGCACCAATCCTGGCACGTGGGCATCTTCACTTGGTCACAAGTGGCCAAAAGCCAGGTGCTAAATGTACCTGGAGAATTTTGAATGCCGATCGCAGGGAGTTGGACTGGATGAACCAACTCCACAAATCTATTACTCATCCTAGGAAAATCAGCCCCAGTTTTTCTGCCTGCCATACAAACATAGAGGAGCTTTGTCTAGGTACCACCACCATTTTCCCTGAAAGAGCAACATAACATGTAAAGGATAGAGCAGGTTTCCTCAAACTTGGCTTTCCAGATGTTTTGAGACTACAATTCCCATCATCCCTGACCACTGGTCCTGCTAGATAGGGATCATGGGAGTTGTAGGCCAACAACATCTGGAGGGCCACGTTTGAGGAAGCCTGAGATAGAGGCTTGCTTTCCTCGTCCTCCTCTTCTTCAGGCTCCAGCTGTATGATGAAGCAGAGCAAAAAAAAAGTGAATGCTATTCTAGGACTAAGGTTACCAGATTTTTTTCAATGAATCTGGGGACGTTTTTCAACTTCAGTAGGAATGATAGGATTTTGTCAGGGGACTGATTTGTAAATCTGGGGCTGTCCCTGGGAAACAGGGACATCTGGTAACCTTATTCTAGGCTGCATCCACAGAAGTCTAGTGTCCAGCTCAAGGGATCCCGGACATCTTCACTTGGTGGCCAATAAGGTAAAGGTAAAGGGACCCCTGACCATTAGGTCCAGTCGTGGACGACTCTGGGGTTGCGGCGCTCAACTTGCTTTACTGGCCAAGGGAGCCGGCGTACAGCTTCCGGGTCATGTGGCCAGCATGACTAAGTCGCTTCTTCTGGCGAACCAGAGCAGAGCATGGATGCGCCATTTACCTTCCCGCTGGAGCGATACCTATTTATCTACTTGCACTTTGACATCGCGGGGATTCGAACTGCCGACCTTCTGATCAGCAAGTCCTAGACTCTGTGGTTTAACCCAAAGAGCCACCCGCATCCTGGTGCAAAATGCGCCTGGTGAATTTTGAACAGTGGCAGCTTCCCTCCTTTCCAGGCCTACAGCGGCAGGAGGAAGCTGTGCTAGGATGAACACATCAAGGCTTTCCTAGAGACAGATAAGCACTGCAAATAAACTAAAAATTTGCAGAGGAGCCAAGTGGTAAGAACCTAAAAAGCCCTGATTGATCAGGCTGTCTAGACCAGCATATTGTTCTAACGATGGGCAACCGGGTGCCTGTTGTGGGGAACCCACATGCAGAATCTGAACACAATTTCATTCGCCTCTCCTGTGGTTTCCACGATATATATCATTGCATTTTAGACACCGAGTCAAAAATGTTTAATTTGCCCAAGCTCTCCGTGAATAATATCTCTCGGGTTCTTTTTATTGCCACTGTGGCTATGAAATGCGCTGTTTTATTGGCTATATTTTTTTCGGTAATTATATTTTATGAACTATCTTTGCTATCATTGTTTGTCTTCGTTGCTGGAAGTTGCCTTGAAAATTCTCTGAGCTGAAAAGGCAGATTAGGAGTGTTTAGAGCAAACAAACTCAATGCTAGCTTGGTTGAGGAAGATAGTGACAGGAAGGTTTCCGTTTATTTTTTCAGTGCTATTTGAACCTGACTCCACCACAGTGCTTTTAAAGCAGTGAGTTGTTTTCTCCCCAGCAATAATGAACAAACAAGTTATGAGAAAGGAACATTTGCAAGGCTGTGATTTATCCAGAATCCAGACTGATCTACAGACGAAAGCAAGACTTCAGTGCCCAAACAAGAAGGATTCAGCCCACTGGGAACTTTTTCTCCATAAAGCCTTTTATAAGCAACAAACCATGTTTAGTAGTTTAGTAAGGTTTAGGAGAAAGTTACCCAAATATGGTTAAAAGATGGAACCTAAGTATAGAAGCACAAAATGCGTGCATGTTTCAAGAGGGAAGAATAGTATAAATATGCACCAATGTTTGGTGTTTTTTTAAACCCTTCCAAAATGTTCCCTCAAAGTCCCAGTTCAAAGTGATGCATTCTACGGGTTGTAACTCTCACAAAATGTTATTAAAACAAAGCTTTAAAAGTGGACTAATTATAGAGCACTTTCAAAGCTAAGCACTGCACAAGCTAAGTTTCTGATCCTGTTCCTATATCCTATATATACTTCTCCAGGTTCCTTCCAACTCTACAATTCTACGATACCCGTTCCGCGTTTGTAAGAACTTGGTCATTTAGTGTGGCATCACCTGCACTGTGGTTTAACCCACAGCGTCACGCGACGGGGTGAGCTCCCGTTGCTCGGTCCCTGCTCCTGCCAACCTCGCAGTTCAAAAGCACGTCAAAGTGCAAGTAGATAAATAGGTACCACTCCAGCGAGAAGGTAGAGGCGTTTCCGTGCGCTGCTCTGGTTCGCCAGAAGCGGCTTAGTCATGCTGGCCACATGACCCGGAAGCTGTACACAGGCTCCCTCAGCCAATAAAGCAAGATGAGCGCCGCAACCACAGAGTCGTCCGCGACTGGACCTAACGGTCAGGGGTCCCTTTACCCCTGCACTGTGGAACTCCCTGCCTGAGCTAGCGCCTTCCTTATGCTCTTCTTGGGACCTGCTAAAAACATTCTTGTTTAGGCAAGCCTTCCCAGATTCTTAGAAAGCTGAAGTCATTTTATTCCGTTTTAGCATTTTAACTTTTGTGCTTTTTAAAGTAGGGATGTAATTCTTTCTCGATTCCATCTTTTCGTAAACCGCTTTGAGGTTCTTCACAACCAAGCAGCGTATAAATTTTATGAAATAAACTTTAAAAAATCTTGGTATCCAATTAGCAGCCACATGTTAAGTACACTCGTACCTTCGATCCCGAACGCCTTGCGAGTCCAGCATTTTGGCTCGCGAAAGCCGCAACCCCAGAAGTGAGTGTTCCGGTTTGCAAACGTTCTTTGGAACCCGAACGTCCGACACGACTTCTGCGACTTCCGATTGGCTGCAGGAGGTTCCTGCAACCAATCAGAAGCCACGCCTAGGTTTTGGAAGTCAAACAGCTTTCTGGAATGGATTGCATTCGACTTCCGAGGTACCACTGTACTTCCAAAGTTGAATTTGTTCAGGTCAGATCTCTTTTAGAGCTGAAGGGTGGGGGGAAATAAAGGAACACACCCCGTCCTCAATCCAGCCCTACCGGTGTCTTATGCAAAACTGGTGCCATTCGCTGACTGTCCTGATGTATAAAAGGGAGAGGGTTATGAACAAAAATGCAGAGCAGAGGTCAAGTTTCTGCTTAAAGGAATTTGTCAACATCTCAAAAACTTTCCGTGTTCCTTTCGACTTCCATTGCCGTTTTCTCTCTCTCTATCTTTTGCCCCTCACAGGGGAACCCGTCTCTGCTTATCAGTCGTACAGCACAAGCCTTGGGCTGGTGATATGCTGCCTGTCTCTCTCACAGCAATGCATAACTATCTCTTCAAAGACCCAGCCGAGCGCTCTCTGACGCCTGCAAAAGTTTATCTCCCCATGAACCCGCAGCTCCGGCTTGACATCAATAGCACTTCGGTGACGCGGGTCTGGAGGGCGTTAGGAGCCGCCTTGGTGTGGGACAGACAGCAGGAGCTGTTGACAGGGGGCCGGCAGCTGTGAATTGGATGCAGCCGCGTATATAAAAAGAGCAGCATGTCTATTCTTAGCCCCCTTCCCAAAGCACCCAGGAATGGTGTGTGAGCGCACCTTTCCCCTCTGCACATGACACAGTTGTTGCAAACAAACCTCCCTCAACCTGCTCCCTTGCAAGATGTTCTGGACTGTCACAGCCTTCAATGCTTGCGATCCATTATGTAAGCCACTTTCAAGTTCTTTGGAGGAGGCGAACGTAAGAGCCTACTAAAAACCTGGATCAGGCAATCTAGTCGAGCATCTAGGCACAGGTTAATTCTGTGTCCAGGGCAGCTGTTTACCAGCTCCATCTGGTACGCAGGATGAGACCCTCCCTGCCCGCAGACTGTCTTGCCAGAGTGGTGCATGCTCTAGTTATCTCCCACTTGGACTACTGCAATGCGCTCTACGTGGGGCTACCTTTGAAGGTGACCCAGAAACTACAACTAATCCAGAATGCGGTAGCTAGACTGGTGACTGGGAGTGGCCACCGAGACCACATAACACCAGTCCTGAAAGACCCTCATTGACTCCCAGTACGTTTCCGAGCACAATTCAAAGTGTTGGTGCTGACTTTTAAATCCTAAACGGCCTCGGCCCAGTATACCTGAAGGAGCGTCTCCACCCCCATCCTTCAGCCTGGACACTGAGGTCCAATGCTGAGGGCCTTCTGGCGGTTCCCTCCCTGTGAGAAGTGAGGTTACAGGGAACCAGGCAAAGAGCCTTCTTGGTAGTGGCACCCGCCCTGTGGAACGCCCTCCCATCAGATGTCAAGGAAATAAACAACTACAGTCATGCCTCTTGTTACGTTTGCTTCAGGTTAAATATTTTCAGATTGCGTCTCAGAAGTACCGGAAAGGGTTACTTCCGGGTTTCGCCGCTCGCACATGCGCAGATGCTCAAAATGACGTCACGTGCATGCACAGAAGCGGCAAATCACGACCCGCGCAGACGCGGGTTGCGTTCTGCTCATGTTACCACTGTACCTGATTTTTAGAAGACATCTGAAGACAGCCCTGTTTAGGGAAGCTTTTAATGTTTGATGTTTTATCGTGTTTTTAATCATCTGTTGGGAGCCACCCAGAACTGGGGGCAACTTCTGCTATGTGGGTGTCTCACCTCAGATCCAAAACTACTGAGCCATAGCCCATCTCTGGAGAGGAGCAGCAAAGAAAGATGACTATTGGACATAGACTCCACCAACCACTAGAAACCAAAGAACCACCAAGAGTAGACCTGTCCTCCCTGGATATCCAGCTCAACTGCTCATGCAGACGTGACACAGGGAGATATTGTTGGTTACTGTCGGAGCAATTCATCTCTTACCTGCTGCTGACTTTGCTCCTCAAGGTTGAGCTTGACCTCCAGAGACTGACGAGCTTCCAGGAAGGCTTTGCGGTGCTTACGATCGGCCATGTAGTACGACATGATGCCCACGCAGATGGTACACAGGTAGATGGCAACGTTGGACAAGATCTTGAAGGGAAGAAAGAGAGAGGTGGTAAGTCAATCTGCAGAAGATGGAGACCATTTCTTTGCTCCAGGAGAGGCAGGTATGGAAGACGAGAGCAACCAAGCTCCTGTCGCACCTATGCGTAAGAGGTCACCATCGGTCAGTACTGCACTGCAGCCCTCCAGATGTTTTGGACCACAACTCCTTTCAGCCCCTGTTGGGAGTTGGTAGTCTTCATATAAATTAATACTATTTTTTGATAACCAGATCCCTAAATATTTTACCTTATTTTTAATTTCTAAACTCGTCAGTTGTTGGAGTTCTTTATTTTCATCTGCACTTAAATTTTTAGTTAATAATTTGGTTTTTTGGTAGTTTACCTTTAGTCCTGCCCTTTCCCCATATGTCTTAATTCATTCTAATGCCACTGGAATGCTTTCTTTTGGGTCTTGGGTCTAACTTTATAGGATTTTTTTTTCCAATTACAATTGCTTTTATTTTGTCTTCCTTTCTTAGATTTTGCAAAAGGATTTCCAGAACTAGTATAAATAATAAGGGTGATAAGGGACAGCCCTACCTTGTCCCCTTGGTGATTGGAAAACTTTCAGTCAAATTTCCGTTTATTATTAACCTTGCTCTTTGCTGGTGATATATCTCTGCTATAGCCTTTCCCATTCTTCCTCTAATTACCATTGTTTCAATTTGTTTTTTCATAAAGTGCTGTCCTGTTCCTGCTGAGAAGGTGGAGAAACCGACATATAAAACTGTTCTGCTACTGCGCAGAATCTACCTACACCAGGCACCCCCAAACTCGGCCCTCCAGATGTTTTTCAGACTACAACTCCCATCATCCCTAGCTAACAGGACCAGTGGTCAGGAATGATGGGAATTGTAGTCCCAAAATATCTGGAGGGCCGAGTTTGGGGGTGCCAGGACTACACCAACAAGGGATGCTTTGTGGAGCATGGAGAGAAGCTGGGGTACCTGCAAATCAAAGCTGCTGTTAAAGGCAGAGGAGCGAGAGCTGGCAAAAACATTGGCAACCCTCCCAGGCCCACCACTCCTGGTAAAGTATGCGTGGGTGTCCCGGCTGTTCCTAGAACACAAAGCACCGTATTTTTCGCTCTATAGGACGCACCAGACCACAAGACGCACCTAGTTTTTGGAGGAGAAAAACAAGAAAAAATATATTCTGAATCTCAGAAGCCAGAACAGCAAGAGGGATCGCTGCACAGTGAAAGCAGCAATCCCTCTTGCTGTTCCGGCTTCCGGGATAGCTGCGCAGCCTGCATTCACTCCATAAGACGCACACACATTTCCCCTTACTTTTTAGGAGGGAAAAAGTGAGTCTTATAGAGCAAAAAATACGGTATTTCCACCCCCCCCCCCGGTCTTGCCTGGCAGCCCTTTCAGATGCCTCTCACATGACCTTGCTAATTACAACTGGTTAAGGTGTTTTGGAAAAGAAAAAAGAAAAAACCTGCCAGGTCTCTAAGCACCTGTGTGTCGAGGGGCCTGAGGGCGGTACCTGGGGAGAGAAATTTCTTAAATGGAGCTTTGCATCTGATGGCCTTTGCAGCAAACAGTTTCGTGCCTTCCGTGGAGGAACCAGAGGAACCAGATCATGCCTGGGTTCAGATGCTACAGAGATGCCTAATTTTAAAATATTGCACACAGATGCTGGACTGGAGGGGACACCAGTCTGACTTGGTGTGAAACAGTTGTGCATGTCCCCGACGTTGGAATACAGTGGTACCTCAGGTTACAGACGCTTCAGGTTACAGACTCCGCTAACCCAGAAATATTACCTCAGGTAAAGAACTTTGCTTCAGGATGAGAACAGAAATCGCACAGCAGCAGCGCGGCGGCAGCGGGAGGCCCCATTAGCTAAAGTGGTGCTTCAGGTTAAGAACAGTTTCAGGTTAAGAACGGACCTCTGGAACGAATTAAGTTCTTAACCAGAGGTACCACTGTATAGGACTCTGCCTTACACCGCATCGGTCCATGTGAATGTAGCTGAAATCACCCACCACTCTTTTGTCTCCCCTTTCAGATGCTTCCTGGACTTTACTCATCAGCTCAAGGTCTCGTTTTGATTGGGGGGACAATAGTCTGTCCACAGTACCAACTTCCTTTCCGAGCCAGATATCACCACCCACAGAAATTCTGTGGAGGGGTCCGTCCCTTTGGAGCTGGGGTCGGCAACGTGAGGCCCATGGGCCGGATGCGGCCCACGAAGACCATTTTACTGGCCCACGAGCCGCCCCCAAACCGAGCTGCCCGCTCGGCAAGTCCCCACATGCTGTGCTAATCCAGCACAGCGTGCGGGGACTCACTGAGCGGTGCCAGAAATGACGACTGCGCACGCACAGATACCGGAATTCGCTTCTGCGCATGCCCAGACGCCAAAAATCGCTTCTGCACAGGCATGAATTTCCGGCATTGCGCTGCGCCGGTCCAGCCCACGAACAATCTCCACGGGACTGATCCAGCCCATGGCTGGTAAGCCTTGCTGACCCCTGCTTTGGAGATTTCTAGCTAGCAGTGTGCCCTCTCTGGTGGTGTGCAGTGTGACATCACCTCCAGAGCATCCTTCTCTGTCCTTCCAGTAGCGTTTATATTTTATTATTATACGTGTCTTGGTCATTTATGAAAAAGAACTTAGAAATAATGGGCCTAGGTACAAATTTTCTAAGGAGTATAGAGGCAATTTACAAAGAAAAAAATGCGGAATTTATAATAAACAGTGGATTAACAGAGAGCTTCGAAATCACAAAGGGTACAAGACAGGGCTGCCCTTTGTCACCTCTGTTATTTATATCAATATTGGAAGTACTACTTAAAAATATAAGTGAGACAGAAAGAATTACAGGGATAAAGTGTGGCGAGAAAGAATATAAGGTTAAAGCCTTCGCCGACAATATAGTATTAACAGTACAGGAACCTATAACTTCAACAGCGGAAGCATTAAAAGTACCGTATTTTTTGCTCTATAAGACTCACTTTTTCCCTCCTAAAAAGTAAGGGGAAATGTGTGTGCGTCCTATGGAGCGAATGCAGGCTGCGCAGCTATCCTGGAAGCCAGAACAGCAAGTGGGATTGCTGCTTTCACTGCAAGTGGGGCCTGTCTCTTTCGTACAGGCCCAGTTTGTCCCAAAATGTTCCCCCAGGGTGCCTAGCAAATCCAAACCCCTCCTTGGTATGCTATTCATGCATTAACACTGCAAAGCTGCCCCTACGTCTGGAACCCGTGGCATTTCAGAGAAAGATATCCAGGAAGGTCCTAGCTTTCAACATCCTCCCTAGCAGCCTAAACTTTCCTTCCATCGTCTCACAACTACATTTCCCTACGTCCTTGGTGATGGCGTGTACCATGGTCACTGGTTCCATCCCAGCACTATCTACAGACTATTTAGACGATAAGACACACCGCAGGCATGCAAATAACTCTGCAGTCTGCACACCCTTCACCCCCCCTCCCCAGCAAGCAATCTATGTTCCTTATGATCATATCGCCAGCTGATGTTTTATTATGTTTTTATTATTGTGCTGTCAATGACAAACCTAGATAGCATCTTAAAAAGCAGAGACATCACCTTGCCAACCAAGGTCTGTATAGTTAAAGCTATGGTTTTCCCAGTAGTGATGTATGGAAGTGAGAGCTGGACCATCGAGAAGGCTGATCGCCGAAGAATTGTTGCTTTTGAATTCTGGTGCTGGAGGAGACTCTTGAGAGTGCCATGGTCTGCAAGAAGATCAAGCCTATCCATTCTGAAGGAAATCAGCCCTGAGTGCTCACTGGAAGGACAGATCCTGAAGCTGAGACTCCAGTACTTTGGCCACTCATGAGAAGAGAAGACTCCCTGGAAAAGACCCTGATGTTGGGAAAGATGGAGGGCACAAGGAGAAGGGGACGACAGAGGACGAGATGGTGGGACAGTGTTCTCGAAGCTACGGACATGAGTTCGACCAAACTGCGGGAGGTAGTGGAAGACAGGAGTGCCTGGCGTGCTCTGGTCCATGGGGCCATGAAGAGGCAGACACGACTAAACGACTAAACAACAACAACAATTATTATGCTGTAAGCCACACTGAGTGGTGGGGAACCCAGTTGGATGGGCAGGATATAAATGACATATTATTATTATTATTATTATTATTATTATTATCAGCATCCCTCCTCCACCATTCCTCACAAACATGCATCCATCACCTTCAACGTTGCCAAGCGCTCCTCTGCAAAGAGCAAAAGCCCACTAAGAACTGTGGTTTTACTTTTTGGAGTTTGTAAGGCAACATTCACTTTAAAAATGACTGCTCATTTTAAGTAACTGGAAAAATCTATCTACCTTATTTTATGTCATCCTCTTTTATTCCACTGTACACATTTGGATAACGCATGTTTTCTACTTTGTCTCCTTTAACTCTCTGTGCTGTTCCGTCAACCATAATAATAAAGATTTGATTCGATTCCTCTCTTACATGCCTTTTCTTCGAACCAAAATCCCCCAAATACTGCAACCCTCTCTGCAACTTCTGGGGAAGTCTCTCCTCCTCTTGATGACTTCTGGTTTCCCCTTTCTGAACCTTTTCCAGATCAACAATATCCTTTTTGACCCAGCCTGGGTGCTCTTTAGATATTTCAGACTACAGTTCCCATGAGCTCCATCTCTCTCCCTCTCTTGCACAGACCCACATACTTTAACTCAGGCTGCCAAAAGTTTTGTTTATCCAGTTAGACAAACTTTCGTTTTATTTTTTAAAAAGCTATTTTATGAGTTTTGCATTAAGCACGTCTTCCATGCGGTTGCTGGGAGACAGTAAACACAACATCTCGTTTATCTTTCAAATATCACTGCATTTGAATCGCTGGTTGCCGTTCCTTAAAAATGAAATAAAAACCCACGATTCTCATGCCACACTATTTAACTTCCTCCCTCCTCCAAAAAGAGTTATCCTCCTAACTCACGGACCAGCAAGGAGGCTAGAATCAGAGGCAGCGTCAGCTTCAGAGCAAGTAAAAGGTGACATGGTAGAAATTTATAAAACCATGAATGGCATGCAGAAAAATATCTCTCCATCTTTCACAACACTGGAACTCGTGGGCATCCAATGGAAGAAGGCTGGAAGATTCAGGACAGATGGGGAAAAAGGACTGCTTTACGCAGTGCGTTGTTAAACTACGGAACTCCCTGCCACAGGAGGCAGTTGGCGGTCACCAAGTGGGATGGCTTTAAAAGAGGATTAAACAAATTCATGGAAGGGAGCGGTGTTGGTGGCTACTAACCACCTGTTGGAAGCTTTTAATGTTTGATGCATTACTGTATTTTAATATTTTGTTGGAAGCCGCCCAGAGTGGCTGGGGAAGCCCAGCCAGATGGGTGGGGAAGCCCAGCCAGATGGGTGGGGTATAAATAATATTTTTTTTATTATTATTATTATTATTCCATGGTGCAGGATACTCAGCTATTGCTCTGGCACACAAGCAGGCAGATTCCTCTGTTTATTTAGATTTACTGTTGTTGTTGTTGTTGTTGTTGAGTCGTTGAGTCGTGTCCGACTCTTTGTGACCCCCTGGACCAGAGCACGCCAGGCACTCCTGTCTTCCACTGCCTCCCGCAGTTTGGTCAAACTCATGCTGGTAGCTTCGAGAACACTATCCAACCATCTCGTCCTCTGTCTTCCCCTTCTCCTTGTGCCCTCCATCTTTCCCAACATCAGGGTCTTTTCCAGGGAGTCTTCTCTTCTCATGAGGTGGCCAAAGTCTTGGAACCTCAGCTTCAGGATCTGTCCTTCCAGGGAGCACTCAGGGCTGCTTTCCTTCAGAATGGATAGGTTTGATCTTCTTGCAGTCCATGGGACTCTCAAGAGTCTCCTCCAGCACCATAATTCAAAAGCGTCAATTCTTTGGCGATCAGCCTTCTCTATGGTCCAGCTCTCACTTCCATACTTCACTACTGGGAAGACCATAGCTTTTACTATACGGACCTTTGTTGGCAAGGTGATGTCTCTACTTTTTAAGATGCTGTCTTAATTTACTGTTACTGCCTTTTATTATTTCTATCTTGCTCTTATATCCTACAGTAAGTACCCAGGGCAGACTACAAGAATTATGTTCCTAGCAACTGATATTAGGAGATACACTGTCTCTGAACATGGAGGCTCTCCGTAAGGTCCCCATTACTAATACCAACTTGTATATATTTCTTTTAATCCTCCCCACAACTCCCTCCCCACACTCTTCGTGTATCTGTCTTTTTTTTCCCTTTTCCTCCTCCTTGATTGCAAATCAGCAGGCAAAGTTTTTCGTCAATATTTACCTGGTGCAAAACGCGGCAGGGCTCGGGAAACAACGGTTAAAACAACTAAACCACTGTCGAACAGCGGGCGTGCAAATTGAGCCAGCGTGGTTATAGTGGTGAGAGTGTCAGGCTAGGACCCAGGAGACCAGGGTTTGAATCTCCCACTCAGCCGCCACCGAAGCTCACAGGGTGGGCCTTGGCCCGCTCACCACCTCTGAACCTGACCTACCTCACAGAGTTGTCCTGGGAATTAAACAAGGAGGGACAGAACCATGCGCTCCACCTGGGGGTGGGGGGAGGTGGGATATGAATGCAATAAACATTCAGGGCAGCTGTTTACCAGCTCCATCTGGTACGTAGACTGAGACCCTATCTGCCTGCGGACTGTCTCTCCAGAGTGGTGCATGCTCTGGTTATCTCCCGCTTGGACTACTGCAATGCGCTCTACGTGGGGCTACCTTTGAAGGTGACCCGGAAACTACAACTAATCCAGAATGCGGCAGCCAGACTGGTGACTGGGAGCGGCTGCCAAGACCATATAACACCAGTCTTGAAAGACCTACATTGGCTCCCAGTACGTTTCCGAGCACAATTCAAAGTGTTGGTGCTGACCTTTAAAGCCCTAAACGGCCTCGGTCCAGTATATCTGAAGGAGCATCTCCACCCCATCGTTCTACCCGGACACTGAGGTCCAGTGCCGAGGGCCTTCTGGCGGTTCCCTCATTGCGACAAGCCAAGTTACAGGGAACCAGGCAGAGGGCCTTCTCAGTAGTGGCGCCCTCCCTGTGGAACGCCCTCCACCAGATGTCAAAGAGAACAACAACTACCAGACTTTTAGAAGACATCTGAAGGCAGCCCTATTTAGGGAAGCTTTTAACATTTGATGTATTACAGTATTTTAATATTTTTTTTGGAAGCCGCCCATAGTGGCTGGGGAAGCCCAGCCAGATGGGCGGGGTATAAATAATAAATTATTATTATTATTATTATAAACCAGGGGTCAGCAAACTTACCGCGCCTCAGGCCGTTGTCTCCAGCGGCGGGCCGGAGGGCAGGGGAGCGCGTGCCCATACGTGTGAGCACACTCTATTTCCGGCGCACTTCCAGGTCAGAGGAGCACCGGAAATAGCTTGTGCGCATGTGCAGGGGCCTCCTCCAACCCGGATGTGCACCGGAAATAACGCTTGCGCATGCGCACAAGCCACTTCCGGTGCTCCTCCGACCCGGAAGTGGGCACCCACGCAGCGCACACCAGTAGGAGTAGAGGGTCGCCGCAGGCCGGATAAACGAGTCCCTCGGGCCTTATCCGGCCCGCGGGCCTAAGTTTGGGGACCCCTGGTATAAACAATCTAAATTCAATGCAATGGAACAACACACAAGGGTGGAAACAAGGACGAGGATAAAAGCTGCGCCTGCTGTCACAGAATCATAGAATTGTAGAGTTGGAAGGGACCCAACGGTCATCTAGTCCAACCCCGCCCTGCAATGCAGAAATCTCAGCTAAAGCATCCCTGACAGGTAGCCATCCATCCTCTGCTTAGAAACCTCCAAGGAAGGATCCGTTCCACTGTCAAACAGCTCTTATGGCCACAAAGCCTTTCCAGCGAAGGAAAAGGCGGCAGCTTTACAGCAGGGAAGCTAAACAGTAGAATATCTGGCGGAGTTGGGGGAGAGGAGGATAATAAATTGAAATTGAATTGAATTGAAATTGAAATACTTTGTTGTCACTTGTACAACTTGTATGCAGTGAGATTACACCAGCACCCCCCACTCAGCTCTCTTAGTCTTAATTCCCCTCGTTTACTGACGCACACCCACCAAACCCCAAAGTCAGTTGCCCTGTTGTTATCTTTTCATTCATCAGCCTAACAGCCCAGGATAGAAGCTGTTCTTTACCCTGTTGGTGCGACTAATCGTGCTTCTATATTTTTTGCCCGAGGGCAGGAGATCAAGAAAGTGCCAGCCAGAGTGTGAATAATCATCCCTGAGAATTTTCCTCACTCTCCTGAGGCAACGTTCTTCTGCTATTTCATCCAGCAGATTCACGGGACAGCCCATAATATCTTGCGCTATATTCGCCACCCTCTGTAGGCACTTCCTATCAGATGATGTCAAACCAGCGCACCACACCGTGATGCAGTATGAAAGGAGACTTTCTATTGTGGACCGGTAGAAGGAGATCATCAAATGTTGATTGACGTCATTCTCCGCAATACTATGAGAAGATGGAGTCTCTGTTGGGCTTTCTTAACCACTTGGGCTGTATTGATTTTCCAAGTAAAGTCTTCACTGAGATAAACTCCTAGGAATTTAAAGGAAGAGACTCTCTCCACACAGCCCTCCCCGATCTACAGTGGGGCTAGTTCTCCTCTCTTTCTCTGAAAGTCCAACACCATCTCATTTTTCTTGCTGATATTAAGGTGCAAGTTGTTCCCTAGGCACCGTGTAGATATTTTTTGGACCTCCCCTCTATACGCTGATTCGCCTCCACCTGTTATTAAACCCACTGTGGTGGTGTCATCTGCAAACTTTATAATTGCAGTAGACGGGTCAGATGATACACAATCGTATGTATACAATGAATACAGGTAGGGACTTAGCACACATCCCTGGGGTGTGACAGTGATGATTGTTAAGGAATTAGATGTTACACGTCCGATCTTCACTGTTTCTGTCCGATCTATCAGAAAGTCTTTAATCCAGTCACAGGTGGTAGGAGAAAGGTTCATGTTCATATAGAATCATAATAAATGCATCAGAGAAGAGGGATATCCCCTTCCGCAGGCTCTGAAGGGGGGGGGGTGAGGGAGGGAAGCCGCCACCACCCCAACAAATGTGCACCAGGGACTTGCTATTTTTAGCTCCTTGGGGTTGTCATGACAACCAACCTGCTTTTGGAGCACTGAGGAAGCATCCGAGCGGGATTTGGAAGCCCAGCGATCGATGACTGCAAAAGAACGGCACCCGTTCTCTCTGGGGTGGAGATCACCGTTTTCCCGGGAAGCCCATAAACCATGGAAGGAGCATGACCCCAAAGGAAAGCTGTGAGCCGCCTGGCCCCAAGATCTGGTTTCTCCCTTGGACACTTGTATTCTCCGGGTTTAGACAAAGAGATAAAGCAAATGTAGGAAGAGGCTGCTGGATGAGGCCACGAGCCCATCTCGTCTAGCATCTTGTTCCCACATTGGCCAACCAATGGGAAACCCTCGAGCAGGATTCGAACACAAGAGCCTCTCGCGGCAGTGAGTTCCATAGTTTAAAGGTAAAGGTAAAGGGACCCCTGACCATTAGGTCCAGTCGTGACCGACTCTGAGCTTGCGGCGCTCATCTCGCTTTACTGGCCGAGGGAGCCGGCGTACAGCTTCCGGGTCATGTGGCCAGCATGACTAGGCCGCTTCTGGCAAACCAGAGCAGCACATGGAAACGACGTTTACCTTCCCGCTGGAGTGGTACCTATTTATCTACTAGCACTTTGACGTGCTTTCGAACTGCTAGGTTGGCAGGAGCAGGGACCGAGCAACGGGAGTTCACCCCGTCACGGGGATTCGAATCGCCAACCTTCTGATCGGCAAGTCCTAGGCTCTGTGGTTTAACCCACAGCGCCACCCGCGTCCCCGTTCCATAGTTTAACAGCACACAAAGACGCTCTGCCTCCATTGAGAGTATAAAATAAAAACGAAAATTAATGGTTTTATAAGGTGTGTGTCTTCGTTTCTCAATTTGACTTGCGGTTATTTTTATCGACCTTAATTATCCTTCATTGCAAATGTTAAGAGTGAATTTCTGTTTAATTATTTGCTGATGTTCTGAGAGTTAATTTTGTTGTTTATTGTTATATTCTAATAGATTATTGAATATTACTTTATTTGATATGAGTCGTTCCCTTTTAAAGTCACGTTTCATTACATTTTTTTTGCATTGGGTCAGATTATTATAAAGTGTGTGCTCTTGGTTGCATAATTTGTTGCTGTCAACCGCCTTGGGCGTAGTAATATAGAAAGGCGGTATACAACTTAAAATTAAAATGAAATTAAATGCTTCCTAATTGCAGTTTCTGGAAACCGCAGGAGAGGAGACAGTCATCTGGTGCTTGGGTTTTGCTTGTGATCTTCCTACAGACATCTGGGACAGCAAACCCAAACCCAATCCCCAGTACCTATCCTTATGTAGCCAAAACAACCCAGGCAAACGAGGCCAGTACTAGCAGGAGCTTTGGGTTTGAAGAAGTAATTTTGAAAGGGGGTATCTAAAGGTAAAGGGACACGGGTGGCGCTGTGGTCTAAACCACTGAGTCTAGGGCTTGCCGATCAGAAGGTCAGCGGTTCGAATCCCTGTGACGGGGTGAGCTTCCGTTGCTCAGTCCCAGCTCCTGCCAACCAAGCAGTTCAAAAGCACGCCAGTGCAAGTAGATAAATAGGTACCGCTCCGGCTGGAAGGTAAACAGTGTTACCAGACTTTTAGAAGACATCTGAAGGCAGCCCTGTTTAGGGAAGCTTTTAATGTTTAATAGACTATCGTATTTTAATATTCTGTTGAAAGCCGCCCAGAGTGGCTAGGGAAACCCAGCCAGATGGGCGGGGTATAAATAAATTATTATTGTTGTTATTATTATTATTATTATTATTATTATTATTATTATTATTTATTATTATTATTCCGTGCACTGCTCTGGTTTCTCCAGAAGCAGCTTAGTCCTGCTGGCCACATGACCCGGAAAAATTGTCTGCGGACAAACGCCGGCTCCCTTGGCCAATAAAGTGAGATGAGCGCCGCAACCCCAGAGTTGTTCGCGACTGGACTTAACAGTCAGGGGTCCGTTACCTTTTTTTTAATCTAAAGGGAAGAAACGCCGAAACAGCCCAGTGTGGACTAAGCAGAACACTGAGTGTCTGTGGGGGGCAAGGACCAGAAAACGGAAGTTGGGAGGTATGGGATACAGAAAGCAGCTGGCTGGCTGGGACAAAGAATAGCAATGGACGGCAGATATAGCTCGATTAGTAGAGCACCAGACTTTTAATATCAGGGTCAGGAGTTTGAGCCCCACATTGGGCGTAAGATTCCTGCATTGCAGGGGGTTGGACTAGATGACCCTCGTGGTCCCTTCCCATTGTTGCAGGAAACTCCCCCCCCCCCCAATCATTCAGTTTGTACAAACACGACACACACTCACACATGACATACACGACGTTTCTGTTATAAATTCATAGTAAATCAACCATACATCGGATTTACACTGGTCCACTTTTATTTTACTCCATGAAGGACGGACTATCAAAGAGGGATGGTTTGATACAGGACGGCCATAATCCCTTAACTGTACCAGCACATACACAGGAGCCCTACCCAGTTGGCATGACAACCTTGATGGTCCCCCCAGACAGAAGACCATCAAGGTCACAAAGGACTTGCATATGGGAGTGGATTCAACATGGACTGGAACAAAGGAAATGGATCAGATCTTCCCTCTGGGGGCAGGAAACTGCCAGCTCCCCTTTGTCCTCTGGAAATGGCTCATGGGGAGGGGGAAAGGAGGAACAAGCCAGGTGACAAGATACTCAGGTTACCTCCACAACTCCTCCCTCAACCCCTCCTTTTTGTGATGTGTCAATGATGTAGTCATGATGTAGTTGTGATGTAGTTCTAGGGGTGTAGTTTGGGGGGTTAGTAACTAATAAAAGTTGGGGTCTTCTTTTGTTCTGGGCTTCCATCTTGTTCCACCTGGTGGCAGGTGGGAGTCCTGTCGCAACCGTCTTCAATAAAGACCAAGCCTACTGGCTGCTGTTTTGCTCTGGTATTCCTGGCTGGTGTCCTTGTTTTTTTTGTCCAAGGGAGCCCTCGGATTTCTCCATTAACACCATTCTAGGATTGTATGATCCACGCACGACAGTATTTTGTTGCAGGTCCCCGCTTGTGCTTTCTGTGTTTCCCCACTCAGAAAAAGCTGTGGATTGTCCTTGCGATCTGCAAGCCCAAAGCCCTCGGGTTCAACAGCAGCGGATCACGCTCCCCAACCACCTCCTTCTCCCCCCCACTGCTGATTTTTCGGATGTACCCCCCCTTTGAGCAAGGTGCATGTCCAAAAACGGGCTTAACCGCAGCGGGAAAAGTTCTGGGGCAGAAAGTCCAAGGCCTGCCATCGCCCGGGCCAAGTGTGTGTTATTCTCCTGCAGGCTCGTGGCTCAGGAGGTGGCTGCTCCCCGCGGAGACGGACGCCCGGGGCTTTACTTGCCTGCGTTAAACACAAGCAATTAGCTCTAAAGAGGGCAAGGGAGGCAGAGAGGCTGAAAACACGCAAACAAACTCCCAACGTCGCCCCACTGGGGCGGCCGGCCTCCGAGTGTGTGTGTGTGTTTGCGTGCAGTTATTGTGACAGAAAATTTGTGTACACACAACTCGCTCCTATAAATAGCACAGGACCAGCCTAGCGAGGCAAGCTCTGACTCCGAGGAGCTCCGGGTCTGAAAGCAGGAACGGCAGCAGTTCCACGCTGAGTTGCACCCTGGGGTTTTTCGTAAAAAGCAGTTTGTTTAGACACTTAAGAGGCGCCCGTCGTATCGGGCCATTGGCCCCTCTAGTCCAACATACAGTGGTACCTCGGGTTACATACACTTCAGGTTACAGACTCCGCTAAACCAGGAATAGTACCTCGGGTTAAGAACTTTGCTTCAGGATGAGAACAGAAACTGTGCTCCGGCGGCACAGCAGCAGCAGGAGGCCCCATTAGCTAAAGTGGTGCTTCAGGTTAAGAACAGTTTCAGGTTAAGGTAGACCTCTGGAACGAATTAAGTACTTAACCTGAGGTACCAGTGTACTGCAGCATCCTACTGGATGCCTGTGGGAAACTGCGAAGGCCGGACCAGAGTGCCAGAGTGCTTCCCCCTCCTGCAGTTTCCAGCAATACGAATAGAATAGAATAGAATTTTATTATTACGGTCACAGACCTGTTCCGGCTCACTTACAATATCAGGAAAACCATAAAACACAAAAGGAATACATTGAATTGCAACTGGGTATAACAGAACCAATTCAAATATAGAGGTAGTTAAAAAAAATATTAAATCTTGATCACTAAAATATAACCTAAAATTATCATTTAAAACCTTGATCATTTTGGTAGTACAGCTTGTTTCCCTAAGTTTTACGGCAGTCGCACAGAATTTGGCCACCCTGAGCGTGATCTCTAGATCCTTGTCCTCTACCAGGAGTTTTAGACATTGAAGTTCGGACACAATTGGAGATTTTTGTATAACAGGAGTTGTAAATACCGAGCGTATATCCCCGTAGAAACGGCAGCGTAACAAGACATGAGAGACAGTTTCCACCTCCATCAAGCCACAGGGGCAGACTTGTTCCACGTACGGTTTACCCTCGAATCAGCCCTGCAGTAAGGCAGATGGCAGCACGTTGAATCTAGCGAGGGTAAATGACCTTCCCAGCAATAGATATTCCGCATTGCTGCCTCCATTTTGCGGATGCTGAGCTTTGCATCCTGACTAGTCAACATCAAAAGCCCTCTCCGCCTCCGTGAATTTGTCTCGCCCTCTTCTAAAGCCATCCAAGTAGGTGGCAGGGAAACTGCGGCAGGGAGTTCCACAGTTCAACTCTGTCCTTTCTTTTACCTGCCCCGAATCTCCCAAGGTTCAGCTTCGTTGGATGAATCCTGGTGCTGTGAGAGAGGGGGAAAAACCTTTTCTCTATGCGCTCCATCCACAATCAGTTAAAGGAAGTGGACTCTGTTTCGCCAGGAGATTAGAAGACCGAAGAGGGGCCTTTTCAAAGGACTTTTCAAAGACTTAGGGCTCATCCACACACACACACCCTCCATTTGCCCTACTGCTTTCACCGGGGAAACTCGCAGTTTGGCACTGAACTGGAACAAATGAGAATCGGGTTTTCTTTTGATTGCCAATGAAGCTGAAAGTTGAAAGGTTCAGGGTGGATAAAACACAAGAGTAAGCTCTTTCTGCAGTGGCTCCCCATTTGCTAAATGCTCTCCCCAAGGAGGTTCAGCTGGTGCCTTCTTCATCATCATCATCATCATCATTACTACTACTACTACTACAAAGCACAAACAATTGTCTCTATTCCCTTCTTATTAACCTATTGCATTTCTATCCCACTACAGTGGTACCTCAGGTTACATACGCTTCAGGTTACAGACTCCACTAACCCAGAAATAGTACCTCGGGTTAAGAACTTTGCTTCAGGATGAGAACAGAAATCGCGTGGCGGCAGCGGGAGGCCCCATTAGCTAAAGTGGTGCTTCAGGTTAAGAACAGTTTCAGGTTAAGTACGGAGCTCCGGAAAGAATTAAGTACTTAACCCGAGGTACCACTGTACTTTTTTCAAGGTTGCTTACGAGATTCTCCCCCCTCCCTCATTTAATCCCCCCCCCCAAACAACCCTGTGAGGTTGGTTCGGCTGAGAGGCAGCCACTGGCCCCCAAGGTCCCCCAGTGACCGTTATGTCAAGTGGGGATTCGAACCCAGGTCCTAGTCAAACACTCTAACCGCTACACCACCCTGCCTTTCCTCCAGAGACAGCATCTCTGAAACAGATGTTGGCTGTTTCCAGATTCATGAGACCCTTCAGGATGTGGCCTGCCAGCCGTGTTCTGCAGCCAGGCTACACCGTTTCAAAAGGCTGGCTTTTCTGAATACTAAGCACACATACAGAAAAACACATACAGTGGTGCCTCGCAAGACGAAAAGAATCCGTTCCACAAGTCTCTTCGTCTTGCGGTTTTTTCGTCTTGCGAAGCAAGCTGATTAGCGGCTTAGCGGCTTAGTGGATCAGCTGATAAGCGGCTTAGCGGCTTGGGGAAAAGGGGGGGGAGGGGAAAAAAACCGGCAGGAACTCGCAAGACATTTTCGTCTTGCGAAGCAAGCCCATAGGAAATTCGTTTTGCGAAGCACCTCCAAAACGGAAAACCCTTTCGTCTAGCGGGTTTTCCGTCTTGCGAGGCATTCGTCTTGCGGGGCACCACTGTATATGAAGCTCTGGAGGGAGAACAGGCGCATGTGCTTCCTCCTTCGCCAAAGGCCCAGAAATAGCGACATGATAAACACACACTCCATCCTTTCTGAATGACACACTCAGACCCCGGGGGGGCAGAGGAAGGGGGGTGTGGGCCGCCCTGGGTGGCACCACTGAGGGGGTGACAAAATGCTGGGCGGCACTCACCGCGAGGCCTGCAGCGTGCCCGAGCCACACGTCTCTCCTGGGAGAGACACGCGGCTCGGGCATGCGCAGGCTGCACGGTGCCCAAATGGTCCATCCATTGCCTCCCTCCCCAGCAGTGGGGCGACTGAATGGGAGGAGGCAGGCAGACTCCAGAAGCCCCACGGTGTGCCCCACCCCTATGGGTAGCTCGCCCCGCCCTCACCTTGCCCTGCCCCTTTGGGTGACTCGTCCCGCCCTCGCCTTGCCCCGCCCCTATGGCTGGCTCGCCCCACCCTCATCCCACCTTGCCCCACCCCTATGGGCGGCTTCCTCCACCCTCACCTTGCCCCGCCCCTATGGGTGGTTAGCCCCACCCTCACCTTGCCCCGCCCCTATGGGCAGCTTGCTCCGCCCTCGCTTGCTCCGCCCTCGCCTTGCCCTGCTCCTATGGGCTGCTTGCTCCGCCCCTGGGCATGCCACCCCAGGAGCCCGGGCGGCTTCCTCTGCTGCTGCTCAGACCTCCAAAGCTACCATTCACAGCTATGCTACAAACCACCCCTGCCTTGGTTGCAGAGAGGACATGACGCCAAGCCACAGTGCAAGCATTTTAGCCATGGCTTGCCAGAAGCTTCTGAATCGGCAAGTCACAGTTTGTGACCACCCAGCAAGCAAGATTCTGGAAACCATGGTTTGGCGTTAAGGCATCTGTAGCCAACGTGACGCTATCCAGGCGTTGCAGATGACAACTCCATTGGCCATACCAACTGGGGATGATGGGAGATGTAGTACAACAACATCTGGAGCACACTGTATTGGCTAACCCTGGTGTAAGGTTGTTTACCTGAAGGAGTGTCTCCACCCCCATTGTTCTGCCCGGACGCTGAGGTCCAGCGCCAAGGGCCTTCTGGTGGTTCCCTCACTGCGTGAAGGGAAGCTACAGGGAACCAGGCATAGGGCCTTCTTGGTGGTGGCGCCCGCCCTGTGGAACGCCCTCCCAGCAGATGTCAAGGAAATAAACAACTATCTGATGTTTAGAAGACATCTGAAGGCAGCCCTGTTCAGGGAAGTTTTTAATGTGTGACATTTTAATGTATTTTTAATCTTTGTTGGAAGCGGCCAGCCAGATGGGCGGGGTACAAATAATATACAGTGGTACCTCGCAAGACGAATGCCTCGCAAGACGAAAAACGCGCAAGACGAAAGAGTTTTCCGTTTTTTGAGTCGTTCCGCAAGACGAATTTCCCTATGGGCTTGCTTCGCAAGACGAAACGTCTTGCGAGTTTGTTTCCTTTTTCTTAAAGCCGCTAAGCCGTTAATAGCCGCTAAGCCGCTAATAGCCGTGCTTCGCAAGACGAAAAAACCGCAAGACGAAGAGACTCGCAGAACGGATTAATTTCGTCTTGCGAGGCACCACTGTATTATTATTATTATTATTATTATTATTATTATTATTATTATTATTTAAGGTGTTCAGGGGACCTGCGTATCTTGCCTACCAGGCCTTTGGCACTCTGGTCCCTGAGCCACACAGCCTAGGCTTTGTAAGTCAGGTCACTGGCTGGTCACTGTGGGAAAACAGGGTGAGACTTTGCTATGATGCAGCAGGGCTCTCTACGCAGATCTGGCGGGAGAAATCCCCCACTACGGGGGGGGGGGAGAGCTATATTTATGAGAGATGTCATCCTGACCTCTGAAGAGGCTTGTCTGACAGACACCTCGAGTTCACTTTCCCAGTGGCTTGTGGTGAAATCCATAGAGCTCTTAATGGCCTCATTTGTTTGTGACTGCAATTAGTTACTCTGGAAAGCACTCTCTTTAAAAAAAAAAAAAAAAAGTATTTATTTGCTTGCTTCAGTGTGTCCAAATCCTTTATTCCCATCCATTGGAAAGAAGCTTCAAATCAACACAAGATAAACACACGGAAGTGTTAACACGTGAACTTTGCCCTTGCTTTACGTCTTGAAAGCAAATGTTCACAATGGCATTTAACTGCGTGGTGAGCAAGCAAGTCTGCGGGGATTGCGAGCTAATCTTTATTTCATGCCAACAGTGGCATGGTTTGCACATCATGCTAAGTCAAAACCACGCATGCGAGTTCTGCCAGAGGAGCTAGCACTCCCCTTCTTCCTCTTTGGTTTTCTTACTGCTACCCTGAGTCAAGCCACGGTTTAGCTTAGCATCCCAATCTAGGCTGAAGCCACAAACCACTGGAGAAACTTGGGTTGCAGCTCATATTTTGTCTGGCAAGAGCTAAACTGTGAGCTTGCGTTCAGATGATGCACTAAGCCATGGGTAGGCAAACTAAGGCCCGGGGGCCAGATCTGGTCCAATCGCCTTCTAAATCCAGCCTGCGGATGGCCCGGGAATCAGCGTGCTTTTACATAATAAGAATAGTAATAATTTTTTATTTATACCCCGCCCTTCCCAGTTCAGAAAACCAGGCTTAAGGTTGCTAACAACAAATTTAAAACACTTAATTGATGCAACAAAAAAGAAGCATAAAATACAGTATAAAACGTGAATAACAAGAAATTCAGAAATGCAGTCGGGAGAAACATTCCTGAGCAAATCCGGTTCCTGTGAACACCATGCATGCTCTAAGGCCGCTTAAGTCCAGGTAAAGAACTGCTGACTTGAAGCCACTGGCTACCTGTACTTGCTTTCTATACATTTTAGGCACCTGCTCCTTCCCAGTTTACAAGGTTTCAGTAATTCCAAGACCTGTTGGCCTTGGCTATACAGGCAGGCAGCTGAAGCAGTGGCTCATCATACAGGCACGATGGTGAGAACACAACGTTTTGAATGCCCTGCTGCCTAAGACAATATCTCTGCTGATAGAGAATGAGCACATCAGGGAGAAAGGCTCTATACACACACACACACACACACACACACACACACACACTACTCTGTTGGTTTTCTATTTGCTGGGAGTTTCAGTGTAAGGAAGTGTTTGAAAAAAAGAAAAATTAGATTCTCCAATTACAGCCTGAAGTGGCACAACTTCCTTGCAAACCGCTCGGTTTCCTAATGTACCCACAAGCCAGCCTCCTGACAATCAGCATAGCTTCTTAGCAAGGGTAAGGATAAATGAGCTAATTCTGTGGATGGGAAGATAGAAAAGGTTGTAGGTCTCTTGCAGCATAGCCCTACGTCCGTTGACTTGAATACAAGCCTCCTTTATGTTCGACGGAGGTTACTCTCCGGTAGGGATGAGAAAAACCTGCCCATCTTTGCTTCACTCAGTTTCTTATTTTCCCCATCTTAAGTTCTCCGCATTTGCACATCGGCCTGAAAACTGTTTTCTGAAAGGTCCTCGTGAAAATTCATCTGCATCATCGCACAAACCTCTCCGAATATATACACATTTGTATACCGTTTTGCCTTACATGCACATTCTTGCAAAGCAATCTTCACGAACATAACGCACTTGTAGGTTGCTTTCACGTAAAGATACATATTTATGCCTGTCTCGGTTATTGCATTATTTTGGAAAGTGTGAATCGAGTAGTGTTGCCTTTAAATCAGGGGTCAGCAAACTTTTTCAGCAGGGGGCCGGTCCACTGTCCCTCAGACCTTGTGGGGGGCCGGACTATATTTTTTTTGGGGGGGGGGGAATGAACAAATTCCTATGCCCCACAAATAACCCAGAGATGCACTTTAAATAAAAGCACACATTCTACTCATGTAAAAACACCAGGCAGGCCCCACAAATAACCCAGAGATGCATTTTAAATAAAAGGACGGATTCTACTCATGTAGAAACACGCTGGTTCCCAGACTGTCCATAGGCTGGATTTAGAAGGCGATTGGGCCGGATCCGGCCCCCGGGCCTTAGTTTGCCTACCCATGCTTTAAATGCAGATTAATTTGCCTCACGCCCCTACTCTCAGGTAAGTGAAGAGGCTTGCAGCCTTACTACCCATAGCTGAGAATTTGCAGGCCCAGTCACCCTGCCTCACCTTTTGACTCTACTCTGAAGGAAAGCCCAGTGAAAATATTTATTTCCCAAGGATTGTGCGAGTACAACATGCAGGTGGCCCTTCCGATTCTTACCTCGTCAGCTTTCTCTGTGCATAAAGGATCTCTTTCATTTGGGGCTGGTATTAAAACGTTCTTTTATATTTCAGCTATAAGCTCTTCCCCAAATGCCCCAAGTTGGATATATCCAACAGTCCTCAAGAGTCGACTTCTTCCTTTCTTCTTTCTATTTGCTACGAGCAAATTTAGCTTTAACATAGGAAGTCTAAGCCTCATCCATGGAACAGCCCTTTCGTTTCTTCTGCTTTATTTGATTTCATTAGCCAAAAAATGCAGGTTTAGGAAAAGCATGGAAATTCATCCTGGCTAGTCAAAGAACAAGACAAGCTTTTTCCCAAGCCAGAACTCCAGGTGTGGTCTAAATGTGGTTTGATCTCAGATGAGGAGGGTGGAGAGGAGGTTAGCGGATTTTATCTTGTTATCATCTTATATTTTACTTAAAAATATGAAGCTCCCTCTTCAAGAGCCAGATCACTAGCCCATCTACACCTGTGTCCACACCAGCTTTTGTCAATATTTTGGACTACAACTCCCATAAGCCCCCAGCCAGCAAGGCTACTGGTCAAGGATGATGGGGGTTGTAGTTCAACAACAAGTGGATGGGAAAAGCTAAACTGGCCTCTTTCATTGCTGGATGGTAAGGCTTCATTTTAAACATTGGTAATGACCAACTACGGGACGCGGGTGGCACTGTGGGTTAAACCACAGAGCCTAGGGCTTGCCAATCAGAAGGTCGGCGGTTCGAATCCCTGCAACAGGGTGAGCTCCCGTTGCTCAGTCCCTTGCTCCTGCCAACCTAGCAGTTCAAAAGCACATCAAAGTGCAAGGAGATAAATAGGTACCACTCCAGCGGGAAGGTAAACGGCGTTTCCGTGCACTGCTCTGGTTCGCCAGAAGTGGCTTAGTCATGCTGGCCACATGACCCGGAAGTTGTACGCCGGCTCCCTCGGCCAATAAAGCGAGATGAGCGCCGCAACCCCAGAGTCGGTCACGACTGGACCTAATGGTCAGGGGTCCCTTTACCTTTACCTTTAATGACCAACTGCAACAACCACTTCCATTTTCATCACTGGACATATGGAAAATAAAGTCTTTGAGTTGCATGCCTTTTCAACTTCTGACCATCTTTTCCTTTCAATACAACTTCAAAAAAAAATGTGATTCATATTGTATATACCTGATATAATTTTTCCTACTGTTTACTTTATGCCTCCACCCTGATCCCATCTGGTTTGACTGTTCTTTACTGTTTGGTCATTGACTTGTTCTTGGAACTGCTTTCTATCACTTTCATAAAAATCCCAATAAAAATATATTTTTTAAAAAATCCAGAAGGCACCGCGTTGTCTAAACCAAGGATCTTTCCCCCGCTTCCCAACGCAGACAACTGGACTAGCATAGTGGACTCTCTTTGCAAGAGCTATTACTCAAGGGGAAATCTCAGCTGCTCCCCTAAAGGAGGAAGCCATCCCTGAATTATATGCAATCTCCTGGGATAAAGAGCAGAGCATACTGTTTATACTGTTTACAGACCTTGTGCTGCTCTCCAGTGCATCATTCTGTGCCCAAAATATCTGAAACAGTGGACTTTTAGAAGACATCTGAAGGCAGCCCTGTTTAGGGAAGCTTTTAGTATTTGATGAATTATTGTATTTTAATACTTTTCTGGATGCTGCCCAGAGTGGCTGGGGAAACACAGCCAGATGGGTGGGGTAGAAATAAATTATTATTATTATTATTATTATTATTATTATTATTACACCCAGGGGTTTCGCAAAGGCCCTTCATCTTTCACCAATTGAATCGTGGAGTTCACATAAATTATGCCCACCAATATTTATTTATTTGTTTCAAACATTTAGATCTCACCTTTCTTAAAAAGTTCAAGGCGGACCTGTAGAAACTGCCTGCTTCCCTATGGACCTAATATTTGCTGGGATGCCATGAGGGCCGGATTTAGGTTTGATGAATCCCTAAGCTCCTGAAGGCAATGGGGCCCTTTATATGTCCAGCTCTCCTTTGTCAACAACAAATTGTCGCTGTTTTTTGTGTTGAATATATGCTATACGGTCATTTATGGACCTAATAGGTATCTCAAGCCATTTGCACATAACAAAATATGCATTATATCAAAGTAATTGTTGAAAAGTGCATGCAGAATGCAAGGTCCATGCAGAATGTAGGCACCCTATATATAGAAAGGAGCAAACCAGTGATATTTACATCATAGGAGCCTACACAACACAAAACACTGTTGCTGTATGTAGGTTTTATTTTATTTGTTTTTTATCTTATATTTTGGAAATGTACATCCAGGTTTTTTTATTTAATTTTTTGTGGGGCCCCAAGAGTGTGGGGCCCTAAGCTATAGCTCGTTTAGCTTATACATAAATCCGGCACTGGATGCCGCATGCAAACGCACACAGTGCCAATTTCTCAGCAACCAAATCACAGGGGATGTCTGAGGGTGGGGGGCGCTTTAAGTCATTAGAGCAGGTGCAAGAGGGACCATTACGAAAAAGGGGAGATAATTAGGGACACACAGAACTCTGTGCCTCCAACACTACTGAACCGCCATACAGTCATGAGGACTAGGAAGCCAGCACGAAGTTTAGTTTATTAAGTGGCAGCAGAGAGGTTTTTAAGAATGGAAAACTCTGCTTCCTGGCAATCCAAAAACTGCACAGTTCCCGACTACATTAAGCCAGGGATGCCACACAGGCGAGGAAGTAAAAGTCTTAAAAACGCCGGATATAGGTAGAAATTCCTGTAATATCCATCCTTGCTGATAAAAAAAAACCCCACTATCTCCTCCGTTAACGTGCCTGAGCAGAAGCAAAGGGCGAGGGTATTCCACCGCCCTGCTGAAACATGCCGGTTGGATCAAACTACGTCATATTCATAGCAAATCCACTCAAATCGAGGGACTTCAGTTAGTCATGCCCATTCAATTCAACTGGCCTCCAAACGGATACAGCTCTCACGCCTGCAAAAGCCCTTCCCTGCCTGCGCAAGTTCAATCACGCACCGCCCCAAAAACCCTTTTCCTTTTGCTTAGCGTTCCACGACAATCAGAGAATCACAGAGTTGAAAGGGACCCCCAAAGGACATCTAGACCAACCCCCCGCCGCAATGCAGGAATCCGAGCAGACTGCTTCGGAAGACGGGGGGGTGGGGGCTCTCAGGTTATGTACTCAATTACAGAACACACCTAGGTCATTCATTTCCCCCAATTTGGACCGAAGCTGATGGCGGTGTGTGTGTGTGCAATCCATCGCAATTCAGTATTTCATTAGAAACAACAGGAAAGAGAACGATGGGCTTTGGAGAATGCCATGCGCACAACCATTACCCAAGCCAGCAAAGGAACCACACTCAAAGCAGAGTAAACAGGAGTGGGCATACAGTGTCGGTTAGAGAGGGTCTTTAAGCAGAGGCCGACTGGCCACCAATAAAGTAATCTTTATAAAACTACAACTAATCCAGAATGCGGCAGCTAGACTGGTGACTGGGAGCGGCTGCCGAGACCACATAACACCGGTCTTGAAAAACCTACATTGGCTCCCAGTACGTTTCCGAGCACAATTCAAAGTGTTGGTGCTGACCTTTAAAGCCCTAAACGGCCTCGGTCCAGTAGACCTGAAGGAGCGTCTCCACCCCCCATCGTCCAGCCTGGACACTGAGGTCCAATGCTGAGGGCCTTCTGGCGGTTCCCTCACTGCGAGAAGCCAAGTTACAGGGAACCAGGCAGAGGGCCTTCTCGGTGGTGGCGCCCGCCCTCCCATCAGATGTTAAGGAATAAACAACTACCTGACATTCAGAAAACATCTGAAGGCAGCCCTGTTCAGGGAAGTTTTTAATGTGTGACATTTTAATGTATTTTTAATCTTTGTTGGAAGCCGCCCAGAGCGGCTGGGGAAACACAGCCAGATGGGCGGGGTACAAATAATAAAATTATTATTAATTATTATTATTATCGGGCATGGGGGTTGATTGGATGGCCTCTGGGTTGCCTCCCCCGCAAATGCTGGCTCCTTACCTGCCACAGCAAATACCCTCCCAGGATGGATTCTTGACTCAGCTGCAGCTGCTGCTGCTGCGCTATGGTGACCCCCAGCACCAGGGTGTGGATGGCGCAGGAGACGGCCGAGATGAGGACGATGGGCGTGAGGCGCAGAGGGAGGGTGAGGAAGAAGGAGAAGACGAAGAAGGCCTGCCAGCCCACCGTGTCGCTGGCCTCGTGGTAGCGGGCGTAGTTCAGGCCCAGGTAGCAGAAGATCTGGGCGGCTATGAGGATCCACAGGATGTAGGGCATGAATTTGCGGGTGACGCGGTCCGGGAGGAGCTGGTACTTGCATAGGACGAAGAGGAGGATCTGGGCAGCCAGGCCCACCGAGGCCGCCAGGGTGGTGGGCAGCTTCTCGGCGGTGTAGACCACCGTGCACATGACGACGACGTAGCAGTCGAAGAGGGCAGCAAAGACCACCAAGACCAGCAGGGTCTCGTGGCGCTGCCTGCGGAAGTAAGTCTGGTAGAGGTTCTCCAGGGATTCCGGGGCGAACGTCAGGCGCATGAATCGCGGCAGGCAGAGGCAGGAGCCAGAGTTCCTCACCGTCACCTCGTGGGTGCGGCCGACCCCATGCTCAGGGTCGGACGGCAAGCTGACCGAGTAATCGGCCGAGTACTCGGCCGAGTACTCAGGCTCGGAAAAGGCCCTGTTCCGAGGCATCTCGCTCGCTGTGGCCGACCGTCAATCTGCGAAGAGGATCTGCTGACAAAGTTACCTCAGCAGTGGTCCAGCTCCCATTAAAAGCGGGACACAGGCGCGGAAGCTTCCGGAGCAATTATTCAGCACCTCCTTCCAAGGCCAGTGTGAAGCGATGTCTCTCACAGTCCAGCGTGCGCAGACCCCTGGCAGAAAGAGAGAGGGAGGGGGAAATGTGTTGGTCACCCAAAACGCACATGGCCTCCATTTTAATGCCAACCTCCGGCCTAGTGCAGCAAACCCCCCCCCCCAAAGCAAGCAGAAGATCGCCACAAACCGGCTGCACCCAAAAGCACGCTTCTCTCTGCTTTCATCCGAACCCCACCCAAATGAATGTTTTTGTGCTGAGAGAATTCACATGCGGGAAGGTGGAGAAATAGCTGGCCAAGCGCCAGAGGAACTTTCATCGGAAAACGGTTCAAGAAGCCGATGAGTCGAGGGGCTGTTCCTGCAAAGTCTGAAGAAATGGAACTGCAGACCACCCCCTCAAACACAGAAGGGAGACGGGAAAGGTGCTGGCAAATCATTCCAGTGGCAAATCGATCCCTATCAGCTCGGCTTTAGCAAAATTCTTGGGCAGATGTTGAACATCTCCCGCCCTTCCACTGCCCCTTCAGGCCGTGAAGGTTTCAGCATCCAGATGTGGTTAGAAAAGGCAAGCAGGACTAGTGGTCAACAAGTTGGTCCCCAGAGGGAGCACGCTCCCTTCCGTAAGAGCCAAGGGGTCTTCGGACCCCCCCAATAAAATACTTGAGGGGGCCTGGCCTCCCCAAAGATGATGGACATTGCCATTCAAATGGTGTGTGTGATCGATTAAGCAGGGTGGGGCCTACTTGGGGCTCCCAATATTTGATTCAAGTTGGCACCCCTGCACCCTTCGCCACCCTGCTGTCTCCCTCGGTTTCCCCACCGACCGACCCCCAGCGTCCCTCGCCCCCAAAAGCCCCTTCTCCCTCCTTACCATCTTCCCCAAGGGCGTGTCTCCAAGCCGGTGTGGGTCAAGTCTTGGGCTCAGGCCCCGTCAAAATGACCCGGAGGGCTGGCACAGCCGGCCAGCTCTTTCCCACGGAGAGAGGGAGCGGCGGGGATGCGCGCAGGCTCCATTCAAGCTTCCTCCGGCATCTCTTCCCCGTCTGCCAGCTGGAAGAAATGGGGCGCCAGCGACGGAGCTGGCATCCAGCAGAAGGGAAACCGACGCCGCCACCTCTATCCGGACTCCCAAACTAAAGGAGCATCTTTCCCAAAGAGCCACGTTTCCTTTGCCAGCAGAACGGCCCGGCTCCTTCAGGCTCCCTTGCTCATCGCATCCCTCTCCGCCCGGTTGTGCCTCGCTGGCGTCTCGGACCCCAGCCTCGACGGGTTGGCTCTGCCGGCTCCCCTGCCTCTCTTCCGGGCCTGGGGGGGTTTCTTCCCGTCGCCTGGAAGACCCGCGGAGCGCCTAGGTCGGGCGGCTGCGCCTGGCGCGCGTCGCAGGCGGAGGAGAAATGCGCGGATGGATGGAAAGGGAAGGAGGGAGCGAGGCAGAAATCTCCTCCCCAGCGCAACGCCAAAAGTCTGTGTGCGCGAGGCAAAAAAAATAATAAAGAGGAGGGAGAAGGAGGAGCAAAGCGAGGCCTCCGTGCGGGAGACGGCAGAGGGTGGAGAGAAGGAGAAACGAACTCAAACAAGTGCAAGGGGAAAGCCGGAGGCGCACGTGTGGGTGCGTGCGCCCGGGCGCAGCTGCAACTGATGGAGGGCGATTTCTCCAGCAGAAAAAGGTAGAGGCAGCAGCGCCTAGTGGTTAGCGGCGACGGAGGGAGGGAGAGGTTGGGTTTCCCAAGGAACCCAGGCCAGACGATGCCGAACTAAGACTCTCCAGGCCAGGAAGGGAGAGGGGGAGAGAGGAGGTCCCCTTGGCTACCCAGCCAACGCGCGCTGTTTGGGAAGGCGCCTCTGCCGCAGCTGCAACGGCCTCGGGGCTCCGTCGGAGGAGGCTGAGCCGCCGGGCTTCGCCGGCCCGCGCCGCCTCCGGGGTGGCCCTCGCCCGGGCTCTGGCCGAGGAAGACCCGCTGCAACAGGAGGAGCCGCTTTCGTGGCTCTGGCTGCGCTCCGGGCGGCCCGGCTTGGCCTCTCCCACGCTCCGCTCCGGGGCTGCGGAGCCTGGGAAAGGGAAAGGGAAGGAAGGACCTTCCCAAATCCCACCCTCCGCCGGCCGCTTGCAGAGGTAACCCTTTCCGCCCCGCGCCCAGGAAGGATGCGAGGGGAGGAAGGAAGGGCCCTCTGCACGCGCTCAGGAGCGCGCCGCGCGCCATCAGCTGGCGGGGTCTGGTGGCCGGCCTTGGCTTCCTTGGGGGCTGGACGTAAGAAGAGATTGCTGGACCAGGCCAATGGTCCATCTTGGCCCAGCATCTCGTTTTCCCAGTGGTCAAGCAGAAGATACCCGTGGGAAATCCGCAGGCAGCATTTGAGCAGAAGATCATTCCCTCCTGTGATTTCCAACAACTGGAGGCAGAGCAAAGCAAATACCAAATATTCTGGTGAATTCGCATTCTACTGCAACTTCAAACGGGGAGGGGAATATTATTCTAATAAATAGATGGGTTAACAGGATTATCATTTCATAAGGGCTTGGGTCAATAAAGGTAAAGGTAAAGGGACCCCTGACCATTCGGTCCAGTTGCGGACGACTCTGGGGTTGCGGTGCTCATCTCGCTTTACTGGCCGAGGGAGCCGGCGTACAGCTTCCGGGTCATGTGGCCAGCATGATTAAGCCGCTTCTGGTGAGCCAGAGCAGCACACGGAAACGCCATTTACCTTCCCACCAGAGCGGTACCTATTTATCTACTTGCACTTTGGCGTGCTTTCAAACTGCTAGGTTGGCAGGAGTAGGGACCGAGCAACAGGAGCTCACCCCGTCACAGGGATTCGAACCGCCAGCCTTCTGATCGGCAAGTCCTAGGCTCTGTGGTTTAACCTACAGTGCCACCCGCGGCTGTTTGGGTCAATATACAAGCCCAAATTGCCAACACCATGCAAGGTGGTTGTGAGGAGTACAACTAGATAATGTGAAGCGCATTCATCACTTGATGGTGAGGATTTTCTCTTCGTGTTGTTACTATTATTTTGGGTTGCCATATGTCTGCTGGAAACAGTGTCCGGTCGTAAATCGCTGAAATGTCCTGGGGGAGAAAAACCTTCGTTTTATTTTTTCACTTTTTGAAATATGGCAACCCTATATTATTATACTACGTGGTGTCAGAAAGTATTTCTGTAGCCGTTGGGAAATCAAACGCTGCCGAAGAGAAGCACTTTGTTCTTGCAGGTTTTCATGTTGCAATTTCACTCCAGTTTAAAACGAGGATATAAAATGTACTGTGTGGGACAAGTGGATGGCACCCAAAAAATATTTATGTGACTGAAAGGAAGCTGCCTGAAACCCAAGAAAGCTGTTGTCAGTCTGTGGAGTCAACACTGGGGCAGAACAAACTGTACCGTTGGAAGGGACCCCATGGGTCATCCAGACCAACCCTCTACAATGCAGGAATCTCAGCTAAAGCATCCATGACAGATGGCCACCCAACCTCTGCTTATAAATCTATGATGAAGGAGAGACTCTTGTGGGAGTCTGTTCCACTGCTGAACAACTCTTACTGACAGAAAGTTCTTCCTGAAGTTTGGTCAGAATCTCCTTTCTCAAAAATTTGTTTCGAGTCCTATCCTGCAGAGCAGGGGAAAACAAGCTTGCTCCATCTTCCATGTGACAGCCCTTGAGGAATTTGAAAATGGCTGTCCTATCTCCTCTCAGTCTCCTCTTTTCCAGGCTAAACATACCCAGCTCCTTCAACCGTTCCTCATAAGGCTTGGTTTCCAGACCCCTGATCATGTTGGTCGCTTTTCTCTGCACACGTTCCAACCTGTCAATATCCTTCTTAAACTGTGGTGCCCAGAACTAAACACAGTATTCCAGGTGTGGTCTGACCAAGGCAGAATAGAGTGGTACTATTACAGTGGTACCTCAGGTTAAGAACTTAATTCGTTCTGGAGGTCTGTTCTTAACCTGAAACTGTTCTTAACCTGAGGTACCACTTTAGCTAATGGGGCCTCCTGCTGCCACTGCACTGCCGGAGCACGATTTCTGTTCTCATCCTGAAGCAAAGTTCTTAACCCGAGGTACTATTTCTGGGTTAGCGGGGTCTGTGACCTGAAGCGTCTGTAACCTGAAGCGTCTGTAACCCGAGGTACCACTGTACTTCCCTTGATCTGGACACTACACTTGTGTTGATGCAGCCTAGAATAGAATTCACATTTTTTGCTGCTGCATCACACTGTTGTGTACACACTATGCCTTTAAAGTACATTTGAAGCACATTGTTTCCATCAAATATTCTGGGCACTGTTGTTGGTTAAGGGTTGCTCGGAATTTGCTAACTGGGGAAAGAGGAATAATGGTAATTAACAAATAAATTAAACAGGGTTAGAACATATAACTTAAACAGGGTTAGCGCTTTACAAAATCAGCTTATTTTTCAATGCCAACTAAAATAACAGTCCCCCTTTAAAAGTAAACATGAAACCTTAAGGTGAAGGTAACACATTTAAGTATAATATTTACCTTATTTTACCCTTACAGCTAATAATAAACAAAGAGCATTTGCTATTTTTATTACCTTATAAAGTGTGTCTGGCTGGTTTTATACCACATTTAAATCACCGCAGTGATTGGGATACAGCGAAAGGTGTTGGCAAAGTAGTAGAGCGCAGACATTTGGTGGCAGCGGTTGGAAGGTGAATAAGCCATGGTAAATAAAAGCTGGTTTTCCTCACATATCCAGAATAAAAGTGGGGCTGTCTCTCCACACCACAGTTTAGGATCAGGTACAAGAGGGCATTTATAGTGATGTATGGAAGTGAGAGCTGGAGCATAAAGAAGGCTGATCGCCGAAGAATTGATGCTTTTGAATTATGGTGCTGGAGGAGACTCTTGAGAGTCCCATGGACTGCAAGAAGATCCAACCTATCCGTTCTTAAGGAAATCAGCCCTGAGTGCTCACTGGAAGGACAGATCCTGAAGCTGAGGCTCCAAGACTTTGGCCTCCTCATGAGAAGAGAAGACTCCCTGGAAAAGACCCTGATTTTGGGAAAGATGGAGGGCACAAGGAGAAGGGGACGACAGAGGACGAGATGGTGGGACAGTGTTCTCGAAGCTACCAGCATGAGTTTGACCAAACTGCGGGAGGCAGTGGAAAACAGGAGTGCCTGGCGTGTTCTGGTCCAGGGGGCCACGAAAAGTCAGACACGACTAAACGACTAAACAACAAAGGGTGGCTGGGAATCGAAAGTGTTGTATTTTAAATTTTTGTAATACTTAACCCACACTGGGACCTCAGGGCAAAGGGTGGGCAATAAAATAGTAACTCCTCTTTCTCTGTGAGGAATAAACTACAAAGCCCAGAATTCTTTGAGGGTGGAAATGTGCTTTGAGTGTGTTTTAAAGGTATAGTGCAGGGGACAATAAAGGTGTTGTTGTTGTTGTTGTTTTAAAGGTATAGTGCAGGGGTCAGCAACCTAAGGCCCATGGGTCAGAACCGGCCTGCGGAGGTCCTTTGACCGGCCCACAAGCTGCCCCCGAACTGAGCACAGCACGGCATGGGGACTCGCTTCCGCGGCGCCGAAAATTGTGTCTGCGCATGCGCGGGTGCTGAAAATTGCAGGTGCACGCGCAATCCAGCCCACAGAGGGTTCTCCGCGGGACCGATCCGGCCCAGGCAAGATAAACCTTGCTACCCCTGGTATAGCATGTACATAGCCTAATATTGTCACTGAATGGGGAGAGCACTGTGTAGAAAAAAGGTCTCTGTCAGCAAGGGGAATGCTGACAAGGAAACAGGCCTATGCTGTATATTCTCCAAGCCCAATCCAGACACCTGCACAATAGCCTTTTCTTTAAGTTCTAACCTCAGCCCAACCCCACCACCTATTTGCCCCCTGAAAGTATCCCTGGAGTAGAGACGGGGGGCATAATTTGGCTTTGGAAGATGTGCTGGGTCCAGGGCCTATTCCAACTGCATGTTACAACGGAACTCTGCAAACCTCCCTTTGGATTTTGCAAAAAGCGAAGTCTAGTGGATTAGTCTACGAAGGGAGGCAGGAGCATCCTTTGAAGAACAACAACAGAAAAAGTGCATGTAGATCAATAGGTACCGCTCCGCCGGGAAGGTAAATGGCGTTTCCGTGCGCTGCTCTGGTTCGCCAGAAGTGGCTTAGTCATGCTGGCCACATGACCCGGAAGCTGTACGCCAGCTCCCTCGGCCAGTAAAGCGAGATGAGCGTCGCAACCCGAGTCGGCCACAAATGGACCTAATGGTCAGGGGTCCCTTTACCATTTTAATATACTCAGAATACATTTTTTAAGAGCTCTACTTTAAGCATGTGCCTATAGTGTCACCCAGTGGTCATTGAAGTAAAACTCAGGTGTCTTCTCCAGCAGAGTTTAACAGAAATGCCCATTACAGTGGTACCTCAGGTTACATACGCTTCAGGTTACATACTCCGCTAACCCAGAAATAGTCCTTCAGGTTAAGAACTTTGCTTCAGGTTGAGAACAGAAATTGTGCTCCAATGGCGCAGCAGCAGCAGGAGGCCCCATTAGCTAAAGTGGTGCTTCAGGTTAAGAACTGTTTCAGGTTAAGTACGGACCTCCGGAACGAATTAAGTACTTAACCCGAGGTACCACTGTACAAGAAAAACTTAGGTGTTCCAGCACAAAGAGAAGGCGACCAGCAGGGCAAGAGGGACATGGGTCCTGTGATGTCACTGTTTCCCAGGTGTCTGTGTTACACATGAAGTTGCCTTATCCTGGTCCATCTTGGTCAGTATGGTCCACACTGACTTGTGGCAACAGTTTGGTGTGTTTCTGGCAGAAGTCTTTCCCAGTCCTACCAGGAGATACCAGAGATTGAACCTTGTGCATGCAAAGCCAATGCTCAAAGACCGAGCTACAGAATGGGAAATAAAGGGGTGCAAGAACAATGCAGAAACATGTTCCCCAGTCACGTTGGGGCTTATCTATTGTCAGGGTTTATCCCTCTTTTTCGGTTGGGGCAGAGCTTAGGCTTGACCTGAATAATAATAATAAGAATTTGTATACTGTCCTTCATCCAAAGGTCACAGGGCAGTTCACAACATAAAAATACAAAGCAATAACAATGAATACAAAATAAAACTGAAACAAGCCAATAACCCCCTCCCACAAACATGTTTAAAAGGCCACAGACTGTTAATCAGCCAAAGGCCAAGTTAAAGAGGAATCTTTTTGCCTGGCGCATAAAGATGTGTAAGGAAGGAGCCAGGCAAGCCTCTCTGGGGAAAGCGTTGCACAAGCAAGGCCCGTTCTCATGCTGCCACTCTTTGGGAAGAGGCACGTGAAGAAGGGGATCAGAGGGTAATTGCATGATCCAGGCTGCTTCATATGAGAGGTGGTCCTTGAGGTAACGCAGTCCTGAGCCGCATTAGGCTTTATAGGTCAAAAGCAGCCCTTTGAATTCATAGAATCATAGAATCATAGAGTTGGAAGAGACCACAAGGGCCATCGAGTCCAACCCCCTGCCAAGCAGGAAACACCACCAGAGCACTCCTGACATATGGTTGTCAAGCCTCTGCTTAAAGACCTCCAAAGAAGGAGACTCCACCACACTCCTTGGCAGCAAATTCCACTGTCGAACAGCTCTTACGGTCAGGAAGTTCTTCCTAATGTTTAGGTGGAATCTTCTTTCTTGTAGTTTGGATCCATTGCTCCGTGTCCGCTTCTTTGGAGCAGCAGAAAACAACCTTTCTCCCTCCTCTATGTGACATCCTTTTATATATTTGAACATGGCTATCATATCACCCCTTAACCTCCTCTTCTCCAGGCTAAATGTGCCCAGCTGCCTTAGCCGTTCCTCATAAGGCATCGTTTCCAGACCTTTGACCATTTTGGTTGCCCTCCTCTGGACACGTTCCAGTTTGTCAGTGTCCTTCTTGAACTGTGGTGCCCAGAACTGGACACAGTACTCCAGGTGAGGTCTGACCAGAGCAGAATACAGTGGCACTATTACTTCCCTTGATCTAGATGCTATACTCCTATTGAAGCAGCCCAGAATTGCATTGGCTTTTTTAGCTGCCGCGTCACACTGTTGGCTCATGTCAAGTTTGTGGTCAACCAAGACTCCAAGATCCTTTTCACATGTACTGCTCTCAAGCCAGGTGTCACCCATCTTGTATTTGTGCCTCTCATTTTTTGGGGGGGCCCAGAAACTAACTGGCAGCCAATGTAGTCGGGCTGGAATCAATGTCATATGCTCAAACGGTCTAGTGGCGCTCACCCTATGGAACGCCCTCCCATCAGATGTCAAAGGAAAAAACAACTACCAGACTTTTAGGAGCAGCCTTGTTTAGGGAAGCTTTTAATATCTGAAGGACTATTTTAATATTTTGTTGGAAGCAGCCCAGAGTGGCTGGGGAAACCCAGCCAGATGGGCAAGGTATAAATAATAATTTTATTATTATTATTATTGCCCCAGTGAGCAACCTGGCCACCAAATTCTGCACCAACTGAAGCATCTTCAGAGGCAGCCCTACGTATAACACGTTGCAGTAATCTACCAGAGATTACCAAATCTTAGAAAACAGAAGTTAGGCTATAAATGGCTATACATGGACCCGTCTCTCTCCTGGCTGAGGCCATTATACAGGTTGAGCAAGACAGTTTTTGTGCCAAACCGGGCCCAAGCCCTGCCTTTAGAAAATCAGTTTCTTCCAAGAGTGCCTGGATCTGGTCCGTGACCACTCACTCAAGAACCCTGTCCAAGAAGGGGAGATTTGTCAACTGACCGGTAGTTACGTTTTCTCAGTCCAGGTGGGTTTCTTAAGAGTGGTCTTACCACTGCCTCTTTCAAGCACTCAGGGACCACCCCCTCTCACAAGGAGGCATTAATCACCTCCCTGGTCCAGCCAGCTGTCTCCTTCCTGCTAGTTTTTATCAGCCAAGAGGGGCAAGGGTCCAGTGTGCAAGCGGTTGCCCTGAAAGAACCAAACATCTTGTCCATATCCTCGAGCCTTACTAACTGAAACTTAGCACAAGTAAAATGGGGGCAGCACTCGCAGGTAACGGAGAGTCACACGAATAAAGCTCGGGGATGTCGTGCCCAGCAACACAGCCACTCATGAATTAGGGCTGAGGTAGAGGTTGAATCTGCAAATGTCTGATGCCTAAATCCAACCAGAGCAATTTACCGAACTGGACTGGCTCAAAAGCACTTCACCAAACCCCAATCAAGCTGCTTTTGTAACCCTTCCATCATTCTAGAAAAGTATACAAGGGTCTCAAAAAGGCAGTAATGCACATGTTCGATAACAAAAGCATCAAGTAAGTGTGTTTTAAATCCAATTTAATTTTGTAAAAAAATAATACATAAACTTCAAAAGAAGAAACGTTTTCTATGCAAGAACATGCAGGTGTCTGGCGTTCCAACATCTTCAGTCAGCTCACAGTAAGCTGATCCACACCTTCAGATGTATGGTGAGAGAGGTTGAGTGTAAGTAAATACCAAATAAATACAGTGCATTCAAATCCATTTATCACACAAGGCAGGCTGAGAATGGGGTGGGTGGAGAGTAGGAACTGTTTCTGAAAAACAGAAAATGCTTTGAAAGAGATCCCTGCCTTTATGGCTTGGAGTTTAAGTCACCCTGCATTTACCTTTTTCCACTTTCAGAAGAAAAGCCTGCACTGGGAGGGAATTTTACAGAGAAATCGGTCACAAGGTCATGATCGCTGGAAGGTTCTTGGGCAGATGCAAAGAGGGAGAACACATTTGCTCCATGTCCCAGGCTTATTCCATTTCCCTGCTCATCCAAAGAGGCTGCGCAAGGGAGGATTCAACAGAGATCATGCAAAGTTGAACTATACAAGCACCCCAAAAATGCCTTCACTAGCAAACAGGGTACCTCCCATATGCCCCACTTAGCATGCCAGGATCACATCAAAATTACAGGAAGCTGCTGCCCATTCTCGGGGGCAGGATCTGACCCGGATAAATCACAGTGGCAATATTGTGTGCTCTGATCTCTTCATGTTGCACTCTGGTTCTGATGGGATGGCATTTTGTCATCTTAGCAGAACAGTTTTGTTACAGAGCAAGACCTCCCAACAAAGCCTTTCCTTGTGACGGGACAGCTGCTTGCAGCTTCAATAGCCTTTTTAACCGAAAACGTAAAGGCTCTGCACCCAAAAAGAAGGGGTGGGGAATGATGGTGCAAGAATGAAACCAAAGGCGTAAAAAAAAAAAATCTGCATTAGTAGAAAGGAGAAAAAAGAAAAATTCACATTAGGAAAGATTATGTTGGATTTCCCCCACCTCCACCCTGGTTTAGTTTCATGCCTGCTGGGCTGCCCCAATAGCCAGACCTGAAGTAGAAATAAGAGAGTAGCCAGTATAGATCTACAGTCTCCTAAAATACAAAGGTACCCTTTTTTCTGTGGGGCAGCCCTGCACTTACAGCAGAGTGATAAGGGTAAGGGACATAGGTCTTGGTAGAACACTTGCTTGGCATGCAGAAGGATTGCAGGTTCAATCCGTGGCATTTCTAGGTAGTGAAGGGAATGCCCCTTGTCTGAAACCCTGGAGAGCAGCTGCTACTGAGTGTGGCCAGTACTGAGCTGGCTGGGCCAACAGTCTGACTCAGTACAAGGGAGCTTCCTGTGGTGCCAAGCCTGCTCTGGTTTGCACAGCCATCTTTGTCGGGGACCGCACCAACTGCTGAGGGAGCCAGGAGGGCTTGCGGTACCTTCCACATGTAGAAAAGCCTGCCCTGGAGATAGGAGTTCACAAGGTCAAAAGCTCAACAGGAGAACAAAATGGCAGGGGGAATGAAGTCAGATCTCAGTCACGCAACACTGTGGGCAGAAAACAAAGGCAGGAAAGTGCAATCGCAAGGGTATACAGCAAAACCTTAAGTTCACAGGGAATTTATATCACAAGGCATTTACAACGGTTGTTAAGACTGAGCTTCACAGGCAATTGGAGGGGAAGAAACTACTGTGGGGTTCATACAAGTCTGCAAGCTGAAAACCATTGCCCAAGGCTTAAAGTGCACATGTGAATCAATATATATCTATACAAACATTGCAGGGGAGGGCATCATTTTTGGCTGAGGGTGTGTGTGCAAATCTCTCCCTCCATTATCTGATCAAAAGCTAAACAGTTTGCACTGAAGGCAGGCAAGAAATGCCAAGCGGTACAGTCCTGCAGTTCTCGCTCATCTCCAACTCTGACCCAAAGGTAATCCATGTGAAAGCTTCCTTTTCCCATGGTTGACACTCCAGGAAACAGAGCTGTAGAGAGAGAATCTCAGAGTCTTTCCCAGTTGGAACATTTTGGTGCTCCCTGGATAATTTTCTGAAAAGTGGCCTCGTGACAGCTGTAGGTGCAAATGTCACTTTATGAGCAGTCAGGCAAAGGGATGCAAAAGATGGAAACCACAGAGCCTCAGAATGAATCCTGCTATCCCCTGTCCATCACAAGCACATTTTCCAGTTAACCTTCCCTGCCAGACAAACCCACAGCCTTGGGAGACTGGAAGAAGGGAAATGAAAAGAGGCCACGAGCAAAAGGGGAGGATCCTATCTCCACCCTCTTTGCTCCTCCACTTCCAGTTATGTTTTTGAGGTGTTCTAGATAGCATAGATGGGGCAGCCTACCTCCTAAGCCACTCCTCCTTGTGCTCCGGTCTGAATGGCTATATGCTATGTGAGGTGACCACCTTATACAGCTATGACCATGGGAAAGGGAGGGCAGGGAACCATAGCTCACTTACTGAGGACCATTCGAAAGGAACAGGACACATTGCCAGGCATAGGGTGAGGAGGAGAAAAGGCTGGACTTAAAAGCACCAAGTTTGGGATAACAAAGTACAGAGGAGCAGCTCTTTAAACAAAGAATAAATATTTTTTAGAGTCAACTCAATCAAAAGCCAGCTTCCCTGCAGAGGAAAGTACAGCTACGGATGCATTCAGATGGATTTGGCAATCCACCACAGATGGACGAGCTGGTTGCAACAGTGCAGGACACAGTTCTGGATGGTTGAGGTGCATGAGGGGGAAACTGTCTGTAGTGATTCCCTCTGGATCTTGCTCCTACCATCCTTGCTCAAAGGCAACGCTTGAGGTCTCTCATTTGGACTGGAGAAGGGCAGCCCTCTCAAAAGGGATCAGTTGTCCTTGGGAGAAGCTGCTTCCTCCCTTTCTCACTTGATGTTTTTAAGCAAGGCAGTCCGTGCATTGACCACAGCTTTGAAGGCGTCCTCGCTGCCAGGAGCCATGCACTTATCCGGGTGGAGCAGCACCGCCAGCTTCCGATAGGCCTTGTTCACCTCATCCCTGGAGGGCAAGACAGGCATCCATTAAGAGAGGTCACCACAGGCACAAGCCTAATAAACTCCCAAAGTTATAGCTTCGCCCAAGGGCCCCTTCCCATTCTCTGTCTGCCAAATTCCCCCTTGCTGGCTTCTAAACCAGCAGGGATTGCCTCCATTACCTGGTGGCCCCTGGCTTGACACCCAGCATGTCCCAGCTGTCCTTGCTGCTGCGGATTCTTCGGATGGTGTCCGCTTGCTCCTTGGTGAAACTGACGCTCATGCTGGCCATGGGCCGCTTTCCCCCATTGTCGCACAAATCAACGATGGCAGAGTAGAAAGTCTACAAGCACACAGAAGGAACAGGTAGCAAAGTTTTATATGTGCCCGTAGCTCGACAATCCCTATTTCATTAATGGGACCAAACCTCAGGTCCTTCTGCTACCTCATATCAAGAAACTTGAGAAAGAACGAACATCTATAGGTTTTGTGGGGAAGATCAAGACTCTTAAACCTACCACCCGCCACCACCTCATCTCCACTGCTGCTTCTTCCTCAGCCAGTTCCTTTTTTATCTGAAGGTGTCAGAACAGCCACTGCATGGCTCTCTGTGAGTTGCAGTGACCTTCAGACCATTCTTTGGGGTTTTCAGTTCCCCCACATCAATGGCCACTTAGCCACCCCACAGTCAAAAGGGGTTGTCTTCACCTATAATCTGCCAGACCACTGTTCCTTGTCTCTCTTGACCCCAAACCCACAAGGCCTCCCACAGTCAGCAGGACCAGTCTCTTGTACTACTAGCTCCTATTGTTCTACTTATTTAAAAGTGAAGGGCTGCTCACTTGAAAGTCATTAAAAACAGATGACAACAAAATGGAATTCAAGCAATTAAGTCATTCCCTGCATTTTAACATGGGACAGGGAAAATATATTTGAGAGAAGGAAAGTGGGTGTGTAGGGTGTGAATCCCCAGAGAAGGAAAATTGCAGAAGCAGCTCTAAAAATGAAAAAGTGGTGATGTGCTCAGCAGGTGCATTGTGATCAGGCTCAGAGAAACGTGGAGCTGGAAGGGACCCTGAGGGTCATTTAGCCCAACCCCCTGCAATGCAGGAATAAGCCAAACAAATTGTTTGGGGCATACAACTTCACCTTCAAGGGTAACTCTCTTGATATAATTCTTTTACAAAATGTTATTTATTTCATTTGTTGCATTTATTGGAAACCTTACAGAGCACAGACCATTGAGAGCCAAGGAAAAGGGCTGGATGAGGGCTTCTAGGTTTGACATAGTTGGTTTTACCTGGAACATCTCGTTGATTCCTTCTCCAGTCTGAGCAGAAGTCTCAAAATAAAGGAAGCCTCTGCTCTCTGCCCACAGCCGCCCCTCACTTTCGTCCACAGAACGGTGCTTGGTACAATCAACCTGAAACACAGGTGGGTGGGAGGAAGCATGATCCTGGCTCACAGCTACTGACCTAGCCTCCATGACTTTACCTAACCTTTTTAAAATCCAGTAATTCACACTGGTAAAGTCTTCAAACTACATACTGTTCTCTGATTTGTGAGTGGGGGCAGTCTCTGCAAGAGCCCATGGTTACAAGCAAGATTTCCCACACCTTAGCCTCTTCTTGGGAATGGTTACCTTGTTGGCACAAACTACAAAGACAATATTCTCCATGTTTCCATGTGGTCCAAGTTCCTGCTTCATCTCAGCGAGCCACGAGTCGAGGGCATCAAATGACTCCTTCAGCCCAACATCATACACCAGGATTACGCCCTGCGTGTCCTTGTAAAACTCATTGCGTACCTAACAGAGCACAGAAACAAACAACTGGATATTTGGGACCAAGAGGGTGCTATAGGAAAGAGAATGGCTTGGAATCTCTGGATCAGTTTCCCTTTACACGTGTGCCACTTTTCAACTGATCTGACATCATCTGTGCGGGCAGAAAAGTGCTGCTGCTGCTGGATTGACCAGCAATTTTAGCAGATTAACTGCATCGGGACAGGCCATGTACAAATTCGTTACTTTTCAGCTCTCGTATAGTTACTAAGATTTAAAATAGATATCCTACAGTTACAATGACCGTAAGCCAAAATGCCCAGACAATCTATAAATGTTAAATGCAAATTAGTCAAAGCCCTCCAGCTCATGTGAGGGTATGAAGTGGGCCACAATTTTCACCATGGAGCAATTTAGCTTGCCAGGACCAGAAGTCTATGGATTTATGTCCTAAACTAAGGGCCAGGAAGCTGCCACCTCGCTTACCTCATAGAAGAAGGGGTGTCCAGCCATGTCAAAAATATTCACTTTGATTTCCCGATCCCGAACCTGCACTCTGAAAGAAAGAGGAACACAGCCATAAGATGCAAGTGCACACACTCCAGTGACCCTTCTTTCCCAGACCAAGTTCGACTTTTCTACAACACGGGTATTAGGCAAGCATCGCAACGCGACTGTTGAGCACAGATGAATTTTGGCATGATCATTTAGGGCTCAGTAAAAAGCTTTGGGGGTAATCTGCAAAGAAAAATTGTAACTGGATAAATGACCAGTGAAGGGCGACCCACAGGCATTCAGATTACACACAGGCGATGACCATTTTAGGCACGCCTAATTGACGTGTGTTGCGTTCGCAAAGTAAAGGAAGGATTGAACTCTGATTAATAAGAATACACACAGAGGCTTGAACCAGCAAGACTCTGGGAAGGGTGCGTATAATCGTGTCTCTCTGTGCTTGTCCGTCAGATTTCCGCAGCCCCCAGCCCAGGCCGTTTTATTCACAAAAGAACTTTTTACAGAGTGTTCATAAGAACCAATCAGTTTTCTTCTGAGCATTTCCACAAACCTACGTGGGGACAAAGTTAGATCAAACGAAATTGTTTTAACTACAAAGACTACTACATCAAAGAAACTTGCCCACTATCTTTATGGCCCAGGATGCCTGCCTGGCGAAGCAACTGCTGTGTACGTGACATGTGAGGAGAGAGAAATGGGCAGTAGAGGCAAAAGGGCATCAAAAGGGCATGAATGTAGAATCTTATGGGATTTAATCAGAAATTATCGTCAATATATCAAACCCAGTCAACACTTTCATCGTGGACACAATGGCTTGATGTACATTTTACAATTCCTCATGGTAATCCCATCTGATCCCTACAATGTGCAGTCACCGACACGTGGGTCCGTTAGGACCAAGAAGAGGGCAGAATGGGGGCGGAAAAGAATGGGGCAGGGTGCAATTATGTGCACTCCACCAACATGTGCAGGGAGCAGGAATGGAACCTCCGTGCAAAATGCTTGCCGCCTGTGCTCTGCTTTCAATGAGGATTTTACTAGCTAATAAGGGATTGATAGGGACGCGGGTGGCGCTGTGGGTTAAACCACAGAGCCTAGGACTTGCCAATCAGAAAGTCGGCGGTTTGAATCCCTGTGACAGGGTGAGCTCCTGTTGCTCGGTCCCTGCTCCTGCCAACCTAGCAGTTCGAAAGCATGTCAAAGTGTAGTAGATAAATAGGTACCGCTCCGGCGGGAAGGTAAACGGCGTTTCCATGCGCTGCTCTGGTTTGCCAGAAGCGGCTTAGTCATGCTGGCCACATGACCTGGAAGTTGTATGCCGACTCCCTCGGCCAATAAAGCGAGATGAGCGCCGCAACCCCAGAGTCGGCCACGACTGGACCTAATGGTCAGGGGTCCCTTTACCTTTAAGGGATTGATCAGAGATGTAAAATCTGCTCCACTGGGATGTGCCCCACTTGTATGCAAAATATAGCACAAAATGAGATGCCCACAAACACCTGTAGTTTCCCAGTGGCAATTTCCATTAATATCATAGCAACAAAATGTTGAATTATTGAAGTCAGTGAAAAATCAAAGCATAATTTCCCGTCTTTCTGTTTCACACACACAATGCCGTGGTTCTTAGTTTCAGGAGCTGCTGTGTCAAATGTTCTCTATTGTGAAAGCAGGGTACTCACTTGGTGACACCATAATCGATGCCAATTGTTGCAAGGTACTTGGGCACAAACCTCTTCTCACAGTATCGCTTTATAATGCAGCTCTAAAATGCAAAAGAATGGAGATTGTTACCCAATTGGCTGAGCTGTCTGTTCAACCCACTATATTTTGTATTTCGCCGGGTTAAGTGCAAAGCACGTCTTTTTAAAACACATATCTGTATGTGTATGTGCATGACTGGCAAATCTGATTCAATATAAGCTATTTTAAATTTTGTTTTCAACTTAAAAAGCAAAAGGGCAGTTGAAACAACCACACTTCAGTTTGATTAAACCAAGAAGCTTCTAATTAACCATAGTTTCCTATTTCATCTGAACCAGTAAACTGTGGTTAATTATAAGCTTCCAAAGGGAAGAGCAAAGAGGCTGAGCAGGCAAAAAGTCTGTGCATATCTTGCTTTAGTAAGTCAAGATATGGTTTAGAATATATGTTTTCTATTTTAAAACGCCTACAATTTACATCTTCCTAAAAACTGAGAGGGTAAGTTCCCAAGTTATAATGTTTAAACATGCTGCAATCACTCTATATTAACTTAATAGGCAAAACAAAAACAAGAAACAGGTGTCTGCCCCTGAAATTATCAACAACAACAATGGAAGCAAAACTTCCCAAACTCTTCAAACATCAGTGTTTGTAGAGGGAAAATGGGTGACCTATTATACTTCTACTGTTTGTGGATGAAATCCAATGGATTCCCCTTCCCCAGCGGCACTCAACCAAAACCAACTCAAAGAGGATTGGGTGGCCCTGTAATTATTTTCAAATGAAATGAGAAAAGATAACGATATGTGTGTGTCCTGGTTGGATAAAACAGTCAGAGTCCGGCACAAAAAACAAAGCGGGAAACGGGTCCTCCACACGTCCCTCTCACCTAACCAACCTCGCAGGGTTATTGTGGGCGTGGGCGGTAATCAGAACCACGTTATGATGCCTTAGTCGAGTCCCTCGGAGTCAGCATATTGTTATGGAAATTATGGGGGGGGGGGCACATCTCTAAAGTTGTTAAATGTTACAAATATTATGCATAAATGTATCCTTTCGACTTGACTGCCCAGGAAGTTACCTAGCTTTAAAAATCATATAAAATCAACTCCTTTCCCAGTTTCCTTCATTCCACCGCCAAGGTTCATTGCTTCATTGGCCAAGGACTTGGGAACCACTCGGTTTCCCCATAATCCCTCAAGCGGGAGGTCACGTACTCACAGGAAGGTACTCATAGGTGTCAATCGCTGGGCAAAGGCACTCCTCCGGACTTGCCCAGGTGGCAGACTATGCAAACCAAAGTTCTATTGTCCCTTTGTAGCAGGTGCTTCAAAGAACAAATAGATAAATAGGTACCACTCTGGTGGGAAGGTAAAGGGCATTTCCGTGCGCTGCTCTGGTTCACCAGAAGTGGCTTAGTCATGCTGGCCACATGACCCGGAAGCTGTACACCGGCTCCCTCGGCCAGTAAAGCGAGATGAGCGCCGCAACCCCAGAGTCAGCCACGACTGGACCTAATGGTCAGGGGTCCCTTTACCTTTAGTAGGTGCTTAGAATGTACTTCCCAATACATATCCTGTATCCACCTGTTGCCCCAACACATTCCTCCTATGTTAACCATGTATAACCCTCCCCTTTTCTGATGTACCAATGATGTAGTGATGATGCTTAATGAACTGTATGCTGGGATAAGATAGAAACTTTTAAAAGTCCTTGTCACCCCATCCTCGGGGTTCAAAATTCCTCTTTGAATTTTGTGCAATAAACTTTGGTCTACAGCTACAGTGGTACCTCAGGTTAAGTACTTAATTCGTTCCGGAGGTCTGTTCTTAACCTGAAGCACCACTTTAGCTAATGGGGCCCCCTGCTGCTGCCGCGCTGCTGGAGCACGATTTCTGTTCTCATCCTGAAGCAAAGTTCTTAACCCGAGGTACTATTTCTGGGTTAGCGGAGTCTGTAACCTGAAGGGTATGTAACCCGAGGTACCACTGTATTTGCTCCGGTTGGTGGCTGGACTCCTTCCTTTATTCTGCAGGGACCCGCGGGCTCTGCCCGACCAGCTGGGTAATTGAGTAGCCTCACACCTAGATTTTTCCGTAACAATATAAACATTACCATATATATATATTTATGTGTATATCTGAGTTATACTTGCGTGTGTGTGTGTGTATACACACACACATACATACACACACACTATACCAGGCACCCCCAAACTCAGCCCTCCAGATGTTTTGGACTACAATTCCCAACTGGAGGAATGGCAGATGAAACTGATGGACTATATGGAACTGGCGGAAATGACTGGTAGAATCCGTGACCAGGGAGAAGAGTCGGTGGAGGAAGATTGGAAGAAATTCAAAGACTATCTGCAGAAACAATGCAAAATTAAAGAATGTTAGAGTGATGTTGGATTAAAAATAAGTGGCTTCCAGCTGTTTAGGATTTAAAACTATGGATAGATTAAGATTAAGGATTAGGATTAAAAAAGTTTAAGGAAATGGAAATTTGGTTTTTTAAAAGGTAAAATTTTAATGTTATATTATATTAAGAGTTAAGATTGGGATTAAAAAAGAGGGAAAGAAATTGCTGGACAAACAATTTGAACTGGAATACAAAAGAGGGAGGTATGAGGAGGTCCAGAAAATAAGTAAATTTAAAAATGGAGATGAAAAGGTGATATTGTTTTTAATTGTTCTACTTTCTTTTTTGTCTTTTGTTCCTTTATTTTTTTTTCTTTTAGATTATGTATTGTGTATTTCTTTTTTATGTTTTATGTTTAATCTTTTATTGAAACTTTAATAAATATCATTTTTTAAAAAAAATACAATTCCCTTCATCCCTTACCACTGGTCCTGTTAGCTAGGGATTGTGGGAGTTGTAGTCCCAAAACACCTGGGGGCGGAGTTTGGGGAAGCCTGCAATATACATATATGCAAATGTAACTCAACAGATAAGGATTGCTCCTGTCCTCCCAGAAGCCTTTGCGCTTGGCCAAAGAATCAGCGCCCCATCCCACGCTAACGCCCAACTGCCATAACGGTCAAAACGGCCGGGGGGCGACTGACTGGTTGCGCGCCTTGTCACTCCCCGTCCCGCGAGCCAATAAGGCGCCTTCCTCCTCGCTCTTACCTTGCCCACCTCCGCGTTGCCCATGGAGATGACTTTGATCCTCAGCGCCTTCCGCGGCTCTTTCCGCTTCGCCTCCATCTCGCGAAGGACGCGGGCTGGGTTCGCCGGGGCTCAAGGGGGCCCCTCGCCGGCCCGCGCGCCCGCCTCCTCCGCTGCCGCCGCCGCCCCGCTCCCCATGGCCCGCTTGACGACAGCGGCGACGCGGCTGCTTAGGACCCGGCCGACGCCTCGCGAGATTTCGCGAGCTTTGCGAGAGCGGGCCGAGAAGCCGCCGCGCCACGCGAGAGCTGGGAAATCTCGCGAGAATGAACCAAAGTGGCTTCCCGTCCGCCTCTTCCCCTCAGTCCTGTCGATTCAGAGGAGAAGGCAGGCACGCTTAGGGCTGCGTTGGGAAGCTTTGTCCCTTTTCTTTTCTTATATATTATAGTCCTATTGATGTATACTGTACAGTCCTTCACCTGACGATTACAGGGCAGTTCATGTAAAATTACAAAATGAGAACACAAAATGCATAATAAAAACAGAAACAGACTGATAACCCCCCTCCTGGCTTCACACAATCACATTTAAAATGCCTGGTTGAATATTATAATAATAATATAATAATAATAATAATAATAATAATAATAATTTATTATTTATACCCCGCCCATCTGGCTGGGCTTCCCCAGCCACTCTGGGCGGCTTCCAACAAAACACTGAAATACAGTAATGCATCAAACATTAAAAGCTTCCCTAAAAGAGACACCTATATAAAATAATAATAATAATAACAACAACAACAACTTTATTACTTGCACCCCACCCATCTCACTGGGTTGCCACCTGCTCTAGGGGGCTTCCAGCATATACAGAAACAATAAAACATTACAAACTTCCCTATACAGGGCTGCCTTCAGATGTCTTCTAAAAGTTGTGTAGTTCTTTATCTCCTTGACATCTGAAGGGACTGGGTGCCACCACCAAGAAGGTCCTCTGCCTGATTCCCTGTAATCTCGCTTCCGCCAGAAGTGAGCTGGACCTCAGTGTCCAGGCTGGATGACAGTGGTGGACATACTCCTTCAGGAGTGTAATGTATAATGAAAGTGTTTTATGAATGTAGTTTTATTGCTCATTTAATGCTGTTCACTAAATAAATCTCCCCCCCCCCCTTAATGTGGGTGGTTGAGATTGTTTCCTTTTGCTCTTTTGCAAACAAAGTATAATAAGTGCATTAGCAGGTTTTTAAGTGCTGTTAGACGAACACCCAAAGGGACACCTTCAAAAGTTGGCAGCCCTGGCCTACAATATCCCATACTGTCCAACATTTCTCTGAAAATAGGGGCATCCTATTCCATAATGATAGTTTTATTATTTATTTATACCCCACCCAGCTGACATTTAAAAACTTTCTTATACAGGGCTGCCTTCAGATGTCTTCTGAAGGTTGTATAGTTATTTATCTCCTTGGCTCAGGGGTCACGTAGCTCCATACCCACCAACATTTTTTCGATTAAAATAGGGACATCCTAAGAAAAAGTGGGACATTCCGAGATGAAATCAGAAACCGGGACAGCTTCTGTAAATCCAGGACTGTCCCTGGAAAGTAAAAGGATCCTTTGGGGATCTGATATCAGGCATACTTGCCTAAGGATACAACCTTGCATTAGCTTTCTATATTACAATCCAGTTAATCAGATGCTTGAAGTGTTCTCCTGAGGTATACAGTATATACATATGGTAGGGGCAGCAAGGAGTGGGGTGGTTTGTAAACAGGGAGGCCAGAAGGAAATTAAATGTAGAAATGCACGGACAATAGCTATTCACACAGACACACTTATGCTTGATACCACAGACATCTTGGCATTGGTAAGCCAATTAAACACGTAGTGCAATAAAAAAAGCAACACCATTAGTCCTGATCAGTGCAATTTTTTGCACTTGTTCTCTTATAATGGCAATGGCACTTTTCTGAGAGGTGCCAGGACCGAGTTTCGGTGAGTCCTGACTGAAAAAAAAACCTGGTCCTGATTGTTCAGAAGTGATAGCACTGAAGCCCTTGATGGATGTGCAATTCAGCAGTTTCATGTTGCCGTCTTTGTTCCAAAATGGCTACTGTAAAATCAGAATGCAAGGTGGAATTTGACTCACTTTGACTCAGAGTAGACCCACTGAAATTAATCAACCAACTTAGTCCTGATCATTATTTTCTATGGAGTAAAAGTTAAATACTACCCAAAGTCTTTATCCCTAATCCTAAACGTTGATAACTTGGAAGCCAGTCAGATTTGAAGCTGTGAAGCACATGATAGGAACCAAAAATGGTTAGTGTTATGTACTGAAGTTCTCACCCTGTGCCAGCAGGGGGATACTGTAGATAGTTTTCTTTTCTTTTTTTTATAAGATATTTATTGAGATTTTCAAAATGTTACAAAATAAAAATAATAATAATAAAAAAGAAAATACAAAATAAAAATGGTTAGCAAAGTAAACAAAGAGAGAAACAAACCCTTCCAACAATACGAATACAAATTCAAAATAAGAAAAAAAACAGAAAAAGACAAAAATACACCACAAACATTTAAAAACATTTAAAAACAAATTCATTATTCTCAAATCCTCAACTGTCATTACCTTCTTTCTTTGACCTCCTCCTCCTCCCTTTCTTTGTATCCTAGTTATTAATTATCCCAGCAAATCCTTTCCATATTTCATAATATTCTGTCGTTACATTACCTTAAACTGTTTTAATCTTATCTTTTTATAAAAAAAAGAAACCTTAAAACTTAAAGCTTAAATCTTATCCTTACCAACTTCTCATAACCATAATATTCTTTCATAATTCTTTAGGCATCTTTACTAAAGCCGAGTAATTTCATTCCAACATTTTTCTAACATTCATCAATTTTATAAAACAGTCCTAATAGTAAAAAAATAAAGAAATACAAACAAATCTAATCTTCATCCAGCGTCCCTTCCTCCTGGTCCCGGGTTTTGTCAGTCCTTATTATCCCATCGATCTAGCGCATTAACCTGGCAACCTTATATCCGAGGCCCTCAAGTCTCTTCCATGTCCCTTCCGCAGCTCTTCTTCATATTTGTAACTGTATTTTCCCTTGTCTCCTGCTCGTGGTAACTCCAGCTTGACAATATTTTTGACCCTTCTCGACAGATCAGCCCCTTTTCCATATTCAACACTAAATTCCATGTGATATTTAAAAACATGTTTCAAAAACCCTCCAAAATTAAGAGCCCCCACAATCCCAAACATCTCACGGCCCATTGCCAGATTTGAAAAGTCCAAACATCCCAGCATAGGGGTCAATCCAGCCCCCATTTCCAAGCCAAACCAAACTTTTTCTTTCCAAATCTGGCTTTTTCCAAGTTCATTTGTCAAATCCAAAGCTCATATTCCTGTTGGGCCTGTTCTGTCAGGACACACTCCTGATTTAATTCCTGGGTGGGCTCCACATATTTTCCCACTGTCTGTTCAAAATTTCCCACTGCCTGTTCAAAATTTCTAGTCGAAGTCGCCATCAAATTCATCTTCTCATGTAACTGTTCCAGTAGGGCATTTGTTTTATAGAAAGCGCACAACAGAGCTTCTGAATACATTGTCCTGCAAGGTCAAATGTCTGTTCCCACGATTGTAATCTGTAACAGCTGCCGGCTCCCTGGAATTGGTTACAGTTTCACAGTCTCCCTCTAGGGGGAAAGCTTCTATTTGTTCTTGCAACAAAGTTTCCCTTTTTGAGATATTTTGTCAATATTTGTTCCTTTAAAATGCGAAAGGAAACAGTGGAATCACTATGTTTCTCTTCTTTTAGCTATCTGTCAAAAACGTTTGTCTCTGGTCAATGAGCTTCAAACGTCAGTCCTGACACCCCGCTCCAGGATCAGGACGGTGGAAAGTTACTTTACTTTAAACTCACTTTAAACAGTCCGAAAAGATCCCCTTCTTCTCCTGCTGTCGAAGGGGGGTTCCACAATTTTAAATGATGAAATCCAATCCTTTAAAGGCGATTTTCTAAGCTCTAGTTTACGTTGTCTTTGCTTTATTCTGTCTACAAAAGAACGGAAGGCTGACTTCCTGTTTAGACCTTCCCGTTCAGTACCAAATTGAAATAAATTTTTAAATCCAATTCCTTTCTGCTCGCAAGTCCTTATTTAAGGTCCAGTTGTTCAAAGTTTAAGTACTCACGGGTGCTTATTTTAGAGTCCAAATTGTCCCAGGAAAAGGCAGCGCTCTCCGGCAACAGCTATGTGGCTTCGCTCCACGGAAATAGCAGTTGACTCACAGCACCGCGCCACTTCCCCCTCTTCACTTCGGAGCCCGTTAATGGGTTCCTTTGCGAGTTGGGGGGCGCTAAAGGTGCCCGCCGAGTCCCATGGTCACAGGCTTCATCCGCCTGTGATTTTTAGAAGGGTCCCCGCTTCGCCGTAGCGGAGAAGACCCGTTTCCGCGGAGCTAGTCCCTCCAATTCAGAGGGAGTCCGCCATTGCTGATGGCGCCACCCCGGAAGTCATACTGTAGATAGTTTTCTCTCAGGTCCACGTATGCAAATAAGGGATTGAAAGTGACGTTCAGTGATTGGATAGTTACAGAAAGTGGTTACAGTTGTGTTGTAGTGGAGCTCTATATAAGCAGGCTGGCTGAACCCTTCAGTTCAGTTCTGTTCTGGCCTGTGAATAAACAAGAGCTGTTTGAAGAATCGCTGTGTCGTCTGATATGTTCACCCATGACTTAACAGTTAGCAGCAATAACAAGATCTAATTAACGCAAAGTGCAGTTTACATAGCAGCATGATTACAAACTGAAAACAAAAACTGGGGCAGGCGGCAGAACGGATGACTCCACAAAGTCTCCATTTCAATCCCAGGCTTTTAGATCTGCCTTAAAAGACGCCTGCTCCTTGGGAGAAAGGCGATGGGAAACCTAGACAGCATCTTAAAAAGCAGAGACATCACCTTACCAACAAAGGTCCGTATAGTTATAGCCATGGTTTTCCCAGTAGTGATGTATGGAAGTGAGAGCTGGACCATAAAGAAGGCTGATCGCCGAAGAATTGATGCTTTTGAATTATGGTGCTGGAGGAGAGTCTTGAGAGTCCCATGGACTGAAAGAAGATCAAACCATAGCTGTCAAGTGTCCCTTATTTGAAGGGACAGTCCCTTATTCCAGCGCCATGTCCCGCTGCTGTCCCTTATTGATGGATGTCC